TAGTGGAGAATGCTTTTGGAATTCTCTGTTCTAGGTTTAGAGATTTGTTGCGAACACTGAAGCTAGATGTTGACAATGCAATGCAAGTGGTTTATGCCTTCTTTGCCCTGCACAATTATCTGATGACAAAGAAAGATATTCTCCCCCTGGATTAATGGATACAGAAGGCAGCAATAACAACATAGTCAAAGGATCTTGGAGGAATTCCATAGATAACCAGGAGATATGCACGTTAAGGGCAGACCCAAGTTTGCGACCATCAACATTGAATGCAAGGGAAATTCGAGACAATCTCAAGGAATATTTTTATGATGTGGGTGCAGTTGAATTCCATGGAGGATGATTGAATAAAAATTGTCATGAAAACAATGATACCCAAGCATAGGATACAATTAACAGAATAGAATACAACTGAAATGTTTATGAAACTTTGTTTGTGTAAAGGAGTCATTTTAAATTGTTTGAATTTTTCTCTACTACAGCCGGCGATGAATTCTTCTTTGCTCTCTTGGACATTATAGGCAGCATAATTGGATGGTGCCCTCTGTTGTTCAGTTGCTTGAAATATAGAAATTTGTACAGCAAATTTTACCCTTCTCTGCCAGTCAATATCGCCAAGAGCACGAATTAAGTTTGCAACATCCTTTCCAAACACATTCCTCTTCTTTGGCAAGGCTACTGGAAGATGTTTCCTTAGATTCCTTTGCCTCCTTTGCTAGTTCACTTAGTGTTGTTGCAGCTGTTCCCATCCAGGGCACTTTCTTCCTTCTCTTGGGATGTGCAGATGAGGAATCATTATCTAATAAAGGGAGGCTAAACTCATCTTCCGCTGTTTCCAAATTGATGTTGTCGTCATCATTATCATTAGAAGATGAGGCAGACATACTTGACATACAAAGTCGATTTGAAATTATCACATCCTCAAGAAAGGAGCATTCTTCAAAATATCACCACTTGGGAACATAAATATCAGCTGCACCACTTACTGTTCCCTGGCTCTTCTTTATTTTTCTTTTTTCTTCGCAGATTGTAGTACGATGACTTTGTATTTTACCTATAACAAAGAAGTATTAAAAACTTACTAAGAGGAAATTTTCGACACAGTTTATAAAGCTTTAAGCATTTAAGATAATAACATCTGGTCAAATTTGCAGCCAAAAATTTGACAATAGTCCTACCACTTTTTTGCTATGGTATACAATGTAAAAATGGTTATGAGATCCTATTCCGGCTATTCTAGGTCATAGTTCATCAAATTCAATTCCCGTTCGATTAATTTGATCCTGAGAGTATTAATTTTAGGCACATTCCACATTACCCCTTCCGACCCTTACATAGGAATTTAGGCGCACCTTTCAAAGCTGGCAAATCAACCCCAGGGATTTCTTCTTTTAATATATCCATGAGCTCAGCATAATCATTTTTCTTGGTGTAACTACTTTTGTAACTCCCAGCCTTTGTATTCCAAAGGCTTTCCCGGGTTTAAGTGCTTCCAAAAGCATTGACGTCCCTTGATCGGTCCAGATTATCCTCGTGGCGGCCATGACAGCTAGGAACAAGCAATTACTTGCGCGGAAAAAAGGGTCTGGAATTGAAGCAAATTTGTCAAGTCATCTACACGGGCAAGTTTTGCATATGACAATTTTTTACTTGTCAAGTGCACTTGCTCAAAAACTGGCACGTTAGCTTTTGAACAATTCTACTTGTCAAGTAAAAATTGTCACTTTTCCTCGATCGACCCCAATCTACATGAGCAAAATAAACTCTTCAAAGATAATTTGTCAAGAAAACTTGCTCGTGGAAATGCGGCTTAAAAGATCGTCAAGGTATAAACCAATTAATGTAATTACACAGAAACCAAAACATGATATAACAATAGATTTAAAAGCTCTTGTCATTTCATCCTGAAAATATAAGCGTGAAGCAATCACTGATAAGATGGAATAACAGTTAAGGATTGTGTGAAATTTGAATGTGAAACGACAGATTAAACTGATAGCCAGAAGACCAGGAGGATGACCTCCTATCAGACGGATGAACAACAATAAGCAGAACATGAAAATACTAGGAAAGAAAACAGAGGGCAATGAAGTTGAGATGTAGAATGTTTTAAAGAAGGCTGATGCAGCGGGCAAACAACTAGATGATAATTATTAGAGATAAAGTTGAAGTTTTTTAATCAAGAAATACAATTATTTTTCATGGACATAATCTCCATCACATCGATATTATCATTATCATAACAACTCTGTGATTCTTCTTGGTACCCATGGGGGATGAAAAGGTGTTATGCAGAATCTTTGTTTCTTTCACATGAATACCTATACACGGTTTCATTACCCGATCGGTTCCAACTCGATCGATGTTTCGAACAGGGCAAAGATGCTTTCTATATTGAATCACTCCCGATTGACCCACGATTGCTTGATTGCATTTATATGAGTGGAAACGTAAAAGCTGTGCCTGAAAATGATACATTTGTCAAGAACGCCCAGTTGCTATTATTGCAGATTATTGCTAAAGATTATTGCTAAAGGGCGGGTGTTAGATTTTTGTCTTTGTGGAAAACGCATTTTTAGTCGCGGTACAAAGGCTTTGAAAGAGCTGGGCGTTTGTTAGCCCGCAAATACGATTTATGGTGAATGCTGTGGATTTTGCGCAAGACATCTGTTAGACAAGTTATCTTGATGGGACAATTAAAGCAATAAATTTCAAAGAGATGCTGATAGCAGGCTGCTGCTGTGTGGCCTGTTTACGTATACTTTTCATTTCACCAAGCCATATCCTTAAGACGTGCATTTGTGTGAATTTAGTGTCAGAGGTATTGAGGCATATCATGAATCCGTCTCAACGTATGTGATGGAAATCTTTTTGCCCAGGGCCCTTTTTGATATACCAACTAGGAGAGGGGGCAATTATCCCTCCAGCCTCAGTATCTTTCGATTGTTCAAAGCAGCAAGCTGTTGTCCTTCTCTTTTTATAATCGAAGACTTGACCCCAAAGCTAATTTCCCTTAGAAAACTCTATGCTTTTACTGTCTTTTAGATGCAATCAATAACTAACATTTTCTGACACTTAACTAGCACCTAAGTTAAACTAACACTTTAAAGTGTAACTTCATTTCAATTACCCTCGTAGTTATTTACAAGTTTCGGTCTTTTCAAGGAGGAAAAGCTCATTATGTTGAATTTAGATGAGATACTTCAGGACATGCAAGTAGAGTAGGAGCTGATGTGGAGGGAATGTTAAAATATTATTCTTATTGAAAAGAATAACAATGTGTTACCTCAAACAAATATATCTAGCAAGGGATTGCCCATAAATTAGCATGTTAAAATGCACTGTTCTGCATGCCCAGGAGTTATCAAGTAATTCGAGTTTGAAAAACCTGCGATATCTCTACTTGTTCCAAATTTATTGTACATGCACAGAATAGGAAGATGTTTTAGATTCTGTGGTACAGTTCTGTTCTCCGAAAGACTCCTATTAAGATAAAACTTTCAAGGCAACAATATGTTCAATGATTTTCAACATCAAGTATTGGAAAAAGCAGTCTATGCTTGTCCTAACATACGATAGGCATAAAAAATGAGGATCAAAATCTCTGGCCCACCTTTTGCCAAAGATTTTACACAGCGTTAAGCTCAATGGACAATAAACACTATGCCTCGTTAAGTCAAATCTGACAAGAGATGAAATAAAAGCTCTTGGGAAAACCAATAGAACATTCCTTTAAGGCCTGCTTTTTCTCAATTGACATTTTTCCAAATCGATACTAACAGTTAGAACCGCAAATTTTAAGTTGTTTCTGACTATCTACCAACACATCATTTGCTATACTAACGGTACCCTCGTAAAACAGGCTTCTGGAAAGACGAAAAAAGCATTGGTGCCATAATAAAACATTTTAAAGGATTTAAAAAAAAGCTGCAAGAAACATTCTGAAAGGCATTTAAGCTGATCTGAAGGCTAGGCTTTATAAAAAGATGTCCGATTCAAGCAAACTCAAGGGAATTTTTAAGAGAATTTTCCAAATAGATTTGAATTCTTCTTCATTTGAGGAGGACAAAAGTTATTATATTGACCCAAAGGCAACTTACCTGGCTACTGCCTGCCTTAGGGTAAACCTGTGTGGTATGGGATAATCCACATCGATGATTGACGTTTAAAGCTAAACATATTAGAGTTTACCTCTTCAAAAAGTACACAAAAGCCTTTTGTACCCGAAGAATAACTGTGCGTTGAGTTTATTCGGCTGCTTTCCTCGTAGAACGTGCAGTTAGCCTTTGTAGAATAGTCTGCATAAAAAATAGCAATTTAACATAGAAACTTCACGCCTATGAACGAAAACGTAAACGGATTTCATGATATGCATCTACAAACCAATGACAAGCAGTAGCTCTTTTCAACACACACGCTGCCAACATTTGTGAAGACCCATTATCAATGCAACAAAGAAGCCAGTCTGGTATACAACATCCATAAATATGACAGCATTTATGGACTGGGATATAAGCTACACTATATGACATCTGTTTTTATTCCTGAGTAATCTGAGTGAGTTGCTTTATAGTAACGTATGGTTATTCCCGCCTGCTCCTCATTGGCCGATTTGACAGTATACCCTTAAAGTGTTGGTTCTGTAAACTATATAAGCGTTGTTCGATTGGCACATTGAATAAGATAGAGTTGGCAAGTGCAAAGAGAACTTGAATGAAGGGATTTGTCTAAAAAAAGTATATGATTACAAGGTAATCAGATTTAATGTAATCGAAAACCAAGTTGTTTCTATTAATCAAAACTTGAAAATCATCTGAATTCCTTTACTTCATATTACAAGTCACTATTGTTGCTATTTCAAAAACCGCCCGCCCATTTGTCGACACAGGGTCCTGACATTCTTCACAACCCCCAACATATTATTCGAAAGCACAACCGTAACATTGGCATGGCTAGGTTCCAGAGCTCTTAACAATATTAAGATCCACTTTGAATTTCAGGCTAGACGATTCAATTAGGGTCTTGGTGCTTGACGTGAAATCGGCCACTGAATAAGCGAGGTTCTGCAAAACAACCAAGATGACTACTTGGAATGTGCTTGGAAATATCCTTCTAACAGCAGCATTAACACTTTCTGTTTACGTAAGCGGAATACCAATGCAGGGTAACAAACGTAAGTGTTTATTATTTATACATATTTCGTTGATTCCATATCGAACATTTTCTTGTGGTCACGTCCGCTTCTTTTATAAAGCCATTCTCGCTTTTTTTCGTCTTTTTTGTTTTTATGGGTAAAAATAAACACAGATCTCAATAATTTGAATTGACGTTCTCCCAGTATGCGCTGTATATTGTTGAAAGGTATGTTATATAAAGAAAACAAAGGAATAGTTTCCCAGACAGAAGACCACATCAGTTTGCGGTAAATACAGATATTGAACAAAACATGTGTTTAAACCCTTATCACGAGTTGATTTTTGCTGAACATACCGTTAGTAAGAGTAAAATGCTTTTCAAATAAAACCGTCAAAAATGCAATTTCGACAAGCCTCTTTGCGCAAATTTAAAGACAGGCAAAAGTAGCAAGAACTTACTAGTAAATAGATCCAGCATCAAGTAGCTGAATTTCACCCAATGCTACATTTACAGTAATTTCCTGAAAATGTTGTGATTATCCAAAGCAGCGTTACACCGTAGTTTCATATTTCTTCATTGATGATGTTTATGATAAGAGCATAAAATTATGGAAAACATAACAAAGATCTATGGTTTTTAGGGTATACCTTTTATATTGCGTTTTGATACACATTTAGAGCTATGGTTAAAGAAAATGTTTCGCCAAAGAACGAGAATGGTACCAGGCTAATGGCGCCGAGGTTGGGTGTTTAAGACAAAGCAAATTATCGTTAAACGTAATCAGTATCTTATTTATGGTTTCATGAGAAGCTTTTTGAGTTTTAACCTACTAATTGAGATGGGCTTATCACATTTTTTGAGTTTGTAAGATTGACATTTTCTGGGTTTGCTCAGTGAATCTATGCGTTGCGTTGGCGACCAGTGGCTGACCGAAGCGTCATTAAAAGCGATAAGCATTTCTGCTTCAATTCCACGATATTACCAAAAGAATAAATGCAATAATGCGGTTTGTTTGATATTCTTTCAAAGTAAACAGATAGTAGAGCTTAAATCTGTCACCATGTTGTTGGCCTTCTATTACCACATGAATAACGAACAACCTTGTGGTTAGTACATCGTTATGCAATGGGTCTTCTGCCTCAGCTCTTTGATTAATCATTGGCATTTTAGAGAAGCAAAATCTTAAGCAAACATAAAGTGAGTGCATGACTTATAGAGAATATGTTCTGGCATTTAACAATGCCTGCGTGGCATCATTGGTATTTGAAAAGAGCATACGAGTTTATACATTGTGCAAATACCAGTTATAAAAGTCCTGGGAACTTTTCTGCCGTACGTCTTATGTTTCAATTACACAACTGAAAATAGCTCACCTGAAGATGATTATATATACATACATTCGTATTAATTTCATTAACTATAATAGCCAGTAAATGATATTGTCTTTTTATCATCAACACATTCCAGCGGGGATATCTTCATTCGACACCAGGTTGAATGACTCTGTGGACATTTTCTTGTTGCCATGGCGAGATGATGATGTAATGAAAACTCTTTATCAAGAGGTTCCCTACAGGCAGGCTAAAATAACTATGTACTTTCATTCATCAACGTAGTTATTTTGTAGAACGGTTATTGTATTGCGCAACTACTTTTATTTTGCTAAGGAACTGTTCCGCTTTTGCAAACGAATTATCAACTTGTCCTTCGAGTTTTGCTAAACTTTTGTCCATCGAATTGCAGTTTTCTTTTAAGCTCAAGACTACGTGCGTTCATTACTATTTCCCTAAAATTAATTCTCTTTCATCTTTATAGATAGATCCCTAACTGAAAAAGATATGCATTTTGGCTCTATTCTAATCGATTGAGACTTGTAGCAGCTTTAGGCAGATTAAAATGTTTTGGTTGGAGATCCAAACGCATTGTGCAGTAACTCAAAACACAACATAGGCAGATCCTACGCTCTTTGCAACATACAGATCCTAAGTTATTTGAACATTTCTGTGCAGTAGATATTTTGGCTGCACGCATTTGGAAGAGGGAAAGGACTTCTGCACTTCTGTCATCGAAATTTAAGGCATTTTGATAATGTCAGCGATAAAAGATTGAGAGTAATAAAGTAGAGAAAGATTTTTCACTTTTCCTTTCTTCGGGAAATGATACACACTTTCAGATGATTGTTGGCTTAACATCGCTGTAGCCAAGATTCAAATTATTTTTTATTCATAAAAGAGATTATCAAAGTCTAATATTTTAGAGTTAATAGTTTCCTCCAAACGATCTTCTTAATGATAGTGTTCCTTTTGCTATTTAATTGGAAGGCCAGCTCGGCAAAGGAAAGCTAGCAATGGCACTTTGAATCAGGTCGGTTATCCGGCTATTCCTAAGAGGAGGTTAAGCAATAGGTCCTCGGATTCCCGAACTCCCACTACGTTTTTAGCCCGATTACCGATCATCTATTCCCGAATCTCGGTGTAATCAATTCCCGAATCCCGCTCACAAAATTTTCCAATTCCCGATTCCCAATTTCAGAGAATGACAACAACCGTTTTCCCGAAAAGCATATTGGGCTTATTGGGCATATTGCACTTATATTAATGGTTCACAAGCTCATTCAGCCTCTCTAAATTATCATCTGACCTCGTTTGCATATTTTAGTACCGTTCTGTCAAGTGTTGCTCCGAAACAACTTTGCCGTTGCTGCTCTCATTATCTGTCTTTTACACTCCCGTCAAGATGCATTTTCTTAAAGCTAACACTATAACAACTGTATACCGTGGCATTTTAGAGGATTTTTGGTAGGCTCACGATGGAACGGGCTTGTGCGGTACTTGCCTTTGTGCAGCACTTTCGTAGTCTGAAATTGCTAAATATAAAGGAAATTTCTATTGCTGGAATTCCATGGATGTTGAAGTTTCAGTGATATCCAAACCATACCATTATTCGCAGTAGAGAAAAGCACACAGCCTATTCTATTCTAATTGAAGACGGACCACATAGAAGACGCAATTGCGTCTTTGGTTAATAATGCGGTTTTGCTCTAATTTAGACGAAGCGAACGTTAACCCATCACATATTCTTCCAATCAAGCTCCCAAAGGCAGTTGGTTTAACGGAAAAACTGCATTCAAATGCAATCTTCGTTCTGAAAAGATCACTTCTATTCAGTATAGAGTTATTCTTTTGTCGGCAGTTCTTAGTTGTATAGATAAGCCAACCTGATGGCAAAAGCGTTTACGTTCATATTACCACCATTGATATGCATAGGAAATAGGAAATAGGCTAAATAAAAGCTTTATTCAGGAACGTTTAAAGTGAAAAAACTGCCATGTTTCGATATCATGATACGTCCAATCTCTATGCAATTAAAGAAAATTGGTTTATATCTCAAAGAGATTCTGCAGAACCTGGCCCATTCTCAATCTGTCTCAAAGGCGTTTGAAGACCAAATGTTCACAAAGAATCTCTGAACAGGCATAATGATGTAAAGATAGGTCAAAGAATTAGCGCAGTTGGCAGTTTGCAATGATCTCTGTTGTAAAATGTAACGTTCAGAGGTAGAACTCTAGGTTGTTTCAAGCAGATCTACATATATCAGTCCACTAACTTCCTTAAATTGAAGTTGATAATCAAATCCTACTTTCAGCATGTAAATGTCTTAAGATCGGCATGGAATTGCAGCAACCTGAAGAATTAACAGGATTGATGAAAAGCGCAATTATGACAGAAATTTCGCTTTATATCTTACTTTTCATCTTACTGTTATATGATGTAACGTTAATGTACATGTTTTTGCTATCAAATTGATATCGAAATTACCCAGAGTGCATTTGAAAAGATCGCAATGCCGTTTCATTGATGTTAGTGACTAAAACTTGTGTATCAGAATTAGCTCAACTTCACTGAAAAACTTTTTTTTAAGGGAACCTCCATATCTACGAATATTCAACCAGTTGCGATAAGACTTTTCTTCTTTTACATTTTTTTTGACAAGTTACCAAAATATCGTTAGCTACATGATATATTACATACACTGCGAAGACGATATCCCGGGGAGCATCAACCGATTTTTTTCTTTGTTACCAGACTTCCCATCCTTGAACTTATTCTTTTCCCGTTCTTGTTAGAATATCGCTGCAAAGAATTGCAACGCTATAGAGGGATGCTTAAATTCATTTCCTTGAGTTTTTCATTTGAACATAACGACGTACTTACTACAATTCTCTTAACAGACATACCTTAGAAGTAATGACGTAGCAAAACAATAAGGAGTTTGTCTGTGACTAACCCATCCAACAGGTCTGTCAAATAATAACCAGTGCCGTATAGTCAAAGCTAAACATGCGTTGGTTTACAGAACAGGGCATCTCAAAACGCAATCATATCCCTGGACATGGCTCAATTCCCATGCAAATTGGATGGAATTTTTTAGTTATTGCAAGAATTCCGGGATTTTTGTCGCTGAATCCCTTTCAAATTTTTTTTGCAAAATAGCCAAACTGCACAAGGAGAGCGTATTCGAATAATCAGTTCATCACATCTCCAGATCATTCCTTCTACCTTCTTCGTTATTTTAATACGACGCCATTTTAGTTACCTCATTTATTCTGCTCTCAATGCAAGGCAGCCATAATCCTATCCTCCTGTTGAGAATTCTTTTGCTTTACATGTATCATTTTCTTAAAAATTAAATTGCTTGGCTTTCTCTGACAGACATCAACCTACAAAACCGATTCATTCCATTTATATAAGCATTTTACCATTGGCTAATTTGTGGAAAATTTCAAAAATTCTTCAATGCATTGCCCTTTCGTGGTTTAAGTAAGCTACCACTAAAAGTAGCTTAATGTGTCAAAACGCTGTAAGGACTTTACAAGGAAGTATTAAAGGTTAAGATAGCCTCTAATTACTCGATCAATGAACACTATGGCAAGGAAAGGCTCTTTTAATTTGAAACCCATGTCTGATGGCATATCCGCTGCTAATGTTAAGTGAGTCTGACAAAAGATTCTCAAATGGACGTATGACTTGCTAAACTTCAAAAGCAGCGTTTTTAATAACTTTAAAAGCCAGCCTCGATGGCGATAATAACTTATTATTAGCGATGCAATGAAGTATAAAATAAAATCATCTGAAAAGTAGGATATTGCAGGATCAAATTTACCAGACCCAAACGATCTTTTCAGGCATTCTGTAACCTTCACAAGCTATTACTAATATAACTTTCATGCTATTCTCTTTAAGCATACTATTGAAAATGCTATGAGCAGATATCTTACTCCTGTCTTCTCTAAAGTTTTTGAATTTAAAGCATCCGCTAATCCAGATGTTTTTTCCATCAAACAGGTATGCTGTTTCAAAATGGTATGAATAAAGAGGAAATTGTTGCAAGACTGAACGAGAAACTCTCAATGGTAGATACAGAAGCAAGAATATCAAGGATATTTTATAACAAGAATGCTACATTCGAACAAGGTGAGAAGTTGAAAATCAAAATGCTAAAATCAACAGGGATTAGCTTAGCTTTGCATCGAACAAAGAAAAAAGACATTATATCGATAAATACCATCGTTCAACACTTGAATTATATTAGTTGTTTCATATAGATGTTGAATTATTTCGTTTTCTTGATAGCAAAAGTTATTGACATCAAGATAAATCGACAACAATGAATACGTATGTGACGAATCTTCTGAAAAATCTAACCACTACACCAAACTGACCCGTTACCGAGCAGCTAATGGTATTGTATTGCTACGGAGCATCCTAAGGTGGTTTTAGGTCAATGTCCTGGTCCCACCCCTTGATGTGACTACACTTCGTGACCCCTTCGCCTGGAAGCACAGAGGACTGGCGACCCTCCTCACTTTGAGTGAAAGTTTGGTCAAGTTCATGGCTCGAACTACAAACCATTGGACCTTTAGTCAGCAACCCTAACCACTGAGCCAGCAGCGTTAAATTAGCCACGGCAATCATGCAAATTATCCTGAAAATATTCTAACCAGTTCATCTTTTTTCTAGATACATTCATTGACATGCCAAAGCAATTATTTAAAATGTTCTTAAACACAGCTGGGATTGGAAAAATGGCGGATGTTCTTTCCATGTCATGGATAGAGATAACATCCCTAAAAGGACCCTTTTCAAACGAAAAAGAGCAAGCTTCACAATGCAACGAACTATTGCACCCCGATCATTTACTGGTATGTTTGGGGCTTTCTGTTTATGAGAAATTCTTTTACTACTTTCAAAATACATTATTTCTCATTTCACTTACATTCGACAGACAACTTCATGTCTTTTCTTTAGCAGTCTAAGAATTTTTTGATTCTGAAACAAGCCCCTGACTAGAAGATTCAGACATTTTCATGTTCACACTTCCAATTACCTAATTTAAAATACTTTTCACATCTTCAATTGGTTGGATCTGAGATCACCAGGTGTTTTTTGGCCTATGGTAATAGTTTACAGAAAAGGACTTGGTAGAAGAAAAATAGTATTAGTGGACGAATTGATAAAACAATTAGAAACAAAACTCTGACAGTAGCAGAAGAAAGATGAAGAAGAATTTGCTTCTATAAAATTTATTGTTATGCTAAAGATAAATGGGCTCCAGCCTTAAAAGGTTAAGAGGATGTATGAATTTTGGAATATATTGTGACGCAAAATAAATATACTGAAAACTTTGACATTTTTAGAAAAAATTGGAAATGCTTAGCAATAAATGCTCCAGCATCGTTTTTTACAACCTTATCTTTTAGATTAGAATTTTTAAATCTTTTGTTTCGATGTGGATTAGATGGAATTTTTAAAATAAGAGGTTGTACAAGCTTGCTAAATACCATATTTACAAACTTTTATATTTACGTATCAACCAAGAGAGTAGATAAGCTATTTTCTAGAGTCAAAATTATTTGTTAGATAAGCTATAATGTCATTATCTGACTAGCAAAATTTGTTTTACTTCCAGAGCAACGTTATCCTTGAAAATTTGATACCTCTCCAAGATAAAGTTGCTGATTCCAAGACGAAAGGCAGTGTAATCGAAAGTTTAAGGCTGCTGTTTTGCAGTAAAAGCATGAAGACTGTTACTTTGCAATACATGCAGACTGATGACGTCATATCAGGCTTGGTAATACTAGGCCTTGATGGCGATGGATCCCTCCTCTTCTTTGCAAACGTTGGCTTTTAGTTGGCGAAGAATCATAACCAGAATACGGAAATCGAATCAAATTAGTGGCTTGTATGCACTTTTTGTTAATTTGGCAAAATGTCTATCGCATGACACTTTGCCAAATATCAGTAAGAGAAAATATGTGTATAGCTGTTGTGTCAATTTTTCCATAAAGACATAAAGAGTCAGAGACATTAGACTTCTAGATACGTCTCTATATGAATAAGCTGTTTGTGGTAGCAGACTTAGAAAAAACTATTTCGACTTTACAAAGTTTAATCGCAAATCAAGTCAAATATTTAAATAGTTTAATATAGTATTGTATTTTGGTAAGTAATTCACTACGTTCAAAATATAGAGAAACAAAAGAGATGGATAGGCTGGTTGAAAATTTTACCAAAAAGTGAAAGCAAGACAGAAAGGAGACCATTTTAGAACTAGCGAAAGTGTTTTAATGACTTTTATTTTCAAGGTTTAAAACAAGCATTACGCAGTTTGAAACTGAACTGATTTATAAAGCCAGTTTTTCTGTTAAAATCTGAATAACTTCAAGGAAAAACCGAAAGTTTTGAGAAATTTTCCCGTTACGCCCATGGGCATCATCAAAGATTTGATGATTATCCTGCTGATCAGAAAGTTAAAAATCTTAAACTTACAATTTTCCAGGAAATCATTTTTAATTACAGAATTTGTGAAAAATTTCTAAGGTGCAACTAAGCATTTTACGAACTTTTTGCACCAGTATAACTTGTTAAGGTTTTAATTCTTCTGCATGTAAATGTTGCTTATGAAAGCTTCATGTTCAAATGTAGAGTGAAATTACTTTATCAAAATAACATTTCTTGTTTTCGATTATAATTTTGTTAACATCAGAAATGTGAAACCTCAGCTTAGATTTTATACGTTAAATACTAAATGGGCTAATCTGAACAGGCATTCTGTGAATATGAACGAACATGGAGAAGCAAATATATTGAAATTCCATGTATTTTGCAAAGCTGTCATATTTCTTTATCTTTCCTTTAAAGGTATAAAATATTTCTTTTTTTTATGCCTTTCATATTTCCTCTTAAAAGTTAAACATTACTCCGTAGATAATCTAGAGTTACCCAGCTCCTTTTTTAAATACAATTGCTAAATTATATGGCGCCTCTGTCAATTCCTCTAGTCATTTTTCTTTAATTTCGGAAACAATAACCATATTGTGGGCTTTTTATGAGGGGGATTTTAAATGACTAGGGGTATTATTTGGTTATTTGGAATTTTGACATTTAAGGGCTGTTTGGAATGGAATATTGAATATGAAATGTTCAGAAGAATGCAGTTTTAGAGAATAAAGATATTTGCAAACGGCTAGAGTTTTCTTCCCATCTTTTGAACATTCCAAAGCAAAACTTCTATCTGAACGGCTTACATATGTACAGAATGACAGTTCTTCACGAACTTTATTAGCACATACATCTTATGAAATAAATAAAGAGGTACAGTTTAGTCTCCAGGGGCGACGCGACCGGGGGATGTAGGGGATGCCACACCCCCCCGCCAATAGTATCTCAATAGGAAATTTCAGGTAAAATCCGCTCGGTTGAAGAAACGCTTTAGGTATTTCAGAGCTTCATGTCATAAAATCAATAACGGATCAAGCAAAGATAGTTGCTCTGTTGGTTAAATATGATATTCATTAATATGAATGAAGGTTAACAAACTAATAATTTGAAGATTTGAAGATTTCTTGTTGGCACTAAATCTAAAAATCCAGGCCCTCTTTTGGTAAAATTGTGTAAATCTAAAAACCTCAGGTAAAATTGTGTCTAGGTAGAAGCGTCAACTGCAATTCACTATGAGCTCCAGATTTATTTTAACATTCAAAAGACATGCTAAGATGGAAAGAGGGATCTAAATTGACAACCAGTGCTTCTTATTACCTAAGTAACTTAAAACGTGGTATTTTTCAAGACCACGGCGAAATTGTACCAGTTGTTTATATCTGCTGTTCAATTTGTTTGCAAATATAATTCTCAATAGGTTCAGCAGGATTGCTTTAGTGAAATTTGCTTAAAAGATTGCTTTTTCCAGGGAACTAGAAGCATCGAAATTTGAAAATTTCCTGCTCATTCGCCGGCAACCATGGTGCCGCCTGGGGTAGTAATGTTATTCTTTTCCCCGTTCCAATACAGAGATTTGACAAAACTATTAGGAAAGCCCGTCATTATCGTATAAAAATGAAAGTTGTATAAAAATACAAAATGTATTGCAGAGGTTTGTGACAGCAAGTAAAGAATTTCAGTCAAAATATTTTAATCAGGTAAATTTGTAGTCAACTAACTAACTAACTAACTAACTAACTAACTAACTAACTAACTAACTAAACTAACTAACTAACTAACTAAACTAACTAACTAACTAACTAACTAACTAACTAACTAACTAACTAACTAACTAACTAACTAACTAACTAACTAACTAACTAACTAACTAACTAACTAACTAACTAACTAACTAACTAACTAACTAACTAACTAACTAACTACGTATACTAATATGCAAAAGGGCTAAAAGGAGAATAACAGAAAAGCATTACTTAGCAAGAAATTTTACCTGTAATCTTACAAAAAAGAACGGAATGATGTAAAGTCTGCACGCAGGCTATGAGATCCCGTGTCATGAACGTAGCATTCGAGACCTAAGGGGGATTCACTTAAATGCTACGAAATATACAAAAAAGCTACCTAAGATAAAGCGAAGCGTAATTACTAAATATATCCATGCTAAGGCTGGCACTATCTCAGCAGTATTGCAGGCGCATCAATGACTAAATTGAATCTTCTGGTACATCCATGATTTAATTGACAGAGGGGTCTACAATAAGCAAAATCTGGGATATGCAGTAGATTGTTAAAAAGGGAATCTTTTGAGAAAATATTCCTATCACCAGATTTGAAAATTTTGTCCCAGACTTGAAAATTTTTGCATTTATGTTGCGTATGGTAAAATATTTGAAAACGAGAACAAGAAAGTCGATCAATACCATTGCTTTCGACCAGTGGATATCCATTTTAAAATAGCATTCTATTCTTAAAGTTTGCTCAAAAGAATGCAATTTCCAGTGAAACTTGAAGCTTTAAGATTACAAAAAAAATTTCCTTTCGGTGGCAACTATGGTGCCACCTCAGGTAGTAACTTTATTGTATCTTATTTTATCCCGCCCTAATCTACCGATCTAAAGTGCATTTTAAATATCTTTCCAGTTAAGGCAAAAGCTATGAGTTTTTTGCCCCCTTCTCCCTCCTTACATTTACATGAAATGCTTCTATTTGATGAAAATAAATCAAAGAAAATTTGTCGGAAAATTTTTTATTCTGCCCCTTTCTAGAATTCATTCACCAAGACGCCCCTACAGTTGGGAGTCATGTTTGGGTAGGGTGCTTGTTGCACCCGCTGAGATGTTTTTACCTAGAAACAACGGTTACCATGAAGAGTATCGTTTTCTTTGTACTTATGTTTCTTCTTGAAGACGAGGCCAAACCAATGTATGCAACAATAATATCATCACGTGAAGGTCACTTTTGAAAAACCTTTGTATGATATTTTGGACGAAAAGCTCTTCACGAAAAGCTTTTGGTACCAAAGTTTGGATTAAAATTTGGAGCTAAAAGAACTGAAAAGTAACATGAAAGGCACAACTGCAGTATTGTGTGCTTGTATCTTTCTAGTGTTTTTCAGGCTGGCTGCATCGAAGACTCATAAACATCCCGTGTCGACATACTTCCATAGAAAAAATGCTGATGGCACTCTTGTTGACCGGTCGAGTCTGAAGTATGAAGAAATATTTAAGACAATTTTTATTGAAAAAATTTCTGAATTAGATGCTAGCACGGCATCTATCTCAGCTAATCCACACAATGATGTAGAAAATGGGGAAGATGTTGTGATATCTTGGAAGAACGTCATAAAGCCAAGCTACATGGATTGGATAGGCCTCTTCTGCCCTCAATCTGACAATGCAACAAGACCTCTTGATTATTTTCATGTCACTGATTCTCGAGAAAAATTGTCTTGGGAGCGTGGTTATGGAAGTAAGACAGTCAAGCTTTTTAACATGAGAAGCAGCTGCGAACTTAGATATTATAGAAGTGTTGATGGCGGAGACTATGCTGCTTTGGTAGCAAGAAGCAGCTCAATTACCTTCAAAGGTCGCTCAGACGTACCCCAGCATGGCCACCTTTCCTTAACAAATGATCCCTCAGAAATGAGAGTCATGTGGATATCTGGGAATGGTAAGCTAGTATTCAATGAATAACTTGTCATTATTTTTGTCTGAATGTCAGACAGTTCATCTTTGAAAGGTGGGCCGGCATAAAATGGTATTTGAAGAAATTTTGCAATTATTCGGTAGGGTTGTAGCAAGAGACCAATTATTGAGGGGTGGGGGTGAGGGGTTAGTGGGTTGGGTTCAGAATAATATCCATCCAGTACTAAAGGCATTGAGTCATAGTAAAAAGGCCTTCTCTATAGGGGGTCATTTGGTTTTGGCATGATCGCTGCTGTTCCATGTGATTTTTGCATCCATTGTTGACAACTTGCTATTGATGAGAATTGTTTTGTCAATCAATATGAGGTGAGTTCATGTGGCCAGTTCCAGTTCAACCAATAGCATCGCAGTCATGAAAATCATGACTCAGCAGATTTTGGCACTTAGGGTATACCCAATCCATTCTATCATGACTCAATGCCTTTAACTCTCAAAATGGGCAAGAGATTTTGAAAAAATGCACTTTACTAAAATGCCATAATAAAACTGTGCCAAAGTATTGTATATTTCTGCTTGCATGTGCCATATGTGCTTTAGTCAGTAATTAATTCCAGTATTGATACTGAAAGAAACATAGTTTATGGAAAATAAAGTCAATGTTCTGCCAAATTTTCAGATAAAAAGATGGAAATAGTGAGCTGCATACCTAGTTCGTCTCAGCATATCATCATCATCTCAGGGGGGGGGGGTCATGTCCACAAAAGCAAGCAAATTGCTTTGTCAGTTTCAAGCCAGAATGACTACTCTTGCATTTTTCTACTTTAAAAAATGCTTTGTTATCAATTGTTTTACTTTATGATAGCAATTATTTGTTTTGTAGTGATCATTGTCAATCCATCTTAATTTCCTTCGTTGTATCACTGTCATTAACACTTCTTACATTGTTTTTGTTTCCATAGTCACAACATGGTCATCATTTATTTGAGCGGTTGCTGATGTTTAGTGGCTCCTATATTTTGCTGACCACAATGTGACATTAGATGCATAGACATTGTAAGATGTTAAAGGCTCTTATGCAACCGGAATGCTTTCTGGCTATATTTTCAAAACCGGCCTAATATCTTATTGTATGAAAATACAAAACAAAATCAATTTCTCAAGACTGCTGCTGCTAAGCATGCTGGTTGCACAATAGCCTTTAATGACAGTGATATAGTGATAGAGTTTTTTACAAAGTTCATTTGGTCACTTCAGTTGGAAAAGACACCTGAAAGTATCAAGAGATCTTGAGGACATGAACATTGTTTATTGACATGGGATCAAGGGTGGGCTCAACTCTAATAAAATGGGGATGAAAGTGGATCTATAGGAACAACAAATAGCATTTCTTTTGACCACACCCTTTTTAAAAATAGTAAAACACACTTCAACTAAAAAAATGTAAGTGACAACAACACATTCTTTCCAGTCTTCTCAGTATTGATGTCTCTAGATGTGATATCCATTTCTCCAGAAAGCAATATATGCACCAGGCAATTGGAAGTATCCAGTATTTTGAACAGGTTTTGGTTCATTTAAAATCAAGAAACATCCTGGTCTTAGGCTGCAGCTCCTACTTTTTATAAAAAAGATCATTTTTATGTTTAAAAGAAGAAAAAATTAATATATAAAGAAATGGGTATGTTTAGCATTATATCAATTCATTATGCAGGTGATTCCCCAGTTGTTTGGTTTGGCACATCAAAAGACAAACTGTCAAAGCAAGCTGATGCAACAACAAAAACATACAAGCGAGAAGACATGTGTGCCTTTCCTGCAAATTCCATTGTTGCTTTTAGAGACCCTGGACTGATCCATGATTCTCTCTTAACTGGTCTTCAACCTGGTGTCACTTACTACTACAGATTTGGATCAGCTAAGGTTTGCAACTTTATATGCACTTATAAGATCTATATAAGCAAATTATTGGAGGGGAAGAGAGGTAGAATCAAAGGGGAGACAAGAGTTGCCACTTGGTATTGAAAACTGTTTTGTGACAAGTGTCAGTATTTGTATCATCCTGATACAGTATCATCCTGTTATAACATACTGGGTTATAGCATATTTTTGGATATAGCGTACTGGTGTGCTTTGTCCCTGCAAAAATTGTGTTTGGTTTTAGTCAATCAACTGTACAGTAATGCTGGAGCAATTCAGGTGTAAGGGGGGCAGACACGAGAAAAAGGCATTGTAAGAATAGTTTCCAACTTCCACATATTTTCAGGCAGCTGTTATTTTAATTTCAAATTGCCAAGTCATCTTGAAAATAGGCTTTCTACCGGCAAAGCAAAGTGAAAAATCATCTTTAGAGAAACATCATTGTCAAAACAATTGGGAAATCAATCTAAATGGCACATCACCCATAATGACATATGATACTCCTTGATAACACAAACTTGTGTAATCAAAGTTCAAGATTATCTTTTGCTAGCTAGATTTTATGCCAAATTCGCAAGTGATTTGTTCCATGTGCAGTTCTCAGGTGACAGTTTGGCTCTTGACTCACCTACCTATACACAGAGAAGTATTAGATACAATTTAAAGATGCTCTGTATTTCATAATGTCATGTATAGTATAAGTGTTTATATACATACACTCTGATAAACAAATCAGAAGCCATTGAAAAAAGAGCTCAAAGCTCGATGACATAGTTCCTCATAATAGTTCCACAGTACAGCATAGTAAAAAATCAAGACGTAAAAGATGCTAAAATTCAGAATAACTTGAAATGAATAAGTCATCAATATAAGCAAAAACAAATCCAAACCACAAGTACTTTGATGAATGAAGTTCTGATAGCAATGTGCAACACAACACGATCTGGATGGCGTGTGGATGAACTCTGACCATCCATAAGGAGTGCCCGTCCCTCATACTTTGGATTTGGCGGACAATCTCTGTTTCCTTTTTAAACAAAGATTGATAAAATGAAGTTGCATCAGGGGTTGCAAGTATTGAATGGCGTGAGCTGGCGGCAGATAAAGTACCTCGAATCGTCACATTTGTTGTGATGTTGACGTGGTGCCTATTTCAACTGGAACTTGATGCTAAGCACGCACTAGTTCATTTTTTTAAAGACTTGTAGAAATCTTGGATAATTAGAATATAGGATAGCAATCAGTAAGTGTAGCAGTGTTCAAGCCACTGCAAGGTCGCCAGTCACTTTGAGTAGGCTTCGGGGCCATGTGCAACAGAGAAGACTAATTTCATTTTGTTGCTGAGCTATTAACTGTAGTCAAATCAGCCTTGGCAATTGTAAAACGACAAGAAGAACGAGCACGGACAGGAGGGTCCATTGTTGTGATATGGTGGATGACTGTGTGTTTTACTTTGGATTCAAGGTATGAAGGGCGGGAAATGTCGATATCCTTTTTAACAAAGACTGATAGAATGAAGTTGCATCAGGGATTGCAAGTATCGGAAAGCTTGAGCTGGCGGCAGATAAAGCACCTTGAATTGTCACATTTGTTGTGATGTTGACGTGGTGCCTATTTCTAACACCAACTTGAAGGCCGTATTAAGCAAGGAAATCAGTGCCAAGTATTGGGAGCTATATGTCGTCAATTATAACAATCCTTCACTGTATGTAGCAAAGCGTTTACCAGTGATATGGCCTGTGATGTTAAAGAGATGATGGACCAGCAAAAATAGTCGCCCTTGGTTATAGCATCGTTTCCCAGGTTCGAGTTGAAGCTGGCAAATGTGCGTGGAAGGGTGGAATTGCGAGCTTTTCGACCATTTCGTTGGTGGTATCAGCAGTAGGCAACGTTCAAGGCTGCTTGGTTGAGTCAGCGATTGCTTCTGATTGAGCATCTTTGGCTGTGCCCCTGGAAATTTTAATCGGCTGATTGCAGCTCATTATTGCTTGGAGGTGAAAAGTCAGTTTCTCCACTTTAGGTAATAAGAGCATGGACTTCTGATAGGCTGTGTTAAAAGCATGGAAGTTGGCACTGATGCAAGAGTTGTCAAAGAGGAATTTCCGGAAGTGTTGGTGACCCCTAAAATTTTGTCTACCATTGAAGCAGCCTTCTCAACGGTAAGGGAGTTAACGCTGGAGGAAAAAATTAAAACTGTGAAAACCAACTGCAGCGAAATGTTGTCTTCAAGATAGCCGTTTTCAAGAAGTTGTCGCATGTGATGTAGTATTAAGGAGCTCTTATTCTCTTGCAGTTCAAGGCTAAAGAAGGAGATGACTTAGGCAACCTTTGTAGATTGAGAAGTTATATTTGAAGTAAATGCAAGGCTGCTACGTGTGCAGACCAAACCAAACATGGGCATCATTGTGTCAAAAGGTGAAAGTTTTAAACTCACCAAGGCAACTGGGGCAGGTTCTGAGTTCGTTGCAATGGCTGCATTCGCTGTATTGGTGACTAAAGCTGGTCTTCCGTGTGCGTTGCAATTTTTAGCCGTCACCCATTTCACAATTACTGTTTGTAAAAAAATCGATAAATAATTGTTGAGTGAAGTCTAGAGAAGCAGATCACTTGTTGACCTATGTCACTTTCTTTTAACCAAAAAGAACTAAATTTTAACGCAAATTCAGTATTTATAAGCAGCGCAGCGCAGCATGAACAACAGAGCCAGGCGACAGCGAGATAAACAAAAGGATTGAATCAGAGATCTTATCAATACAAAATGATTTTCTTGAAATAAGGATTCGCTTCTTTGCCTTGTCTCCATTCCATGATTGATTATCGATAAATACTTCATACTCATCTGCTATTATTAATTTCTATCCAAACATGATTTGTTATTTCCGTAGGTATAGGAAGAATAGCATGAAATTAAGAGACACCAGTATCAAGCCAAAGGTTGTTGCCTTGAACCCTCCTTGTTTCAGTTTCAAATTCGCTTATCATCAACACAGCCAATAAAGGTGGCAGTTGCTAGCATTTTGCATAGTGGTATTGGAACCAGGGGACGTTGGGGGCGCATCTGCCAAAATTTTTTTACATTTTTCGTCAAAAAGTGCCCCTTTCCGTGTCCCTATAATACAATATGGTACCCCTTTCTTCTCTATGCCCTCACAGTCAACACGTCCCTAAACTTGCCTGTTTATAGAAAAACGCTTGTTAAAATTAATTCTCTCAACTTAGTTTTACTCTTTCATGTAACACTTAATCTCAATTTAATTTGCGTCACTTGTTTTTTTGTAATCTCAATTGAATTTATATTTCTTCATTATTTATCTTCAGATGATGAGTCCAGTTTACAACTTCACTACTGCCCTGCCTGCTGGTGATCCCACTCCGCATAAGTTTATTGTTTATGGTGACATGGGAATTGATGCCTTGCTAAGCCCGGGTGGACAGGAAACTGCTAACAGAATAGTAGAAGAGTACAGGGAAAATAACATTCGCCATGTTTTCCATAACGGTGATATTTCCTATGCAGTTGGATTTGTAAGTAGCCCCATGTCGGGGAGCTCAAATCTTCGTCAAGCAAGCTTTTTCAACAGTTTTTTGTCATACTGTTATAGGGGTGAAGATAGGATCTCAAAGGGGGATAGTAAATTGGAACAAAAAATGTCTCAATTCTTTGGGCTGGGATAGATATGAACCAGATTTATAGTGAAAATTTCTTCATATTTCGCAAATTATAAAGACAATCCACCAGATATTCCCGATTAAAGGGGAGATTTTTTGTATTCAATGACGACCTACCTACCCCCCTCAATAAATATAAATCACTTCACTTTATGAAATTGTGGTCAGTTGTACTATAGTATTCTTATAGCTTGTCAATGTATTTCTGTTTCTGGTGTATATGTTTGCAACATGGAAGGTCTACGGATTTGTTATGAAGTGAAGTTTAGGTTGCCTCTAGTCCAGTTGTGTCCCTAAGGATATTATTTCTCAAGCTCAAATTTGCAGTAGCATGTCATTTTCTAGGCAAATTGTATTATATAGCAAGTCCCTTATTTGTCTGTACAACATGTAATCATTACTATAGTTGTTGTAACACTTTTTGTTCAAGGCCTACCTTTGGGATCAGTGGATGAGCGCAATAGAGCCATATTCAACGCTAGTTCCTTACATGGTTGGTATTGGCAATCATGAACAGGACCACATCTCTGGTGGATCAAAAGACCCTAGCGGTGCACCTGGTGAGGGCTATCATCCAAAATGGGGCAATTATGGAAAGGATTCCGGAGGAGAGTGTGGTGTGCCAATGTACTACAGGTTCCACATGCCAGATAATGGACATTATCTGTGGTGGTACGCGTTATAGTTAACTATATTATCCCTATTTTAACCTCATTTTGATAGTAAACAAACAGCTTGACATTGAAGCAAGATGATCTTATGATTATATCTATGCCTGGAGACCACAAATATTCTTTGTTTTTTATTCACGAATCTTTAGAAATAAGGTCTCCAAGAACGAAACAGTCCAACAACTGGGTTAGAATCTGGAGCATCGCTCAAAGTTTTATAGATATTAGAGCGTTCCTTTGTCTAGAACAACAATGAGGGCTTCCATTTCTAGTTCTGTGTGACCACTATGCCACGTTGTCTTATTTTCTTTTTGTCCATAGTGCTGTTTGAATTCGCATTACGTAAATTTCAAACTAAAATCGACTTTTTAAAAAGAATAACACTAGCTTTAATATTTTGTGCAATTTTTTAGATATTATACATTTTGACAATTTTTATAGTGTTTAATTTAATTATAATTTTGTTGAGTCCTATTTATTTTGATAAGTGTAGGAATTTGATTTTTAATTGTTTCGCCCATTTTGTTGGATAAGTTTCAGTTTTATGGTCTTTGATTTTGTTTGACATTTTTCACTCATTGATGCAAAATATGCATTTTATACTACAGAGAAAGAAGAAAGTAAAATAAAGTGAAATATCATCCGCTCTTTCTATTGATCGTTCATCATCTTTGGCATTTTAGGTACAGCTATGACTTCGGTTTGGTGCATTTTATAATGATGAGCACGGAACACAACTTTGAGCCAGGATCAAGACAGTACGAATGGCTCGAGAATGATCTCAAGAAAGTCGATCGCAAAAAGACACCCTGGGTTTTGATCGGTGGCCATAGGGCAATGTACGCTAGTCAAGACGAATACGGTGAGTGAATCGTAGATATCTAAATTCTCTTCAAGGATGATGGTGCTAAAATGGTATTTATCAACACATTTCTTTCATGAAAATCATCGAACTTCTATGCCATTAATCTACCAAATTGTTACTATCGATGCCATTTTTAGTCCTTTACTCTTTTTGGCCGTTACAATCTGTTTTTATTACAAAACGGTGTAATATGTACGGGGTAGAATTGCCAATGCATTCTACCGAAGGATAAGGCGTACAGGTTGAATCTTTGAAAAAGAATGTTGAAAAGTACCAGCACCTCACTGTATTAAAGTGCCACTGAATTGAAAAAAAAGAAATTTTTTTTATTGTTGATTCTGGTAGACTAATCATCGCTGATTTCGAAAAAAAGTTTGGTTTTTTAATTTGGAGCCCACAAATAGGGGTTTCTGGGGTTCTTTTGCGAGTAGGTCGTGCGAAAAGAGGCTGGGGCGAGTGACGCATTCAGATTTATATAGTCAATTCAGCCATAGTGAGGTCTGTAAGAAGATAAAAAGTTACAAATTGCGTTAAACATGATACAAGCATGAAACCTGATAGAGATAGGCAGTTTGATACGCTGAAAAAGATGGGGTGTGAATAGACGCTGACAAATATCCCCTTGTGCTATTTATAGAGTGGGGTACTAGGTTCCAAACCTCTAAGCAGTAATTGACATAATTTAGCCATTAGATCGCGAAACCAGCATGGAACGTGGTAGTAATAGGCAGTTTGATACGCTGAAAAAGATATGATATGAATTGACCCTGTAAATCCCCCTTGTGCTATTTATAGAGTGGGGTACTAGGTTCCAAACCTCTAAGCAGTAATTGACATAATTTAGCCATTAGATCGCGATACCAGCATGGAATTTGGTAGTAATAGGCAGTTTGATACGCTGAAAAAGATAGGATATGAATTGACCCTGAAAAATCCCCCTTGTGCTATTTATAGAGTGGGGTACTAGGTTCCGAACCTCTAAGCAGTAATTGACATAATTTAGCCATTAGATCGCGATACCAGCATGGAATTTGGTAGTAAAAGACAGTTTTATACGCCGAAAAAGATAGGATATGAATTGACCCTGAAAAATCCCCCTTGTGCTATTTATAGAGTGGGGTACTAGGTTCCAAACCTCTAAGCAGTAATTGACATAATTTAGCCATTAGATCGCGAAACCAGCATGGAACGTGGTAGTAATAGGCAGTTTGATACGCTGAAAAAGATAGGATATGAATTGACCCTGAAAAAATCCCCCTTGTGCTATTTATAGACTGGGATACCAGGTCCTAGACCTCTAAGCAGTAATTGTCACAATTTAACCATTAGATTGTGATACCAGCATGAAACTTGATAGAGATAGGCAGTTTGATACGCCAAAAAGATGGGGTATGAATAGAAGCTTAAAAATATCCCACCGTGCTACTTATGGACTTTTAATCAATTCCATTTAAAATGAACTTCTTTACTTTTTGAGGTCCCCTGACCACGAGGTTCTGGGGCAACTTATCCCATCTTGACGGCCCTGGCAATAACTGATGCTTTGACAGTGGCAACGCAAGTTGGAAAGTGGGAAAAGCGCCGAGAAATGTGCAATTTGTGTGGTTCTATAATAGATCAACTTTTTCCCTTGATCAGTTTGCTCACTTTTATTCATAATTTGTAAAGCTGTTCGTAAAAGCATTCTTATTCGACACGCTCAATAATTCATAAAAGGTAATTGATCGGCATGAAGTCTTGGTAAAAACTGCACGCAAAAAGTTTGCTTATTTTGTATGGGCTCGAAATTTTTGCAAGAAAATACCTTGCACATGTCTTGTAGTTAGATAGCTAGTGGTATTTAAAGCACAAGTATCGCACTATTTCCATCCACTTCACGTTTATTTTGGTTTTTTATCGCACTCGAAATACAGTCTTCAGTACTGAAGCCCGCATCACTTCCGCGACTTATAAACGTTAATGCGTCACACATTCCTGAAATTCCTCACAAGCCGCGCACAAATTTTCGCACAAAAAGTCTTGAAAATCGCAACTTTGAAGCGTTGTAGCTTCAAGACACTTCACAATTCCGAAAAGGGAACTTCAGCATCGGATTCAGGAGCACCGACTTGACTTAGAACATCAATAAAAAAAATTTTGATTTTTTCAGTTCAGTGGCACTTTAAGGGTTCTAACAGATTTGTATGAGAAAATTTTATTAGTTTCAATCGTTGAGGGATAGCAAAAGATTTATTATTTCAAACTGTGAACGTATTGTTTCAAACTCCCTCTTGTCTACCTCCACCTCGCATAATCTAAGGTTGTTTGGATAAGATCTATTACCGTGGAACTCCTATGTCGAATATTACCTGAAAGTGTAGAATATTTGAGAAAGTGTTCTTCCCCGGGATAGAAGCTTCTTGTGAAACCTTTTTGCTATTTGCTAAACATCGCAAAGTTTTGAAATTCCACTCCTGAAACTGCTTTCAGCGTAGTGCTGTTATTGATCGATAAAATTTCAGCTGTTTTTCGATGAAGATAGCATCAGTAAAGCAGCTGCTCAATTTATACTTTATAATCACTTATGCTTAAGCTAAATGTTGAATGATTTCGGATGTGGCTCTGGGTGTCTTGTACAGAATCTAATGTTTAAATTCTTAGTGCTAAGAAGTAAACCTGGATATTTTGCAGAAGTGTAATTTATTTTCACAACTTTGTCAATCTCAGCTACAATGTTGTTCATAGTCAGTTAGAATACATGCAAGCATAGGTAGGGATTAATTTGATATTTCCGTGAATGGTTTTTTCACCAACAGACGACTACATCGTGTCTGTGAATATGCAACGGTTATTTGAGGATCTGTTATATAAGTACAAGGTTGATTTGGCACTTTGGGCCCACTACCACAGCTACGAGAGGACGTGCAAAGTATACCGAAACAGATGTGCCGAGGATGGGATCACGAATGTTGTTATCGGCACTGCAGGGCGCTTCCTCGATCTCGAGTTATTCATGCACAAGGACTGGTCGGTAACGAGACTCAAAGAATATGGCTATGGCAGAGTGACAGTTTTTAATCACACAACAATGCATTTTGAATTCATAAGAAACAAGGATAAGGTTGTGCGAGATAGCTTTTATCTTCATAGGTAAATTTGATTCTTATTACACGGAGCAGACAGACTATTATTGTTTCATCTAAAATTCTCGAAATTTAAGCAGTTGATAAACCAAACTCTAATTAATTGAGAAAAGAAATTAGTAGGATCATAAAGCAATTTTTGTTTTCTTTTTTTATCAGGATTTCGATTGCAGGGTAGTTTTTATATATCTTGATTGTTATAGACTGGGAGAGTCTTGTTATATGTGCTATATGTCTTTCTTCATTCATGAAGCAAGTTGCACCTGCAAATTATGCGAGCTACTTGTTTTGAAATCTTGCTGTCGCGTTTTTATCAATTGATAATCATGGTGACAAATTAATAGAGCTTTAGATGCTCAAAATAAGCAAGTTTTTTTCTCCTAAGGATTTGTTAAAAGTTATAAATGTTCTACAATATATTTGTTTGTAAGAAAAACTTAAATGAAAGAGTGCCAACATTTGGCTTGTGTGAAAGGCTGCTACGAGAGATTTCACTCTCCCACCCCTATTCTACAGTACCCAGATCTTCATTTTCATTGAATTTATAAGTGCATTGTTTGCAGACATTTCGGAGCAGGAAAAGTAAGATCTCAAATGCACGTTTGACTTCTTTGCTTCAGAGAAGGGTCCCTCCCCACTCAATAAAGTAGATTCCATGAAGTACTGAGGTAGTTTATCACGGACACCATTCCTTGATTCTATATTAAAAATTAAATGCACGCTGATTATTTGCTCAGCATTGAAAATTATTCTGCTGCTGAGGGTACCTTATGTTGATTTTAACACTGTTAGATATCACAGACAAAGGTTAACCTAACATGTTCTTGGAAACTAGTCCAACATCTAAAGCATCATATCTCAAGAAAGCTTCTTCTTGAATGCGTTGGGACTCTCCTGTAGTTTGAAAACCTATGCTGCCATCCTCAGTTTCTTTTCGCGTATTTTTTGAACTCCCGTGAGCTTGTGTTAAATTCCGCTTTATACTAAATCGTAATTGAATCAAATTTCAGATTTATTTTTTTAACTAGTATATCATTGAACGCTTGTATGTTTTGATGTGGATTTGAGTGAGATGGATTTCATTATAAGAATTGTATTAAAGTTGTTGTTAAATTTAATGTTATACGAAGTAAATTATCTTTTGGATAATTCTTTTTAAAATAGCTTATCGTAAAATGGTTGTTTGCTTTAATGTGGACGGAGATGTGATGTAATGTATGTCTAGAGCCATATTAGATTTCTTGTTTATTTTAATATTGTACGAAATATTTAAATAAGTATCTTCTGGATAGTGATTGTTAAAATTGCCTTATCGTCATATAGTTGTTTGCTTTGATGTGGATATAGAAGAAGTGAAACTCAATATAAGTGAAATGATTTTAGTATTAAGAGATAAGTTTTATATTAAGAGATAAGTAATCTTTAGATTTTACGGTATATTGATGATTGTTTATTTGAGAGAGTTCACGTGTTCTCCTTTTTTGTTATCCTTTTTATTGTATGTGTAAATGTGAAAAGCAAAATGCCATAGATCGTCTGCAAGTAGCGTTTCAGGGATTTTGCATAGTTCCAGCCGATATGCAAAGCAACTTTTATACGGTGTCGCGGTATCATTTTGTGATGCAATACTTTAGAAAAGCTGTGAACTAAATGTACCAGCTAATGGAGTTCTCATGGAAGGTACACTTCAATTTATCAAAAAATTAACAGATTCTTTTAAAGGAAATACCGGCAGGAACAACACCACTATTTTCTGTTTTTTTTTCACCTCGGAAATAAAACATCATGTAACTCTTCCAGATTCATTTGTTTAGTTTTTTGCGTTTATATGTAGCTTAATTTGAAAAATTGTTAATGTCGTCTTTAGTAGTGATTAGATGACCTTGTCTTTCACCACTATGTGCGACATGCATTTAAGTTGCTTTAATTGTAAGTTAGTTTTTTTTAAATTTATAAAAAAGCGGTTAATCCGTAAAATTTCACAGCTGTAATGCTTTCGTAGATGGACAAGTGCTTTGTACGGATTGACCAATAATTATTTATTCATACAAAGTGTATCAATTAAGCGCGCATGCAATGAAATTTTTGCTTGAATTCCTGTTTGCAATCAGTTATCAGGCAAGTTGAAAACAGTCTAGCATGCTCTGATCCATTTTATGTAGGAACTCTTAAACTTAGATATGTAAATGAAAGATTTAAATACGAAAGAGAAAATAGGCAATGACAATGTTCTATAGAAAAATAGTTCAGCAAGATTTTATCTCGTAATTTTAACTTTGAGCCATGAACACTCAAAGGTTTCTTAATTGTTGAAATGAATTATTCAATCGGTTGTCGAGACGTATTTATAGTCCATTAGAAACTAAATTTAGTTGTCAGTTTGATTCTCCACGAGGCATCTTCTGGTCACCACATGCCAACTAAAGCATACCTGCTGCACTTTTTAGCCGCTGCATTGTATTTGATGCATTTCATCTGCCTTCTGCCTCGTTTTTGCAATAATTCGCTTGTGCGTTTCATTGTAAAGTAAGCTTTGAATGGCTCGAATACACCTAACATTTCATAATGTCTCTCAACAGGCTTATTGTGTACTGTCGCTTCTTTGTCCTCATCTCTGAGTATGTCACTTGTAATTCGAGGGGCAGAGAACACTAAGCATACAAGAGATAAAATAAGTAGAGCTGCGTATGTTGTATGCATGACTTGAATTGTTTGTTGAGTAGATCGTCCTGTGAATGCAAAAAATAAATATTTTTCAATTCCCTGAAAATTGGCTGTCTTGTGCTCTATTTGTCATCTTTGCCATGTATTAAGTCAGAGATGCTTAGCATTGACTATATGATATTATGTCTCTCAAAAAGCTTCTATGAATGGACACAAATCATACACTGTGATAGCCAAACAATTCGAATCAATGTATTTTCTCTTTACATCAATGTATTTCCTCTTTAATAAAGTTTAAACGTTCGAATAAATCATTAGGCTTCAACGAATAATGCAATCACTTAGTTACTTTTTGATGTGTAAACTAAATCTTTTTTAAGTTGCAGCCCAGAGTTTCACGCTTATTGCGATCATTAGGCAACAGTAGTTAGCTCCATTGACATAAATATCTTAATTGACAAGTTTCCCCATTGATTGCTGCTTATATAAAATGGTTACACGTAACTTTGACGTTGCCATTTTGTGGAATAAACCTGTTCTATTTGATCTGTTCGTAGAGGTCATTTCAATAGCAAAAAGGAAGCATAATTATTCATTTTTATGCAAAAGCACGACAAAATGCCTTATTGTGTTATTCTGTAAAGAATTTTAAAGATAAATCGATGAAGTACATAAATCATATCCGATGAAAATCAACATTTGAAAAGAATAAGAAGAACATTTTGAATTAGAAGTAAACAATTGTCTCGTTATCCTCTGTTACTAACGCTTACTATTATTAGGTATTAGATTCATAAAACCAACGCATACCTTGCTAACTTTGCAAAATGAATTATCTCTCGATTGTGTTCGTCTGTTGGATGATACTAAGTTCCCTTTAAGCAGGAACATCTTTTATATAGACGATCTATTCTTATCGATAATGGTTATTTAGAAATTCATTAAACTCGTTGCTTAGGCAACCGCAGGGACTTCTGGGAGAGCTAGCTTTCTTTGAGCGATTGACCGAATAACGATAAGGGTGTTCTGTGACAACAGAAATCGTACAATCTTGCAGTAACAGCAAGTTCAACCCAGTAACTTTGTAAACAACTAAGCAAATGATTTTGCTTTTCACGAAAACACGTCATATCAGGTATCTTTAAGCCATGCTAGTTTTTATTGCAGACCTCTGATGAGAAATTTACTATCTGATGGTATATACGTTTCCTTTGCAATAATTTTCACAAAGATTATTCCATACAGACACCAAGTCTGCGTTTGTTTATCGTTTTTAACACCCACGGTATCAGCGTTAGCAATACAATTCATCGACGTTTACTTGCTTTCTGTATGGACGTTCATTCTGATTTTTTGAGACAATTCAATAAAAAAATGAAGAAATTTGTCTTAGCTAAAGAATCTTTTAAGGGATTTCTTACTTAATGGACCACATGCTATATTAATCGATGCCTTTCATAAACAGACACCTAAAAGACTCATTGCTAACAGTGAGCCATTGCGCTACGCAAGCATCCCATAATGCATTTTTAGATAGTCTGAAATCAATTTTGGTTAATCCGTAGAAGTTTACTGCCATTGTTTGAATCGTCGCCACGCTCGCAAAGGCCCATTGTTAGCAATGAGTCTTTAAAACTACGGAAAAAAACTTTCTAACAAACTCAACACCGAGAACCCCTACCTACAACGAGCCGTGGCGCTTTTATCCAAAGCTGCCCGTAGTACGGAGAAAGACGTTACGAGACACAGCTTAACGAACGTGGCCTAGAAAAAATACCGTTAACAGTTTTTGAACAATGCTTAATAAGATTTTTTAAAAAAGTAACCTATTTGACTTTAGCTTTCGCTAGCGTCGAATTTCCGTTTGTGTTCGACCTTGTGCAAAGCTCATATATTCATGTATGCCTTGTATAAGTTGTGTATTGACACAAATAAGTCTTGAAGTAACAAGCAACATAGGCCTGGCCTCGAAGTTTGCTATGCTGACCATTGCTCTCTGCATACTTCGACGAAACACCAAATGGAAAGCTTAGGCCATCTAGCTGACATTGTTTGGAAATCATTCTGCTGTGGCTGTACAGCGTTTGGGATCTGGTATTTTGTAGCCACGAGTTTTGCTACTGTTCGAAATTATTTATGTGTTTGGCTGCTGTTGCTGCAGTTTATCTATTACGGCCTAATGCTTATTTCAACATTGATGTTCTATCCCGTACTATCGCGCATTGCATGGCGTTTATTCCCAATAATTTTCTCGATGTCCTGCGTGATTTCCTACGTTACAGTAACCGCAAGAGACGGTTCCGATGAAATACTTAGAATAAACAACTTTTTGCTGCACATCGCACCAACATTGGCGAATTGGATAGAACTGCTCGTAAGGAAATATGACACTTTTGAGCCAAAAGCTCCTAATCTTTGGATCACAATATGCGACGTGTCTATCCCAGTGATACTTATGTTATCATATTACTATTGGACCTTCGAAGATGAAGTTTACCAAACCAGTTTCAAAGTGGATGTTCCCTCTTGTGTTGTCGTGTCAGTGTTGTCAAGTAGCCTGTGTTTGCTAGTCAGTGCATACAACTGAAGATGATGACAAGTCAATAATGATCGAAAATCTAACTGTAAATCTGATGAATAAAATCTTTATTATGTTTATCTGCTGACGTTGTTTTGTTTACTTCTTCGAAGTCTAGCAAACGTAGACTGTTGTACGTTGTAGATTAGATTGTCACTTCAAACATCTTTCTGACTGCCGTCGTCTCCAATTTTCCTAAATGCAGACACTTTCCTTTTACACATTTCTCTAATCATATGTTCAGTTGAAACACATCCTCTCCTTGATTATTGACTTTGCGCACGTTTGAGCAGACAAGAAAACAAGATTGAAATGGCTTTAAAAAGTTTTCATTTTAGAAACTACCTAAGCTGAAGTTTTTTCTAAGCCATTTTCAAAGTCTGTACCACAAAAAGATTGTTTGCAAAAAGAGTGATTTTTCGTGCCGTTTCTTAACAATGTTTATTTCTACCTTTGAATAATAAAGTTATTTTCATCTCCTGTGTTAGAACAGAATTTTTACATACATTATTAATCCTAGCACTAGTTGTTTATTTTTTTGGTCCCGTATTCGATATCGAACGTTGGGGAATGCACTATTAGGGGCGCATCGTCCTGGGCCACGGCATTGTGTGGTAGGGTGGCCAGTTCCTTTCCATTCCACGCCGCTTTTACCTCCATAGTATGTTTCAACTAAGTATACTCATTTTCAGCTGAGTGAACTGTCAAATTGTTATTCGTTTTATTTTTCTGTCATCCCCGCATCACAGAATAGAAATGACCACATCACAGAATTCTGTGCCCACATCACAGAATATATCTCCATAGAAACAAGTGCATTGCAATCTCGTATTGAAAACGAAATAAAAAATGGCGACGAAGAAAGTGATCAGTCAACAAAAAAACCCGAGCTGAACCAAAACCACTTATCAATATGAAACTGCCTAAGTAACACCATTCAAGGCGCCGGAATCTGAGCAAACAAAAGTTGAAAAGATGGAATCTGCAGATAATAACACGCAACCTCTGTCTTCGCTTGGTATGCATTTTAATGATGGAATATTTCTCTCCCACCCGGGTACCTAGGGCTACTTTTTCTCAACTCAGGGTTAATGCGACTTAAATTTAAAGTAGCTATACAAATGCTACATGACTCAGAAAAATATGGTGACAATTTATTGTTATATTGTTGAAAATGATATTTGCCCAAATGTCATAGCTTTTATCAATTAACTGTTGCTTGGTCTAACTGTTGCTTGTTGGTTGCCGGACAAAATTGTTGAGACAAAATACAATTTCTGCAATTTTCTACTTTACATCGCCCCTATACATTCGAATCCCCCCTTTCCCCCCGAATCAATGTTGGATTTGTAATTCTACCATTTCTCCTTCAAAATCATGCATTCGACATTGAATTGGGGGAGGGGGAAAAGTTATTTTTGAAAGGGAAGTGAAAATATAAGCTTTTCTTGACAAGTCTGAACCATTTTGTCCGGGATTGTAGTTTCGTTCATAAGGGGGTTAAATGGATCTTTACCCCCTTATCTCTGAAATAACAGGTACTGCAACACAAAGACCAAAATAAAACTTTTTGTTTGGGGGGGGGGGCCACTATCAACTATGGCAATAGATGTATAAACAGTAAAATGACTCTAATAATAAGAAAAATATGATTTTGAGAATTAAAAAATGTTTGATTTTTGGACTGCAAACTTATCACAAGTTTTGATGCTAATTTTCACCCAATGTGAAACTTATGCTAAAGATATGTCAGCCACACACTATTTCTGCACCTTTTCATAAGAAACACCCCTCTTTCCATATTCTATGTTCTGGATGAGAGTCAAATGTATGACCCTTTATCAGAGATTTTTGGAACTCACATAGTTTATAGGGCCATTTGGAAGTGAAACTGCCAGGAGCACTGTTGAATTTCTCGTACAAAATGGAAGAAGCCATATTTTTCCCAAACACATTCCTGGACTAATAGAATGCCCCCGGAAGAGCTTTTGTTCTCTTGAAAGGTGAATAAATCACTTGGACATTTATATGTATGGAAGGTGAATTTTCATGTTTAAAAATTAAAGGCTGATTTGCCTATCCGTAAATTTTGCTGGCACTTTTGGAAGTGTTTCATGGAGGATGGCACCATAATATGTGGCATTGACAGAGAAGCCCCGAAGGACAAAATTACATGCCATGAAGTCTAACTCAACCCCAGATAATTATTCAAATTCCTCTCTTCCCTTATATTTGGTTGAAATATCTTTTGATTATTTTCTTCTTCAGTTGTTTCTATAAACTGTTTTTATATGCAACCTGCAAAGTCAGTCGGTAGTATACTTCATGTAGTCCACTTTTTGCAATTTCATCATATGAATAATAATCATATGAGTCCACTTTTTTGCAATTTCCAAGGAAGATAACTGTTGTATCAATGATTTAAAATCTTGATTCTATAGTGAATGGGTATGAAGTTACACTATTGGAAGCAGGCCAGATGAAAAGTGCTGAAAATCCAGTCACAGATGAAAAGATGGCTATTTCTTTTAAAACTCTTGGTAAGTTTGTTTTCAGACGTAAGTTTTGAAACTCTTGTTTTCAGAAATCTTTTAATTCTTTTCTGTTATAGCAAGTTTACAGACTACAATCGACATTAAAGTTGCAAAAAAATCAGCATTTATATGCACAAGAGGTCATTTTAATTATAAGTTAAATACAGGCCATTTTTGAAAGTAGCTTTTCGTAAGGGTGACAAACTGCCTGCATGGAGGAGCTTACAAAGAGCCATTGTCCATCCAAAAACCTGTTAAAAGAAGTCCTCCATGGACTGAGGGACTATAAGAGTATCATGTATCGACAATTCCTTAACCTTTGGTTTTCTAAATTGGCTGCTTATCGCCAATTTTTACCCAATTTTTACCCAATTTTTATTCAATGATTTGTTATTTAAAATGAAAAATGAAGCAATAATAATTTGTTTCCATCAACCACTTGACCTTTCACTCAGGATTATCACAATTTATAGGAACCAATTTTTTGGTAAATGCACTTTTGGTCTTTTGCGGGCATGACATGTTTTTGTGAGGAGGTTAAAGTATATATTTTGCTAAATGCGTTGGTTGGGTTGAGTGCTTTATGGCCTGCATGAAATTAAAAGGCCTGGTTATATAATTATTATAATGACAAGATATGTTTGTTGAATGTTTGAAAAAATACCAAGGAGCAACAAAGAGATTAGAGTTTCAAAGTATTATGTTAATATAATGGTTAGACTGGGACTTTGTGCAATAGATCTATAGGTCATTGATTTCTTACATTTGTGACATTTAACCCTTTATTCATTCTTTTTTTTCCAAATTGATTGCTATTGCTCTATCTCAAATTTATAGATGGCATTATTCCCAAGCTGGGGATGTTTCAAAAAGTTGTAAAAGCTTTGAGAGATGATATTTTTGGTAAGAAGATTTCTGCTTTGAATAAATCTCCCACTGAATAATCACTATGTCCAATATTTTAAAACTTACATTACATATTCAACAATTTTTTTTGTATCACATTCATACAGGAAGCAAGCCGGCGCAACATTTTAATTTACATTGAAATGTAAATCAGTATTTTAATTGGCTGCTTTATAGTTTTTGTAAAGCTCTATAACATCATTTTCATTCATTTGGTTTTTGGCCTAACAATAATTTCTACAAAATCTTCTTGCATTCATTTAGAAAAAAATTTGTGGAATTGTAAATCTTTGAAATTTTCTGTCATTTTTTTAAAGGCTTTTGTGCAACCAGCCTGCTTTGTTGCAACATATTTAAACATGGCTAACATCGTTATGGAATAAAATATCATATAGATACAGGCCAATTTTTTGGCGCAAAAAGCAGCTATTGCAAAGCATGCCTGTTTTACAAGTAGCATTTTTAGACATGAACCAGAATAATTCTTGAAAATTCTTGTTTTTAAGTATACATAATCTAAAGTGATAAATATCTTAAGATCATTTGTGTCATATTCTACTTATATAGTGAGCATTGAACGTTAGGACTTTGGGTTTTTCAGAGGGTGTTTACAGCAGAGAGTATACAGTCACGAACAAGCAAACAGGGAAGAGTCAATCAATACAAAGAATACCCTATTTCACGCTACTTTTTAGGATACACGAACAGAGGTATATACATGAAAGTGTATTGTTTTATTTGCTGCTAAACTACACTATTAAAAATCATATGCCGTCATGAATGAATTTACTGATATTATACTGTGGCTGTGTATATGTTATTTGTTTGTCTTTTTTCTGGTGTTAGCTCCAAACAAAGCCAACCACAGTAGTAGCAAAAAAGAAAAGGTTGTCGTTGGATTACATTTTGTTAATTGAATATAAATAGCTTATTGATGTGCCAATTTAAGCAAATTTAAAAGCTTAACACTTTCTGTAAAAACTTTCTGTGAAAAGAGTAGTTTCTTATCGACTTTCATGGTCACTACCAATGGTCGTATGCTTTTTTCTCTTTCTTTTTTATTGCTTAAGCCTTTTATTTCTTACCTGCGCACATACTTTTCCTTTGTTCGTAATTCTTACGTTGCTCGTTGATGAAAGATATTTTACCATAAGGAAGCCAAGCCATTACTAGTCGTTCTCAGACCATGTCGCCGCAAAATAGCCCGATCGTAGAAATGGTGCCCTCAAAACTCCATCATCATTTCAATAACTCTTTCTGAATAAGATCTTAGGAGGTGTTAATAGATTTATGCGTCAGAGTTTTTTGCTAACAGCTACGTCTACGAATTACCTTGCAGAAACGAAAAAGCTGAAGAGCTTCTTGCAAATATAAGAAAACTTGAAGAGAGGTATTTTTTTCTGATAGCACCCCTTCTCTTAAGTCATAAATTTATCGATTCATAAATTCATATTTTGCTCTAATATTCTGGAGAGTTTCAAAAGAATGTTTTGGATTCGATTTTGATACTTTATTCTATGTAAGCAGAGGAAACTGCTACAATCGTACAGATTGGTGAGAGTTTTCAAGAAGAACGGGTTCCTTCAATTACTGAGACTTGTGTTTTGAATGGCTCTATTTTATCCTCTTTACTATTCACCTAGACAGTATAATATGCACAAGAAGGTGCTGAAAAGTCCATTAAACCGGAATCGCAAACGATGGTCCGGTGACATCTGGCTGTTTCCTGGATTGGAGACATTTGGTTGACCAAAATAATGGTTTATGCGCTCATTTTGTTTATGATAATTACAGAATAAGCCCAAGTAAAAATCTCTCTGCATCTAAGAAACGCTACATGATTATTTTAATGATGAAAATTTGTTCTTCTTGACCAGGTGCATGGATTTCGAGTCATTAATCAGTGAAAAAGAAGCTCAGATATCATTGCGTATGTAAGTGATGCTGTGATTCTCTTTACGCTGTCAACAGAGTATAAATTTGTATCGATTTGTCACTACAGTGAGTTGCAATTCATTTATTGAAATTCTAAATTATTGATGCAGCTCAAAACTAATTACATTCTTAAGGTAAAGCATTTGAAAAGACATGTATGCTGAAAGCCTCGCGTAGCGAATGATTGAATATAGAATCAGTTCACAAAAAAGGGTATTATTGAGAATTATCTAAAAACATATTCTAATGACGTCATGCTTCGAAACTCTATAAATGGCAGTTGTATTTGGGGCAATGTACATAGAAACCGATATTCTTCCGTGACCATTCCATGGATCTGCTTTTTGAAAAGAAATGACGATTGTAACTGAAATCCTTAATTTTGACCTGATTAAAGTGAAATTGTTGCAAAATACACCGAACCAACTGACAAATAATGTCAGAATTTACATGAAGATTCTACCGTGATTTTTTGTTCTTTTTGGATTCAATTTTAGTGAAGCAGAGGAAAAATTGAAACAGAAAATTTCTGCTCTGCAGTTGGAACTTAGATCAGAGAAAGACGAAGTCAAAAAGTATTGAGTTGTTATTTTATCTAAGTTTTAAAAGGAGGCATTGAACTTCCACTTTTTCCTGTTGGTAAACCCATTCTTGCTAACCTGAACCAACTATTAAATAATGAAATAAATGAATGCTATAAAATATGTATCTTTTGTCTGCAATTGTCGTTGTTTTGTTTTATATATCTCTCTGCAATTTGTAATTTTTTTCCAGTCAAATTCTGCTCTAGATGCATTCATTACGGCTCGTTTCTTTTTACATTTTAATTTTTAATAACGTACGAAGCTAAAATGTTAAATGGTACATCTTGGTTTTATTTTTAGTCATAGGTTGGTAGGTTACTTAACTTGTTCTTTGGCCTAAACTATTATAATTGATTCAACAGAGAGTACGCCTGATTTCTGGCAATCAAAATAGCACGAAACGTCGCTAGTAAGATGAATCTAAGAAAAGTTTGCATCTTTGATAGAAACTGGAAAAAATGTTTTTTTGGCTTTTTATTGACATTGCAAATGTTACATAAACTTTTGGACACATAGTTGAAGTGACATTTTTAACCATCATCAATTTCGTTTATTTTTGGTTGTGTGAATTAAATTTTCTATACATTTCTAGATCGCAGGGAACAATCGAAAAATTAAAAAACGACAAGAAATGTATGGAGGAATCAAACGAAAAGAAAATAAGTGATCTAAAGGTTAGTATTTGCTACATCAATCATTTTCTGTTATAGCTTATTTAGAGAATATCTAAAATTCTAAGGGCTAATATTTCTCTGCAAAGGAGAAGAACACGTTCAATGCTATTGTATTTCTATTGTATACCAAGATTAATTCACGTACCGAAGAGTCAAAGAATTTATCATTATTATTTGTCTTTTTTGCAAAAGATTGAGCTTGATTCGTGTGTTGAAGAGTCAAATAATTTATCATTATCTTTTGTCTTTTTTGCAAAAGATTGAGCTTGATTCGTGTGTTGAAGAGTTAAACAATTTATCATTATCTTTTGTTTTTTTCTGCAACAGATTGAGCTTGATTCATGCGTTGAAGAGTCAAAGAATTTGTCATTATCTTTTGTCTTTTTTTTGCAAAAGATTGAGCTTGATTCGTGTGTTGAAGAGTCAAAGAATTTATCACTATCTTTTGTCTTTTTTTTTGCAAAATATTGAGCTTGATTCGTGTGGTGAAGAGTCAAAGAATTTATCATTATCTTTTGTCTTTTTTGCAAAAGATTGAGCTTGATTCGTGTGTTAAAGAGTTAAACAATTTATCATTATCTTTTGTCTTTTTTGCAAAAGATTGAGCTTGATTCGTGTGTTGAAGAGTCAAAGAATTTATCACTATCTTTTGTCTTTTTTTTGCAAAATATTGAGCTTGATTCGTGTGGTGAAGAGTCAAAGAATTTATCATTATCTTTTGTCTTTTTTGCAAAAGATTGAGCTTGATTCGTGTGTTAAAGAGTTAAACAATTTATCATTATCTTTTGTCTTTTTTGCAAAAGATTGAGCTTGATTCGTGTGTTGAAGAGTTAAACAATTTATCATTATCTTTTGTTTTTTTCTGCAACAGATTGAGCTTGATTCATGCGTTGAAGAGTCAAAGAATTTGTCATTATCTTTTGTCTTTTTTTTGCAAAAGATTGAGCTTGATTCGTGTGTTGAAGAGTCAAAGAATTTATCACTATCTTTTGTCTTTTTTTTGCAAAATATTGAGCTTGATTCGTGTGGTGAAGAGTCAAAGAATTTATCATTATCTTTTGTCTTTTTTGCAAAAGATTGAGCTTGATTCGTGTGTTAAAGAGTTAAACAATTTATCATTATCTTTTGTCTTTTTTGCAAAAGATTGAGCTTGATTCGTGTGTTGAAGAGTTAAACAATTTATCATTATCTTCTGTTTTTTTCTGCAACAGATTGAGCTTGATTCATGCGTTGAAGAGTCAAAGAATTTATCATTATCTTTTGTCTTTTTTTTGCAAAAGATTGAGCTTGATTCGTGTGTTGAAGAGTCAAAGAATTTATCATTATCTCTTGTCTTTTCTGCAAAAGATTTAGCTTGATTCATGTGTTGAAGAGTTATAAAATTTATCACTATCTTTTGTCTTTTTTTTGCAAAATATTGAGCTTGATTCGTGTGGTGAAGAGTCAAAGAATTTATCATTATATTTTGTCTTTTCTGCCATAGATTGAGCTTGATTCATGCGTCGAAGAGTCAAAGAATTTACGTGTTTACAAAACCGGCTACGACAAGCTGAAAGACAGTGAGTACATTCTTATCAATACAATTATACTAAATGCTATCTCATAACTTTTTAAATTTACATTTTTTATGTTGATGGCAGCTTCATGGTTCTATGTTGAAACCTTCATTAACAATGCCCTTTTGTAGAAGACACGCTCAAACAGCAGGGAGATAATTTCTACAAAAGTATCCTAAATGTCTTTTTTACGGGTTGTCCCTTGTGAAGCAACACTCAGGAAAACAGACATTTTCATACAACGGACACTTTCTTCTACTTTGTACCGAAATCTATTTGCGATGGTTTGGCTCTTGTAAAAGCAACCTTATAGAAACGAGTGAAGATGACATCGAGAGGAACACCCAGGACACGGCTCGACAGGCTTGGTTTTCAGTGTCCTGAAAGCAACATTTTGACGCTAGGTTGTAAAAAATACAAAAAATCACCTCCGGGCAATGGATTCCACCATACGCGAGGGAGATAAAAAGTTATTGCATGCACTTCGTCCTAACTTTTAAAAACACCAGCTGCACTTAATTATATGACACACGGTACTGGGTGAAGCAGATAGCTTTTAGCTATAATCAGACATCTTTATTTGGTTGGTTTCCAGTCACTGAAAGTGATATTTTAAGTTGCTTGATTTGTTCAAACATTTGTCCTAAATCTAACCTGTCATACTAAAAAAGAACTAATTGTTGGTTCTCGATTTTTTACCATATCTATTCGAACAGCAACCATTTTGTTTATACTTGCAACCATTTTGCTTGTAATTTGTTAAAGGTCAGTACTGTACATACGCTTGAATTTATTTTGCTCAAAACAACGCAAAGTCAACCTTGTTAAAACTTTAGTACATAGAAACTGATGATCTGCTCGAAATCTAAACTGCACGCTGAACTGGAAAAACTTAAAACGATCTTTCTGGACAACGGCTATCCAGAAGTCGTCATTTTATCTTATACTAAGGAGAAGATCGCAAGTTTTTCGGCTGTTCAAAGGTTTGGTCCGCAAAAGTGCGCAGTTTTTTTGAAACTACCATGGATTGGTAACACTTCCTTGCCATTCGAGAGTCAGATTAGGCAAGCCATAACAAAATATTTCTTTGCTGTCAATCCTCGAATTGTGTCGAGCCCTTCCATCCATTCAAAAGGATTGCGCTCCTACCAACCAAAAAAGTTCTGTTATTTATAAATTTACGTGCCAGTGTGATTCTGGCTACGTAGGACGCACAACCCAAAGATTGGGAGATAGGATAAAACAGCATGTTCCTTCCAACATACGAAACAAACTGCCTCTCGAAGAGAACAGCCTCCTCGATCTTGTAGGTCTAAAAACACTGTTAAAATAAATGATTCTGTCATAGGTCAACATCTTTTACACAACCCAGATTGTGCTAAACTCTATAATGACGACATGTTTCAGATAATTGGCAGAGCCTGGTCGTCCTTCCATCTAGCAGTTTTGAAATCGATCTACATACAAACGAAAAAACCGCCGTTGTGTAGACAGAAGGAGTTCGTTTTCTCTCTTGGACTCCAGTGGTAATTTTTCTTTAGGCACGAAGCACTGGTTGGTCTTGTGTTTGCGTTTTTTTGATTGGCCTATTTCGATCCACAACTGGGTATATATTTTTCATCGTGTTCTTTTAGACCCTTATTCTGACGTTTTATGCTCTGATCAGTTTCAGACGAAAAAGCTTTTAGCCAATATGTTGTAAAATGTTTGCTTTTTCAAAGCCTTTTTAGAGTGATATAAATCTAATGTTCATATTAAAATCAAGCGATTTGTGATTTCACGCTGAAATTTTCCTGGCAAACTGCAACATTTTCCAGCCCTGTCTTCACTAGTCCTGATATTCAAGGCTCCCTCCATCTAAAATACAACCACGAAAGAGAAAAATTGAACAAGTTAATTATAATAAGATAATGTAGTCTACCTAAAATTATTAAAAACGTTTCAATGATTCCAACATTGGAAAATGTTTCCAATTTATCATGATCAAATTATTTTATAGAAATAGAAATAGAAAAAATAGAAATCGAGTACATATTTCTCTTTTTGTGCTGTGATGACTTCTGAAACATTAATTTACTATTAAGCTGAAGATGAAAGGTTATTTCAGTACCTTTTCTGGTAAAACAACACAACTTTACAAAATAGGACGATTATCTTCATAACAGCATTTTTCAAGGATAGGCCTCATCTATAAACACAAAACAGATAATAATTAACGAATAAAACAAAGTATTGAAATAAATAACGACGAAAGTAATCTATTAACACAAGAGAATTTTGTTTTCATGTTTTTATTAGAGAGAGTGTAAACGCTACGATTGTAAACTTTAAATCTTCTTATTAATCAGCTATAACTCTTTGTAGTACTTTTAGCAGTTTACATACCCTTAAAAAACTAGGATTTTAAAATGCCTTCAGAACGAAAGATTATTTTAGATTTTACAACTTGTTAGCTCTCATTTCTTTTGCATGAAATAAAGTCACGTTCCTTAACTCTACTGAAGCAGCAGGGCTTAATTTCACTCATCAGAAAGGTTTTACGTTTTAATTACTTGAAGTAAATCTGTTTTAGCCTTTGAGAATCCTCACCTGACCTTGAAAGAATCAGACACGGGTTCTATAAAGTCAAGTCAAAGTAAGGAGATTACCGCAGGCTATCGCTATGTGAGTACATTTCTTTGCAAAGCCCCCATTTGAAGATACTTCTTTAAAGATCGGAGTTGGCCTATCATAGGGTGAATAAGTATTTAAAGTTGATTAAATAATGGGGTGTCTCAAGATTAGAAAAGAGTAAATTAATTGCACGCTCTGGATAGTTTTCATATATCTTTAAAAGTAGGAAAATTTATTTGTGTCAGCGTGTAATATATTTGCAGAGTAAAATTATACTACGTATATAATATTTTTATAACATTTTGAAGCTGTGCGTTGAATAGTTGCTCAAGGAAATGATTCTAAATGTCTGCTACATAGAATTATCTTAGGTTAATTTATTGTCAGCCTGCTTACGAATCCAAAGACAGAATAGACCTTTCCTTAGGCACACAATAATAATTACAGCAAAATTTTTAATAACAATGTCTGTTCTTAGACAATTTAGAAAATTTAGAAAATCTTTTCTATTGTGCTTAAGAATGATTAGTTGTCCTTAAAACAGATTACTGAAGGCCAAAGCGTCTTACCATATGTTTTTGTCATATCTGATTATGGTCTGCCCTATTCATGTTCTATTCATTTCTGTTCAATTTAGGATCAAATAAAAAAAGATTTGTCTGTAATGGAAACGTTGGAAGAACAGCTATACATGGTTAGAAACTGCGTGATTCAAGGTTTGTATCATTTTGAATAAGTTTTCAAAATCTTTGGCTCTGTTGCTGTGAATTATAGAAAATGACTAGCATTATACATTGGGAGGCTTTAGCTCTAGAAGGAAGTGGCAATAATTCTTATCGTGTTTGCTGTGAATGATAGAAAATGACTAGGAGTATGGTGTATATACATTGGGAGTCGGTAGCTCTAAAGGGAACTTGAAACAATTCTTATCGTGTTTGCTTTGAATGATAGAAAATGACTAGGAGTATGGTGTATATACATTGGGAGTCGGTAGCTCTAAAGGGAACTTGAAACAATTCTTATCGTGTTTGCTTTGAATGATAGAAAATTACTAGGAGTATGGTGTATTACATTGGGAGTCGGTAGCTCTAAAGGGAACTGAAACAATTCTTATCGTGTTTGCTTTGAATGATAGAAAATGACTAGGAGTATGGTGTATATACATTGGGAGTCGGTAGCTCTAAAGGGAAGTTGAAACAATTCTTATCGTGTTTGCTGTGATTGATAGAAAATGACTAGGAGTATGGTGTATATACATTGGGAGTCGGTAGCTCTAAAGGAAAGTTGAAACAATTCTTATCGTGTTTGCTGTGATTGATAGAAAATGACTAGGAGTATGGTGTATATACATTGGGAGTCGGTAGCTCTAAAGGGAAGTTGAAACAATTCTTATCGTGTTTGCTGTGATTGATAGAAAATGACTAGGAGTATGGTGTATATACATTGGGAGTCGGTAGCTCTAAAGGGAAGTGGAAACAATTTTATCGTGTTTGCTGTGAATGATAGAAAATGACTAGGAGTATGGTGTATATACATTGGGAGTCGGTAGCTCTAAAGGGAAGTGGAAATAATTTTGATCGTGTTCGCTGTGAATGATAGAAAATGACTAGGAGTATGGTGTATATACATTGGGAGTCGGTAGCTCTAAAGGGAAGTTGAAACAATTCTTATCGTGTTTGCTGTGATTGATAAAAAATGACTAGGAGTATGGTGTATATACATTGGGAGTCGGTAGCTCTAAAGGGAAGTTGAAACAATTCTTATCGTGTTTGCTGTGATTGATAAAAAATGACTAGGAGTATGGTGTATATACATTGGGAGTCGGTAGCTCTAAAGGGAAGTTGAAACAATTCTTATCGTGTTTGCTTTGAATGATAGAAAATGACTAGGAGTATGGTGTATTTACATTGGGAGTCGGTAGCTCTAAAGGGAAGTTGAAACAATTCTTATCGTGTTTGCTGTGATTGATAGAAAATGACTAGGAGTATGGTGTATATACATTGGGAGTCGGTAGCTCTAAAGGGAAGTGGAAATAATTTTGATCGTGTTCGCTGTGAATGATAGAAAATGACTAGGAGTATGGTGTATTTACATTGGGAGTCGGTAGCTCTAAAGGGAAGTTGAAACAATTCTTATCGTGTTTGCTGTGAATGATAGAAAATGACTAGGAGTATGGTGTATATACATTGGGAGTCGGTAGCTCTAAAGGGAAGTGGAAATAATTTTGATCGTGTTTGCTGTGAATGATAGAAAATGACTAGGAGTATGGTGTATTTACATTGGGAGTCGGTAGCTCTAAAGGGAAGTTGAAATAATTCTTATCGTGTTTGCTGTGATTGATAGAAAATGACTAGGAGTATGGTGTATATACATTGGGAGTCGGTAGCTCTAAAGGGAAGTTGAAACAATTCTTATCGTGTTTGCTGTGAATGATAGAAAATGACTAGGAGTATGGTGTATATACATTGGGAGTCGGTAGCTCTAAAGGGAAGTTGAAATAATTCTTATCGTGTTTGCTGTGATTGATAAAAAATGACTAGGAGTATGGTGTATATACATTGGGAGTCGGTAGCTCTAAAGGGAAGTTGAAACAATTCTTATCGTGTTTGCTGTGAATGATAGAAAATGACTAGGAGTATGGTGTATATACATTGGGAGTCGGTAGCTCTAAAGGCAAGTTGAAACAATTCTTATCGTGTTTGCTGTGATTCATAGAAAATGACTAGGAGTATGGTGTATATACATTGGGAGTCGGTAGCTCTAAAGGCAAGTTGAAACAATTCTTATCGTGTTTGCTGTGATTGATAGAAAATGACTAGGAGTATGGTGTATATACATTGGGAGTCGGTAGCTCTAAATGGAAGTTGAAACAATTCTTATCGTGTTTTTTGTGATTGATAGAAAATGACTAGGAGTATGGTGTATTTACATCGGGAGTCGGTAGCTCTAAAGGGAAGTGGAAATAATTCTTATCGTGTTTTTTGTGATTGATAGAAAATGACTAGGAGTATGGTGTATATACATTGGGAGCCGGTAGCTCTAAATCCCTGGTAAAACGACTAAACTTTTCACTGAACATTTCTCTCAACTTTTGTTTCGCCAGCTTAACAGCGTCATAGATATCTCGCAGTTCAAAAAAGTTGAGTGAAGTTTAGTGAAGAGTTTAGTCACGTTTTGCCACCCTCGCTAAAGTTCGCTCAACTTCACTAAACAAAATGTTGAGTGAAATGTTTAGTGAAATGTTTAGTTGTTTTGCCAGGACTTAAAAGGAAGTTGAAATAATTTTTATCGTATTTTTTTTTGCAATGGAATGTATTTTTTGTTTAATTTAAGTGTTGAAACTTGAAAAAGACCCCCTTTTTAGTCCTTTGAATGTACCATACATGATATTAATAAGGTACATCATTGGCATGTTAATCCATAACAAATAAGCGTGGTTTGTCTTCGTCTCTATAACTTAACCTTGGTTGTTAAGTTTTTTTTGTATATCGTAGTTAATTATACCTTTCTGATAACAACGAACTTTTGTGTTGGTTACGAACTTTATTGTTCACCTTTTCATATTAGTTTTAAAGGACATTTATACCTCTCGTTTGTGTTGTATACAGATTATGTTGTTTACAGAATTAGAGTTGAGTAAAATCTAAATCATGCAAGGTAATAGTTTTTCTCATAGTTCTATTTGACGACAATTTACTCAACTCTGATCAAAATGGACAAAGTGCTAAAACCGGATCGGTTTGACGCAACTTTAAATTCTACAGACGCAGCGAAACAATTGCGACACTGGTTCATCACTTTCGAGAACTTTCTCGAAACCTTGCCGCAAGAAGAACTCAACAAGCTACGTGTTTTGGTAAACTATGTTTCACGCGAAGTTTACGATTTATTAGTGAAGTCGATACGTACAAAGAAGCTGTTGCTATGTTAAAAACTCTTTACGTGAAAACACCAAACGAAATCCTCGCTCGGCATTCACTAGCCACTCGAAAACAACCACCAGGGGAATCTTTAGATGAATATTTACAAGCGCTAAAAACTCTAAGCAAAGACTACAACTTTTTGCGAACGGCCTTCCACCAAGCAAGGGCTCTCGATAAGCTCCGAATCTTTCAAGTTAACTTTTATGCCGACCACTGCTTTCACAGGAAAATCAAGTGAAGAAAGCACTCTCGTGGACGAAAATGCAGAAAGCATATCGGCAGCAACTTCACGAAAACAAAATGTTTCTTCTGCTGTTTTGATTGACATCCACGCTCAAAATGTCCTGCTCGAGATGCCACGTGCAGTAATTGTCAAAAGAACGGCCATTTCAAAAGAGTCTGTAAATCAAAGCGCCGTGATGAGCCAGCCTCAGCAGCTCTGAATCGTCCGTCCTTAGCTACAGTTGCTGCAAAAACACTAAGTAAAGCTTGCGTGGATATTTCAATCAATGAAGAAATCATAAAAGCTCTAGTGGATTCTGGAAGTAGTGGATAGCTTCATCCACCCCCGTAAAGCACATCGACTTGGATTAAAGAAGCACGAAACCAACCAAAATGTGTCCATGGCAACTTCATCACTTACAGCTAAAATGCAAGGGTACTGTATAACAGATATCAAGCTTAACGACAGGACATATGAAAATGTCAAATTTTTCATTCTACAAGATCTATGTGCGGACATGATTCTAGGCCAAGACTGGCAAGAACAACATGAAAGCGTAACGATAAATTATGGAGGATCTGTATCACCACTGAAGCTATGCAACTTAACAACGCTGAATGTACATCCACCACTTTTGTTTCAGTATCTTACTACAGATGTTAAACCAATTGCTACGAAGTCAAGAAAATATAGTGAAGAAGATCAGAAATTCATCGCAGCTGAGACGAAAAGGCTGCCAGAAGAAGGCATTATAGAACCCAGTGACTCCCCGTGGAGAGCCCAGGTCGTCGTCACTAAAAATGAAGGGCACAAGAAATGTATGGTTATTGATTATTCACAAACGATCAATAGATTCACCCAGTTGGACGCATACCTTCTTCCAAGAATAGATGAAACTGTAACTAAGATTGCACAGTACAGAGTTTATAGCACAATTGATCTAAAAAGTGCATATCATCAGGTCTCAATCAAAGAAGATGAAAGACATTTACCGCGTTTGAAGCAAACAAGAGCCTTTACCAGTTTCGCCGAGTCCCATTTGGAGTTACTAATGGAGTAGCTGCTTTTCAGAGAAAAACGGATAACTTCATTATAGAGGAATCTCTTGAGGATACGTTTGCTTATCTCGATGACGTAACTACATGTGGAAAGGATCAAGCTCATCATGGCAAGAACCTTGAGCGGTTTCTAACTGCAGCTAATCGAAAGAATTTGACCTACAACAAGGAGAAATGTGTCATCTCTACAAGAAGCCTCAGCATCCTAGGATGTGTGGTGTCTGAAGGCGAAATAAAACCTGATCTAGAAAGGTTAAAACCACTCCAAGAGTTACCGCCGCCCGAATGATATCAAGAGTCAAAAACGAGTTATCGGGCTCTTTTCCCATTACTCGAAATGGATAAGAGATTTTTCAAAAAAGGCAAGGCCGTTAATTCAAAATAGAAATTTTTCTCTTGATGGAAAAGTTCGAGAGGCATTTGTGGCATTAAAACAAGACTGTGCCATTGACGAATCACTACCCTTTGAGTTGGAAGCAGATGCTTCAGAATTCGCACTTGCTGCTGCACTCAACCAGAATAGTCGTCCTGTGGCATTCTTCTCAAGGACAGTACATGGATCTGAATTCAAGCATCATGCAGTAGAGATAGAAGCAGCTGCAATTATTGATGCTGTGTGGCATTGGAAGCATTTCTTACGCAAAGGCATTTTAAGCTGATAACAGATCAAAAGTCAGTTGCATTTATGTTTGACACAAAACATAAAGGAAAAATAAAAAATGACAAGATCATGAGATGGAAACTAGAACTGGCTACGTACAGCTTTGATATTACATACAGATTAGGAGCTGAGAATATTCCAGCTGATACGTTATCGAGAGTTTCTATGAGCCTTAGTACGGTGCAACAAGAAAATCTTCACGAACTGTATGCATCACTTTGCCATCCCGGCGTTACCCGCACGGCACACTTTGTTGAAGTTCGCAATCTACTGTATACAATGGAAGAAATCAGAGAAGTGACACACACGTGCAAGATATGTGCTGAATGCAAGCCACAATTCTTTCGTCTGGAGCCCAAACACTTAATAAAAGCTACACAGCCATCCATTTGAACAATTAAATATCGATTTTAAAGGACTGCTGCCAAGCTGTTACAAGAATAGGTACATTCTCACAGTTATTGATGAATTTTTTAGATTTCCTTTCGCTTTCCTTTGCAAAGATGTAAGCAGCAATACTGTTATACAATGCCTTTGTTCGCTGTTTTCTATATTCAGAATGCCTGCATATATTCATTCCGATCGTGAAGTGGCTTCATGAGGAAAGAGCTCAAGAACTTTCTTCATCAAAAAGGTATTTCCACTAGCCGCACTACAAGCTACAATCCAGCAGGGAATGGGCAAGTTGAGCGTTACAATGGAATTATATGGAAAACCATGACTTTGGCGCTAAAGACACGTCAACTACCGGTGACATGGTGGCAAGAAGTCATATGTGATGCTCTACACACAATAAGGTCCCTGCTATGTACTTCAACAAATGCCACACCACATGAACGCATGTTTTCCTTCCAACGAAAATCTACTAGCGGACAATCAATTCCCACCTGGCTAACTACGCCTGGCCCTGTATTTTTGCAGCGACATATCAGAGACTCCAAGTTTGATCCACATGTGGATGAAGTAGAGCTCATTGAAGCAAATCCTCGATATGCCCATATAAGGTTTCAAGATGGTAGAGAAGATACGGTATCGCTCAAGCATTTAGCACCACAAGGGAATACAAAGTCTGAATGCCAATATGAGCTAAAGACACAAGATGCAAAGCTAGAGACGCAAGATGCAAAGCCTGAGACGCAAGATGCAAAGCCAGAGACGCAAGATGCAAAACCAGAGACGCAAGATGCAAAGCCAGAGACGCAAGATGCAAAGCCTGAGACGCAAGATGCAAAGCTAGAGACGCAAGATGCAAAGCCAGAGACGCAAGATGCAAAGCCAGAGACGCAAGATGCAAAGCCAGAGACGCAAGATGCAAAGCCAGAGACGCAAGATGCAAAACCAGAGACGCAAGATGCAAAGCCAGAGACGCAAGATGCAAAGCCTTTATATTAGTTTCAAAGGATATTTACACCTCTCGTTTGTGTTATATACAGATGATGTTGTTTACAGAATTAGAGTTGAGTAAAACCTTAATCATGCAAGGTAATACTTTTCCTCATAGTTCTACTTTACGACAACCTTGTAGAATCAAAACTTAAAAGCTAAAGTAAATGTTTTGTTCGTTTTTGACAAGTAGATTTACAGTTGAATAGCTTTGTGTGATTTTAGCTGTTGTATGTTTGCTTAATTTGACTTTTTTGTGCAACGTTTTTTCATATGTTATGAAAAACATGTAACAAGTTATCTCCGAACCGTTGACATTTTTCCATGTAATTTATTGAAAAGTTACACTTTCATCAATAAAGATTGCATCAAATAATTTTGGAACCCTCGCTGACAGGAACTTGGTGTGATTTCAGTTTTCTTGCTAGTTTTATCTATTTTGTGCCCTACCTAAAAGATAGCGTCCAGAACTGCCTTCTTAATTATACTGATTCAATTATTGCAGAATACGACGATTTTATGGAAAATAACAAGAAACAGTATGAACTGCCAGACGATTCTTCAGCCTTTTTAAAGGAGCTCAGATCATTTAAAGACGACAATGAGATAGAGAGGGAAAGTCAAGAGGTGAGAATTTGAAATTTCATGTCTGTAATCGCTTAGATATGTTGTGTTAGCAAGCCAGAATTCATTTTAATTTTAATGGTTATTTGAAATTCAACATACATGCAAATCCAAGCATTGTACGAATAAGATTGTGCAAATGATGAATGCAAGTCTAACTATGAATAAAATTGTAACGAATGATATTTCTAATACATAGAATTTTAGTGAGGTCGTGGAGCGTTCAATTCAAGGTCAACCTGGAATAAAATGGTGGAAAAGCGAATTTTCCACTATCCACTGCCAAATGTTTTCCTCTATAAGATACTCAAAATCGCTCAAATTCGGCCGTGGGGAAACAATTTTATATGATCTACGAGGTCACATTCGATAATCAAATACTTGTAGCACAACTGAGGGCATCTGTCCAGAAAAGCAAAGAATCTGTTTTTTTTAAATTGTAGATTCACGTAAGGAAAAATTATCCTATTCTAGGCCTGAAAAATGAATAAGTGGGCTAGTAAAGGAAAGTAGTCAGTTTTTTCCGATTTCCCTAAAAACATGGGCGGGAATTTTATAACCGACAGACAGTTTTTGAATGCCAAAATGCAATATTCTTTAACGCACTATAAGCGAGGGAAATCCATTAATATTTCAGGGCACATAATGTTATTCAATGCCTTAGCAATTTACTTGGGGGGGGGCTATTTTGGGTATTGGGGACATGCCAGCCATGTAAGGTCATTTTGTGATTTTGATGTCAATACAGATCATTATTTCCTGATAATTGGTACAAATGAATGGCTCACTTTCTGGAAACTGGTACTCTCCGGATAAAATATGGCAGAATCGCTAAGCAATTTGGTTGATTAAAACTTTGTGATATGTAAGCTAGTTATTAAATGGAAAGGCAGTACACGTTATGAGAAAGGTGCCTCAAACATCATAAAGACATATAAGACTTGATTTAAACAGTTTTTCAACAGAGAGAGTTTAAAAAACTTCAAGTGGTAACGTGTTTGTTCATCAAAACTGTCGTCGAGACTTTCTTAACCCAAGAAAGGCACCTCGAAAAAGTTAAGCTGTTTGTGCAATACCTTGTTCTAAAAGACTGCAATCAGGTTTTACTGAGTTCAGGTGAAAAAAATTGGTAATACTAATATAACTATATAAATGATTATATAAAAATTATGCATCATTCTAGGTAAGGCTTACTGTCGTAAAGGCCCCAGAACGCCTGAAATTAGATCTTAATGTATTTGAAATTAATTCTGTTTTTTGTATGTTTAAAGCGTCTTTCCAACGGTTTTGAACTCAGGTCAGCAAAGTGGGTTCGTCAAAATGACAAGGAATGATGGCTAGCTGAATGATTTGGTTTTGCTGCGTATTGAATGTGATGTTGCTAAAAAGATTGACTTTAGTAATGTCATCGACGCTTTTGCCTTAACAAAGCTTGTAAACTGGTACTGTATAGGCTTGAAAATTAATGGGCAACAGTTTGAATAAAATATTTTTGAAGGGGACGGAAGAGGGCTCATAAGTTGACTCACATTTTTGCCGCGTAACACTGCATTCATACCTATTTTGTATAAACAGAACCCCCGACCGAAGATTCCCGAGAAGGTTTTAGAAGAGATGAACATTTTGACCACGCTACAAAGCAATTTATAAAGCCCATTTTAGCCTTCAATTTCAGAGCCAGGGCGTTGGGCCTTCGCTGCAAAATAGAGAGCAGTGATGACTTTAGCTCCAGGGCCCGTAGCGCCTACCAGCGGTGCTAGAAAACTGTGTCGCAACGATACCAATACAAGATAAGCTTTGGAAAGATGCGGCATTATTCGTGGACTGCAAATGTGTAACCTCGCCTTCATGGCAGCATTGATCTTGTAGCAGCAGACGCAATATATAATCTTATATCAGGACAACTGCTTTTCAGGTTTCATGCTGGGCAAAAAAATCCAACTCTCATGCATAATCAACGCCTTGAATTAGAATTTACGCCTTGAATTGTTGCAAGCTATTCATATTTTGCAGAATCCCTCGGCAGATAATATTGTGCATATTGTCAAAAAGCTCATATTTTTAATATTTTAGAAACCTCTTTGCCCAAATTGGATTTTCGGCAAGGATTTTTGGATGTCTTATAGAGGAAAAAAATTCTATATAAAATGATGTGCTTTTCTACTAATTTGTTCCTGGCTCATCACTTCACGACTGCACTATATAAACAAAAAGTTCTGTCTAATTTGCAAAAGATTCTTATTGAATGAAAATGTAGATGGAGAATTTTTTATTTTTTTTATTTCAATCAAATTTACTGAAATAGGTACAATTGGTACGCTATGTAGTTACAAATTTTATAAATTATCACGTTCTCTGATAATGGCATTAAGTTTGAAATTTGCAACTAGAACCTTTTTTCTACCAACTGAAGAAGCAACTAGAATACTCTAAGTGCTTTATTGAATCAGGTTGTCAATGATAAAACACTTTCATTTTTGCAAGTTCAAATCCTTATGAATGATAATTTACCAAGGGCAATATGTATATTCATTTTGACATTTAGCTGCTCTGAGAGAGATATTTGTATCCTTATCATTAAGTATAGTATTCATAGACCTACTTAGTATATCGAAAATACGAACCATATGTGCTCAAAATCCGGCACAAATGCATATGTGTGTGTATGTAGGGTCATAGTATGTTACTGTATTATCATGACTTCGAATGCTGTGCTTGAATGGCATAAAATCTTAACTAGTTCTTTTTGTGTCTTAAAGTACGTCGTTTGATCATCTTCTTGTCAGGCTGACAATCCATCTTCATGTCAGCAGGGTACCATAGGCATCAACTCAAGGCCATCTATTCACATACTTTAAGCTGGTGATAGTACCCAAAATGCAATTGCACCTTTTACTTAATCTGACATTTGTTGCATTTTAAGCTTGTGAGAACACAGAAGGCATTTGCAAATACAATGGTGGACATAAACGAAGAAGTAAGTCCATTTGTTTTACCCTTCTTTATATGATACTAAGAATGAAGTTTTTTGATATGCCTTAATGTTAGTTTATGCCAATACCTTTCTTTGATAGCTATTTACTCAACAAAGCATAAGTCATACCGAACTTTGAAGATAATAGACTCAAATAAACATGAAGTGATTGTAGAAAGCAATAACTGCTGTAACTATAGAGTGTTTATTGAAATGGTTGGTTTTTAGACCATTTCTATTCGTTCCAGACTGAGCCACTTTGGTTTTTTCAGTTTGGGACTGTTCTTGAATAATGCATGTTTATGTCTATGTCTTGCTTGTTTATGTCATCTACATAATATTCTCAAGTCCAATGCCTTAAAATTTGTATTACCATTATACAGCAAACTGTATAAGGAATTCCAAATGTTCCTCAAACTCTCGGTAGTAAGGAATCACGATAGTGAGTGTTGATGAAAATGGTGTTATTGAGGGGCAATTCATTCTTGCAAATGGCATACGAGATTTTCTCTAAAACAAAAGGATTTCTGGTGATTTCCAGATAAAACAACAGGATTTCCACCAAAGGTGTACGAGATTTTTCGGAGTGATTTGCCCCTTGGTATTTCTGCTCTTAGTAAAATTGAATCAGAACATAAGAAGATATGAAATCCAGTTAAGCGTAAAAGATGTGAAAAATAAGCCTTTGTGAGTAGTCATTTCTTAAAAAGTTGATCCTTATGTGGACAAAAAAAGCAAGGATTTGCCTAACACTATTTTTTGGTCAAGATTGAGGCTATCTCATTATTAAGATATATTTGCATTCATGTGTACAAAATGCATGAAAAGAAACTCAAGTAGAATTTTTTCAAGCATGATTGCACTTCGCTTAGACGACCAGAAAGAACGAAGAAGAAAAATTTCGACTTTTGATGACGGGAAAATTCCGCATTCTCGTCGCGTTTGGGTGTTACTTATTTCCTACTATATACAGCAGTACTGTGTATAGACAGAATACAGCTAAGAATCACGAATCAATTCACAGTAACCAAGTATCGTTTTAGGAACTCCAGACGATGCTGCTCCCCATATAAAACTTAATACTGGAAGTTGTTTTGTAAGTGCAATCGTTTTTGGTGATCTTGTTTAAAATCCAGGAAACACGGAGCCAGCAAGAGACGATATAACGTGACCGTTGCGTGTTGGTGAATTTACTAACTAATTACCATTCGGGGCATATACACATAAAAGAAGGGACGTTACAAAGTATTGTTGATTACGTTATTGGGGTTAGACAAGGCCAGGCTTAAATGACAGTGATACTTTGGAAGACTTAATTACCGTTCAACCGCGGTCACTATTTGGTTATAGGTCAAAGTTTTTGGATATGAATCAACTTAATGTCGAGAAAGCTTGCATAGATTTGTTAGCCATAGTTTTTCACAAACTTCAGTCCCCAATATTTAATAGAATGCAAGACCATTGCCTTTCATATTATTAAGAATCGGATTTCTCTCGTTATAGAGCAATCAATGTGTGGCTTGTTGTTCGATAGTTATTTGCAAAATTTATTCCTAGTAAATGTTCTAGTTAATTGAACAGTCATAAAATTTTGCAATTTGGTAAGCAGCATCATTGCGATATGCATTTTGTAACAGTTTAGCTGACGTGCCGCCCGAAGTTCTCTGTGACTGGTTCTCGTACACCAATAAGGCACAAGAAACGTCTTTGCTTTTAATTGACATAAAAGAATGAAGCATTTTAAATAAGCATGTTTGATTATTTGATAGAAAGGGATTTTTACTATATCTTATTGTTAATTGTCACAGAATTCCATAAAGTTGTACCGAGTCATTAGTATCCACTCTTAAATAGGCAGGCGATGGAATTTAGCTTGCCTCGAGGATGTTCTTTCATTCCTCTGCTACTAAATTTTGTTTCATCTGCTTTTGAAGACTTATTGGCTAACGAAATTACATTTGCCTTTAGTTAAAAGAGAACCAATTTTTTTAACAGTAGCTTAGCCTGTCTCGATTAACTAAAGTTTTGCTAATAAGCTTTCAACTCTAAAGGAATGCCCAAAATTATCAGAAATTTGCAAGGTTGAAAAGGCTACAACTGTGAATTTTAAAAAATGGCCTAAAAATCAAGTATGACAATAATTCAGTTTTGAACTGTCGAGAAAGAACACAAGAGTCGTATGGGAGGTTTTGATGTGTAAGATTCATTAAAAAAGGATAATACTGCTGGTTTTTTTTAAAGTACTCATTAGATCGAAAATTATCGAAACGAAACTGCAAACACTGTGTGTGAAGGAGACAGTTTCATGCACTTACAACAGTTTGATTTTTGGTTATGATTTGTATCATTTAGACAAGACTGCAAATGCACCTGTTTAATTCCGTACAGAACTAACCTCAAACTGATTTTTCATTGTTCCAGAGCAACGAGTGTTCTTAATGAAAGTGAATGTCAAACTCTAAAAATGGAACTGGTAACCAAATGGTGACAGCAAAGAGCAAATATCTTCTATTGTCTTCTAGGCTAATTATCACGGGTTATTTTTTCTGACCTTGGGCTGAAATTTCATTACCAAAGTGTATTTATCGCATTATCTAGGGTTGCCGTCTGGTTCTTTGTCTAGGCAAAACACGGTAGAAAGAAACCAAATACTTGAAACATTTTCCCGTACATAAATGCAAAGAAATACCAAAGGCTAAAAACCTGATATCATAAATCTGCCCTTTTTTAAGCCAGTCATTCAAGAAGGCTTTCCAGTTCATCCTTGGGCGTTTTGTTACACTTTTTGTGGGCTGATATTTGGCTCAGCAGGATGTAACCTGGTATTAAACGATGTTTAAATCCTACCATGAAACCAAGTAGGCGCCTAGCAAGTCGTATTTTAAGCACCATTATTCATAATTCCTTGCAACAATTGTTAGTGGAGAAGTAGGTATGGTTAGCTGATAAACCAGAATGACGTCAAATTTGTAATTTTTCTGTCTGCAATAGTGTAAAGAACACGCATTTTCTCAATAGAACTAAGCTCTGGATTAGTATCCAGTTTTTGAATTTTTTTGTTAATCTTTGTGTTAAAATTTTCTTAAAGGATTCTCAAATGCCAGATACTAAACAGCTTTCTTTAAAAACTCAAACGGTATCATAAGATTAACATGAAAAAAACACCTAATCAGTTGCAAGGGGTTATTCTTTCTATTATCTAGGTTATGTCCAAGTCGCCTTTATGTCCAAATTAATCAGTTCCCTCCATTTCTTGAAGTATGGATTTTCGAACAATTTCTTTGGTAGATTGGTTTTCGTAGGACGAAGGTGAACAGTAGGGCTCGATTTCTTGAAGATAGTTTTTTGTACAGCAGGACGGATTTACATTTTTTGAGCCAAGTTAAATTTTGCAAAAGTTTTCTTTATTTTTTTCCTTTTTGATGAAATCCTGTTCAAATAGCAATAGCCTGTTGTATGCTGCGATCAAGACTTTTAGTGTCATCTTTTTGAAGGAGGGAAATCCTGTCTCCAGGTCATAGGAATTTTACCGTAACGGTAACTTTGCAATGCAGTTGAAATATTTTCGAAAATGCCATAGGTAAGTGGCACTACCATAGGCAAGCAGTGACCTACCATAGGCAAGCGGCACTGATTGGTCAACCTCAACAGTCATGTGCTCGCGTTTCTGATTGGCCTTTTTCGATCCACAATTGGGTATATATATTTCCTAGCGTAGCGTTTTCGATCTATGTTCTGACGTTGTATACTTTGGATTGTCGGACGAAAAGCTTTAGTATACTCAAATGTTTGCTTTTTTCAAAGCCATTTATATATTAAATCTGCATCAATGTTTTGAAAAAGGAGGTCAGCCTTCCCTATTAGACTGTAAAGTGCTATTTTTGAGTCCAACCAACACCCCGAATGCTATCATTTTGATAATGTTTTGCCAGCTTTTCCAATCCCGCTATGTTATTTGCTCTTTTCAGAGAGGACGAAGAAACAAAAAAATTACCTTCATTTTTTGGCTAGTTGATATAAACTTTGAAAACCTTGCTCATAAAGCTGATTTGTTTTATCAAACATTCTACTTCGGAATTTGGTGAAAATATTATTTATGTTTAAATGCAATATTTTATGTATATGTAGGTCAAGCTCCTTCTGCAGAATCAACAGGCCCTTCAAGCTGAACTGAGTCGCATTGAAAAGAACGAGTCCAATCGCGTTGAAGCAAAAAAAAAATACAAAGAAGAAAACTCTAGTGCTGACAACAGTGCGTCATTAGAGGAACTTGACTTGGTGGAAATAATGACTGGCAACACAGAAGACCCATTTGTCCCACACGAGAACATTCTAAACAAATATTCCTGCATGGTATGTCATTCTTTATTTAATAGGTTTTCTTCTTTAAATGTTCGAAGCTATTAGTTAACCTTCTACTCAAAACATGGTACAATATCCAGATCATAGACAAACTTGGACTGCACGCTCAACTTTCTTGGCAGAGTTGCTTTATATAGAATATTTGATTAGTTGCCCTGTTACGTTTTTCTGGTCATGATAGAAGCAAGTTTTAAGCTGTAAGTCTGTACACTGCTAGTGATTAAAAGTCTGCGCCAACTTGGTCAAACTTGAGTTGTAGTTTTATACAAAGGTCTTTCGTTCAATAGATCTTTTTACGGATATGATCCACAGTTCCTTTACTACAAAAAGTTCTGAGGAAAAACCAAAGTCTGAAAAGAGGAGCAAATAACAATTATAGCTTAATTAGAGTAATGTTAATTCATATCTAAAATTTTTCATCGATTGCTTTTCTAGGTAAGTTTCCTTCTTTTTTTCTTGGTTGAAAGCAATAAATGTCATGAATTTTTCTCTTGAACATGAAGATGTTCTAGTCTTGTCTCTAACCTCAATTGAGACAATTCCTTGGAATTTTTATTTTTTGGTGCATACAGTTTTTCTTTTAGAGATAATTATGAAGTATAAACATTGTCATTAGTTTTATGCTTCTAAAGCCCAATCTCAAGTGAAAAATAAATCAGCGAAATGCGAAAAAGTTCGCGCCAAATACGTCATGGACATGCGCAGTGAGCTTTTGCTAGGATATCTGGCGAAGAATTTCTCTGCGAAAAAAATTTAAAATGAGATTAACTTTTCCCGCTTTTCGCCTGCGAAATCCTTCAGCCAATCATAGTGCATATCCCTTTGTCACGCTTCCAAATAAAAACATTCAAAGGAATTTTTTCACGTGAAGTATTTTGCAGCGAAATTTCGCAAAAATATTTCTCAGTGCCTACTGAACGCAGAAACAGACTTGGGCAAAGGAATTAAATTTATTGGTACTCTTATAGCTTGTGTAAAACTTAAAGAAGTTTCAACTAATTTTATGAAAGATTTCTATTTATTTTAGTACTTATACTTTTGAAAATATCGATCATAAGAATACTAGGGATTTTCGGAAAAACATCTCAGTCGAATGAAAGCCACAACCGCCTTCTTTTCTTTCCCTCTCTGCTAGCAAAATTTCTCCAGTCACCAATGCTTGTGACAGCTTCTGATCAGTATCAATATTATTATCAAAATCGATATCAACACCAATATCAAATCAAATGTATGTAAATGTTTATCAACATGAGCATCAAAATCAATATTAACATCAATACAATATCAACATCAGTATGAATATTACACATACAACATCAATTTCCTAATCAATTTCATTATTGTTATCGATGTCGACATGAATATCAATATTATTACCAACATCAATATCAATAACAATTTTGAAATTTATTCTAATGTCAATATCAGCATCATCAATTTCCTGATCAATTTCAATATTCGTATCAGTATCGACATGAATATCAATGTTATCATTAACATCAATATCATTGACAAAGTTAATATTTATACTAATATCAATAACAGCATCAATATCAAAATTAACATCGTCAAATATCAAAATTAAAATAATAATAACAGAAGCCCTATAGTGACCGGGACATGAAGCCCTTTCCATTGTTTGGTGATATCCTTTGGCCAGACGTTACTTTCAAAAGCTCTTGCCATCTCGAAGAAATTGTGTGAAGAAACGTTCTGTCCGTTCTATGGCACTATTAGGAGTTGCTTGCTACAAAATCTTCCTCTTTAGCTTCATAACTTTCAGCTGTTTCATTTCAGATTTACACCTCCTGCAATGAAGGCAAGACTTTCTACGAGATTCCTGAAACACGTGTATGCGATGGTTGTGGAGTGAAGGTAAAAAGCTTATCGTCATAACCTCATTTTTTACATTTTTAACGATAGAAGTTTTGTTTTGGAAATAACCTAAAAATATGATGTTGCCATTTGCATGTTTAAATGATCAACCAGTTCTCTAATTTCACCTGTGAACAAAAAATCGCAAAACATTGAGAATTTTAACAACAATTCTTTTTCGGCACACTTCATTTTTTGGTATGTTTGTGAACATCTACTATCAAAATAATTCTTCCTGAATTTTAGCGATATGACGTGTTTTCCTGTTGTTTTAAAAATAAATCATAAACACTAATTAAACCCCAGCAACTTTCACTACCTGGATGTCTATTTTCATGATTTTTTTGAATAAATACTAACAGAAAGTCTAGATCAAATAATCTAGAATCATAGTAAAATTTCTCATGTTTCAGCCGCTTGGACTAAGTTTTTTATTCTTTTTATTCAATATTATAAAAAGCAAAATGAAAAATGAAGTAAAAAACAAAAAAAACTGATAGGCTTTCTGTTAAGCGGCTTTTCCAAGGCAGATGTTGGCTGAGATATCAGTTGCAATGGCACCCTCAGATTTGATCAAAAAAATTGTTATTTCTGAGTGAATTTGATATTTTGATCTATTTTGTAGTTATTTTTTAGCTTTAAGACATACTAGTTATAGACCACTAAACGCTGCTCACAAAAGCAACCAAGGAATAGAAGGAAGAAAACTTTGGTTTTTAGCTTTTTAATTTTTATTTTTTGGATATATTGTGATATATTTTCTTTTGTTTAGAATTTTAATTTTAACAGGATTCAGAGTGATAGCAGCTTCTATGCAAGCTGACCAAGTTTTTACATTGATTGATTGCTATATTGATTGCTATCGTTATTATTTAGATTTCGTTCTTTTCCTAATTTTACTGCGCTTTCTTTTCAATAAAAACAATTTACATCCAGAAGCAATTTTAGAAACGTTTGGGTCAAAAGGGTTAAAAATGCTTTTGGTCATGCTAAATCTAAAATTGGTTTCATTCAATTTATAACTATTTTTGATATCTTCCTAAATTCATTCATTTTATTGCCACGTTTCTTCTTCCAGTCTTCTAGAAAAATAACGGTCAAACTCATCTCAACTCTTCTAGTCATCAAATCGACGTTAAATCGTCACACGTAGGACTAATGATATGAAAACGTTCAATTAAGTTAAAAATTTTATAACTATGCACTAGACTTTAAAATGAAAAACTCCCAAATATTTTCATAAAAAGCATTTTAAATTATATTTAAAAAGTGCTAGTATTGCTAAAATCGTCCAAAATCCAGAGATATGCACAGGGGTACGACTGTACATAAATGAATTTGCAGGAGCAAGAATTAAAGATGGGTAACATGATACGTATTGTTAAAAATGTCATAGGTCTCCTTCAGGCTCAATTTTTATCACAGTTATAAGATTCATGTTTCAGCACACTGTTTTCACTTTGATAATTACCCATATTATCATTATATTTATTTTATTTTTTATTAGCAGGCTTTCACAATAAAGCTATCTGCGTCAGATTATTGTCTCTACGCCTCAGGTTTTGTAGTCGGTACGCGTATTTGGTCAGATTATCTATCATAGTTCAGTGTAGGAAGGTTATCAAAAAACTCATATCGAGACAAATATTTGTCTGGGAAGGAGCTTTGTTCCCCCGTAATCCCAATGGTAGACATAGTCTAAGTATTGAATATTTATACTCATCAATGCTATTCAGGTCCTAATCCAGGATCTACTGAACCAAAATCTGTAAATAGCCTATTATTAAGCTTATTTCGTGGGATCCCCGATATTTTATCTTCGTTGGAGGTCAATTTAAGACACATTTTGATAGGGCTTTTCTTGCTACACGATTATGTTTAACTTATTTCAAAAGCTTAAGCGATATATATTTAGAAAAGCACAATACCATTTCCGATTCTTTTTCTATTCTAGACACTTATTTGTCCTCATGCTGTAACAGACAGGGAAAGAATATTTTCATTGCCTAAAAACTGCACTCATATCAAGGTTGTAAGGCCAAGAATAAAAATCTCTAGAAAGATGAGAAGGTTGGTGGGGTCGTAGTATTATTTCAGAAGATGAACCATCAGTAAATGCAATCAATTAGTGTTAAGCCATAAGTGAAAGAATCTTTTTTATGAAATTCACACCAGTTAATTATATAAAGCCCTTGGTAGTGTGGTTTTTTGTCATTTTTTTCTGATCCTTCCTTTTGGACAGTTGAACGAAAAAAACTGCTAGTTTGATAATTTTCTGCCAATTTTATATGCATTATTTGCAATTTTATGTGGATTGCCTAACACAGGTAATCAACGTTTAACCGATTTACCAAACTTTTGAGTCTCAATTTACCAAGAGTGCACTCATATCAAGGTGATAAGGCCAAGAATTAAAATCTCTAAGAGGTTGGCAGTATTATACTATTGTTTCAGAAGTTAGGCCATTAGTAGCTGGAATTCATTTTGCAGTGTAATTCTCTTGGCCTCTTGCCTCTCTGTTTTTGCCTTCTCTGCTAAATTAGCAGCTTTTCTTTCATATATCAAACATTATTCTGTTATAAATAATAAAAACAAGTTTAAATTATCTATCAAAACTAAATTTGGGTATGTGTAATAGATTTTATGTAATAAAGAAAGGGGTGAACGCTAACGAAAATAAAAGTTTACCGTGAATGGCTAGCAGTCTTCGGAATTTCACCATTAAGAAATTGAAAGAGGAAACGTGATATTCAAAATGTGAATAAAAATCTAGTTCGTTAAGATATTCATTTTTATAATAAATTCTTCTCTTGATGATGTACACAGATCTTTTTTTGCAGAAAAAAGTCCCAAGCGAAGAAGCTTACTGTTAGTGAAAACAATGTGGTACGTTTGTTTCAGATTACTCACACATCGTAAGCATGGTACTTTTTCGAGGTAAACAGGCTTTTGAAATTTTCACAATACCTTTGAATGGTTCCTGAATAAGATTTCGTTTAGGTGAGCTTTGATCAAATTTAGATATGGCAACGAATGAATTTTTTAAATTTTTTTAGTTACACATTTTGAAAGGATTAAATTTCTTTTTTAAGCCAAGAAGGGCGATTTTTCGTTGTAAATGCAAGCAGTACTTATTTGAAAAAAACCCGTAGGTTATGAAAAATTTTCAAATAATTTTTTGCTTCAGTTTAAAAAAAACTCTATTTTTAGGCTCAAAACGGAAATTTCTCATTTGTATTTCAAACTCTGGAGTTTATGGACTCACGCCAAGATCAATATCCTAAGGGCATTTTGATTGATTAGAAAAAGGAGGTCTCATTTGAGCAGGAAGCTTATTTTGAATACTAAATGGAATCATAATACCTTCAAGTGGGGATATATATTTTGGCAATTTTCCATACTGCAAATATGAGATAAGGAATGGAGATATTTGTGAGCATTTGTATCTATTAATCTCACCAAAAAACATTCGCCTTTGAATAGACTTTAGTTACAAAAGATGGAAAAGGTATTGAACGATAAAACATTTTATAATATAAAAAAAAGAGTTAAATGAGCTTATATATACAGACACCTGCCATTTTGAAAGTAAATTTTCCATTGAAGTGGATTTAACTGATCTGAAGAATTGTTTATTTTATGCAATTAATCGTAACGAGAGGAGCTAGAAATCATTTTTGCTCAAGGGTGAATCAATAATGAATAATTACCTTAGGAATTCTGATGGCTGGGCTCTTTAATCTCGATTGCTTCGGAGTATTTTTTTGCTTTTAATCAAATGTCTGTTTATTACGTATATGAAGTTTAATCTTATCGTTCTAAAGTGATAATGTAGTAATTATTAATGCAAGACAAAAATATACGTCAATATAATATGAATCTATTGATAATACGAGATTCAGACAATGGCAAATGACATCAACTTACGTGTGGCTGGTTAGTTGACTGGGTTTTAACACTAATCTATGATTGTGGGTTTTTTGGGATTTTGGGATACTTAGTGTGTTTTTCAGGAAACAATTTTTGTCTTGGCAGATTGTCAACCTAGGCAGTCGAAGACAATGCAAGAAGCATATTCTTTTTATTGTAGACGTATTTTTGTCATATGAATACTTTTAAAATGAATTTAAGCTGGCATTTCATTTTCGGTGTTCTAGGCCAACTAATCAGTTTTGTATAAAGGTTGTGGTGTTTTTTTTCGAGCAAATAATACTTAATTGGACGGCTAGTACCAATATTCGTCATCGCTAACTCTGCTGGGCTTTAACAAGTTTAGATATTTCGGAAACAAAAGTCAATCTATTTTCCTAAAAAATGTGTTGCGTTTTCAATGAATCTAGCCTCTACGGGAATGGTTAAAAATGTTATAGAAAAATTCAAACAGCGTGTCATTTGATGTAAGCAACGGAACTACGATTTGATCGAAATCTTATGGGTGAAAATGGGTTGCAGTTAAGATTGGCTATGAAATCAGAATGGTATTGGGAAAAAGTTTCATATGGTTGACCATTTAAGACACAAATTTTCCAAATCTTTTCCCCTTTCAATCTCTACTTAAGAGTCGAAGATTTTAGCCGAATTTTGGCTATCTCGAATAAGAATCCTTGTCCCAATTATAATAAGAATCATTATTATAATTATTACTATTATAAGGAAATGTCAAATTAAGTGCATTGGATTGATTATGCATCTTTGCATGTTCATAAATTGTGTGACTAGATTTAGATAATTTTTGGCAAGCAAGAGCGATGGAGAGGGCCAAACTAATAACCAAGATGTACCAGACTCAGAATATTATCGGATCTCGCCCTTGTTGAAGAGAAACTGCTATTATTTGAATTAAGCTTATTTGAATTTTGTTGTGAAGTAATCCTTTTATTTCTGTCTTTATGCAGTAATTTCTGCTCCCGGCAGTTACGTTCTCAAAATAATCCTATACTCGCGCTAAGCTAATATCTTGATATATTTGTTCAACTTTCATTAGAACTTTTTAATTCCACTGAATATTATATTCGTTTTAGATAAGACTGAAAATGCCTTTAATTTCTTCTTGAAGTAAACCAGCCGCTTAAGGTTTTGCCTAATTTTGTTAATAAATGAATTCTGTTCATTATCTTCAGCTGCCAAGATTGAAGTTTATCTGGGAAGACTATTATCTCAGAACATCGGTGGAAAGAAAAGTTTACAGATCCCTAACAGAGGTGGTGTTTGTCTCTATCATTGAATTTGTGCTTTATTTATGTAAGATTAATACGTAGCCTGGTTCTCTACTCGTGGCTTCACTGCTATTCAGGCTCCTTTTAAAGGAAAGCTTTTTATGGCAAGTCTCTTCACTTTATTTCAAAAAGTTCAAAAAGTTTCATTGTTAAAAAGTTGTTGCTTGTTTTCATATTGTAAAGTTTCATGCTTATATCAGTTATAATGCGTGTTTTAATTTAGATATGTAAATTATAGAAAGTTAATACCAAAATTTTACAGTGCAAAGCAGTTCTGCAAATACATTAATATTAAATGAAGAAGCTTTATAGTTATTTTATTTTTCTGACAGTATTTTGAACGGCAAAAGGCAATGTGGTTTCTTTTCAACTTCCTCAAGTTTCCAAATTTTTCTCAATTTCTCTTTGTTTCTACAACCTTTCTCCGTCCCGTGGCCACCGGCCCGTCATGTTTTCCTGACTCTGATCGATGAGATCGTCTGTTAAAATCATGTAACCTTCTCTGCAGTCATTGCGATCGTCGGAGAGTCAAAACTGATCGAGTGTGGACTGTACGCGTTATAAGGTTTGGCAACACTCTGGACATAAACAGCTATCAACGTCCTGATATGTGGCCGTTCGTGTCAGACCGCAAACCTTGCAAAATCACTTGTTCTTCTTTTCTTCTTTCTGATATGAACTTGTCTATTAATTCTCGAAACAAGGCTATATTCACTTAAAGCAGTTCTTCTTCAATAAACATAACAAAGTTTCCTAGCCTAAAATTAAGACGATAATCATCATGTCAAGGGTTTTAAAAGTGACTAAAATGTCCTTTTAGAAAAAGGAAACAAAACAAGAATTTCCTGTTGTAGAATCTTTGCTACTGTTTATTAGAACCACAAAGGCAGATCATCTGTATTTGCTGCGTGTGCTAAAGAATAATTCTCATTTAGAACCTACTATGCGTGTACAAAGGCTGTTGCAACCTTTCTCGGATACCATGCCTTATGTTATCACAGGTATATTTATAGCCTGGTTTTATTCTATGATAGGAATATATTTTGTCAATTGTGAACCAGTTTTATGCGCTAATGATATGGCAAGATGAATACCAGCCAATGGAAGAAAACCCAATCTCTATTTTGGTAAGTGCTAAATTGATTCTAGAACCAATACGTTTTTCAAGATGCATTACATGGATTTCTAGCAATAAAATCAAAGTTGATCCATAACGACTATTGGTATAATTTTCTCGAATTTTTACCAGCAAGTTAATCGGGTAATGATTTATTCAGTGAACGATAGTGGATTTTGACTTTATTACTAAATGTCAAATGCTAAAAATTAAATATTGTTCCAATAATGAAATAAGTCTCACCTTTCTGCGATTCTTTTCTTGCTTTTGGTGAATTATGGACATGTAATTTTGTATGAATAACTATGACCCTAGTTAAAATCCTATTGTTGTCCTAGTCATGAATAGTCTAGTCATACTGTTGTCCAAATTTGCGTTTAGAGCATAGTAGTGCCATGATAAGGACAGAATAATTATCAAAATGTCCTTATTAAGCCAAGTGTTGAAAGCAGTTGCTTGTTTTGTCATAAAGATCTGTTGCGTAAGGTTTCTTATGCATGTGAAAGTCTCCCAGGTTGACTGGAGTCAAGACCTCTTGTCAGGTTTTGTGATAAAGACCTATTGGTTGGAACGTAAGGTTCCTTACGCATATGAACGAGTCTCCAAGGTTGATTGCAGGGTCACAAAATCGCTCTCTGTCTGGCTTTTAGGCGGTTTACCTCCTCGTACGAAACAGTCTCATGCCCGGCAAGTAAAGTGTGCAAAATTTCAAATTTTTTTGATTCTACTAAGGGACGACGATACTGAAATTCGTGATTAAGAACAAATTTTTCAGTCTCAGAGAGAGTAAACCGAAAATTCACGCCCGGCGCAAGCTAGCTTTTTCATCGGCTTTCAAAACTTGATAAAATCACAAACTAACGGTGTATTTTTGGTATGTCGATGACTATTTTGGCAATTTTAACTCAGGGTCCGAAGAAAAGGAACATTGGTCTAATTTCAATGTTAGCGCCCTGGGCACTGACGATTTGCTTCAAAACTGAATTAAGTCCTGAGCTTGATAAAATCAAGGAAAAAAGGTGGTCCGGAAAGGTGCATGTATATTTTAAAATGCCGTGGACTGGCAACGTTTCATTAAAAGCTTGAAAGTCAAATGAAAGGTCTCCATTTGGTGAAAGTGCTGCTTCCGTCCATTCATATTGATTGGGTACCTACCAATCAAACAAGTTTAGTCGTTTGTAAATTTCGGTGCCGATATGAAGTTCGGTACGTAGTATGCAGTAGTCAATGATCAGTCCAACGAATTAAAAATTTTTCTCAATTGAATGTTACTGTAAATTTGCAATTTTTAGGAATCGTTCTACAAATTTTTGCAAGATCGCTTCATCCTGGAAGATGTGATTTTCATTGTATTTTATGATATTCTGACAGCCGTGGGAAAATACGCTGCAACTAACAAGGTAGCAGTTATAAATTTTTAGACTTCCATGAATGCATGGAACATCTAAATTATTTTTTCTTTCTCATTGAGGTAAATATGATCTTAAATGTTCGGTGTTATTTTCAGGGTAATACGCATTCTTCGTTTTTTTTACTTGGACGTTGGCCAATATTATATCAGATCTATAGTATTGTATTGTATTGTATTGTATTGTATTGTATTGTATTGTATTGTATTGTATTGTTATTTATATTTATTTTTTTATTTTATTTTATTTTATTTTATTTTATTTTATTTTATTTATTTTATTTTATTTTATTTTATTTTATTTTATTTTATTTTATTTTATTTTATTTTATTTTATTTTATTTTATTTTATTTTATTATAATCAAAACCAATTTTTGTGACAAATTTCAAGATTGTACAGTCACTAAATCAAACAAATTACGAAACTTCATGATGGTACGATTACAACAACAAAAATAAGATTTCTATTCAGTGAATGCAACACACGTTTAGGAGGAATCAATTAAATATCAAAGTAGCATAGTTCCACTCTTCACTGCAGTTGAACGCTTTTGTAGGACGTAAAACAGGAAGCCTGAAGTTTACCATGCTTCAATCTTCAATACATCCAATATTGCTATATCAATAAATGTTAATGTAATTTACTGGATAGCTTCTCTGTCTTATTGCACTTAATGCCATATAGGCAGATCTGTACATGTCTTGGTGTATAGAACAGGATGGTTCCTATCTAGAACTCCGACTGTCACGCTTTATACATTGCATCCAGGGTTGCCAAGAGATTTCGGTGGCCCTAGGGCAAAACCGAACGACGAGACTTCCTGCGAGCGGAAGGATATATTGAAGTTCATGACCCGGGACTCAGGTAACATTGAGTTGCAACTTAGAACCATCCTGTTCTTTCATCAAAGCCAATATTGTTTCTATATGTAACTCGAGTGTTTTTGGTTCTGTTCTTCAGCAAATCCATCTCTTCGCTGCCTGCCTTGATGGCACGGTTGATGCTGCAGTATTTCGCTACGTTCTTCTGATGGCTGAGTTCATCAGTTCCTTTGAATGGATCCAAATGCAGGATTTCTCAAGCTTTGCTGCTATAGTTTATCCATTCTTACAGGTGCTGAAATTTTCAAATGCCGCTTTTTTCTGTTTTGCTTGTTTCAAACAGATTATTTTTAAGGACTTTTCAGTGGCGAGGAGAAGGAAAAAGATAAAAAAACCCAGCATGGACATGTTTATGCTGCAATTTCTTCTGCAAAATTTCTGCATTACTCTAAACCATTAAATACTGATATATCATACATGATAATTCGTTTCGTCTCTTGTTTATGATTTTTAACTCAATACATATATTTCAAGAATGTCTGAAGGTTATTTCAAATTTGTCTTTCTATTTAATTTGTACTTATTTTGCACAATAGTCTGATCTGTGTTTAAGAGCTGGGTTAAAGGTCGTCATGAAAAAAATTAGCCACAAAATTATCTAATTGTTCGCTTCCTGAAAATATATTTATAACTATATCTACAAGATATGCGAATCATTTTTCCCTTTTACAGTCTTTTCGAGTAATTGTGGCGTTAATTAAACGAACAAATCATAACATATTAAGCTGCTATTGTTGGTAGTTTCAAGAGCATGTCTTTTGTGTACAATTTTTCGCTCTTTGGCTAAAAAGAATTTGGCGGACTCCAAAACATACAGATTGAGCTTTCGCATCGACCAGTTATTACGCTCGCCATACAGACTATTTGAATTTTTATTCCTTCTTTGGCTTTGGAGTTAACATCCCAGCTTTAATTTTAGGAAGACGATTTTGAACAATTGAGAATGGGTTATACATCATTCAGCGAAAACAAAGTTTCATCTGGCCTTGTTTTCCAATACTTGTTGTACGTTATTTTAAATGGGAGGGAACCAAGATTTATGGAGGTAGGTTGCATAGAAATTTAAGAACTCGATAGTTGGCTTGATTTTCGTGGTATTCATAAGCTGCGAATCTTTACAGCTTCTTGGAAAATTGAGTTAAAGGAACAGTAGAATCAAAAGCAAAGTTGGTTGAGAGCAAATCAAGGCATCTCCGACTGAAGTTTGATAGGTACCTTGCTGTTGGAGTTTATTAATCTTTTAGTCATCCGAAAAGTTTTGCGCTTTGATGTGTGTTAAAGCAATGAGCTCGTAGCATACACAGATTTAGTTTTAATAAAAACCTAGGTTTACAAAATGACAAGTTGGATTTATCAGAAAGTTAAGTATGTTAAACTTAATTATGTTTGTTGATTGGAGAGCCGAATTAATGGCAAATCTATTTTTAAATGATTAGGTAAGTTACTATCAGCTTAATGTCAAGTTACGATTCGATTTTATTATGATCTGGACATTTGATTGTTTTTATAATCAACTTGTCTTCCTGTGATCTATCAAATGACCAAAGCCAGTTTCTAACATTGGTTTTTTAACATTGCATAAAATGACACAACAAGCTTTATCAATTTGTTATAATGGAAATTGTTTATGTTATCTTTACGTAAAAACTTTTCTAAGAAAGTAACCACTGAAAAGTATGCGGAAACTGTTCTTAGAATAACTCGTCTCAGAGGAAAATTAAGAAAATTAATAAAGAGAAAATTAATTGATTAAAAGAAAGTTAAGAGAGATTTTTTGGCAGAAGTTTTCAACATGTTAGGGCTATTTTATTTGTCTTTAAAATCTGCCCTTTACCGTCCTACAAGTATTAGCTACTGAGAATATTCAATAGCGAAAGATTCTTATGACCACAATGGACACTTCTCTGCAACGAACCTCTACCTTCCACTCGGATACCTCTCTTCAACAAATTTATTACTTTCCCATCGAACACTTCTCCACAACAAGCATCTTCTTTCTACAATGGACACCTCACTTCAACCAACATTTTCTTTTCCCAACGGACACCTCTCTACAACGAACCTCTACCCTCCACTCGGATTCCTCTCTTCAGCAAATTTACTCTTTTCCCAACGATCACCTCTCCACAACAAGCATCTTCTTTCTACAACGGACACCTCTTTTCAACAAACATCTTCTTTCCACTACCGACACTTCTTTACAATGAACATCATGTTTCCACTACGGACACTTCTTTTCAACAAACACCTCCACTACGGACAATTCTTTACAATGAACATCTTCTTTTCACTACGGACACCTTTCTTCAACGAGCATCTCTTTTCCACTGCGGACACTTCTTTACAATGAGCATCTTCTTTCTACTAAGGACAACTCTCTTCAAAAAACACCTTCTTTCCACTACGGAGACTTGTTTACATTGAACATCTTCTTTCCACTACAGACACCTATTTAAAACGAACATCCTCCTACTTCTGCGGACACTTCTTTTCAAGTACAACCTCCCTACAACGAAGACTTTTTTCCTAGAAAGCAACGCAACACAACACAAAAGCGAATATCGTCTTTCTACAAGAGACACCTCTCTGCAACAAACAGTTTTTCTTAAATTTTCCTCAAACAAAGATTTTTCCTTAAATTTTCCTCAAACAAAAATTTTTCTTTTTTAGCCAGGCTTCCCAGCAACAAATGCCTCTCTTTAACGAAAACCTCTCAACAATAAAGACCTTTCTTGAACAGACTGTTTAATTTGTCCCAGATGTGGCTTCACCAATCACTATGTGTTAATTTTTTGTCGTTAAAATCAATGTAATTTTTTTCTAGTTTGAAGTTAAGTTACTGCAGTGCCCTGTCCGAAAGCCAGGCTATTTTACGGATATAGAATTCGTAGAGGCATTGGATTCACTTGTTCCTTTGGCATCAGAAAGGCTGCTGCATCGCCTTTTTAGCCAGGCAGTAAGACATTTTCCCGGTGATGATGAAACGATTCACGTATCACGGGTGTCACGTATCCTTTTATATCCTTACATTCGTAAGTTATATATATAAATATATACATATAAAAACTACCTTGGCTACGGTGAAATCTACAGTGCTGGCTGGCTTCGGAGATTCCTCGCTCATTTCATTGGGCCGTTTGGCTCTGTGGAATTAGCATGGGTTTTTGAAGCAGCAAACTGGAGTTCGATTCCGACCAAGACTGGTTCGATACAACTGGGCAGCACCCTTGTGGAAAGATTTTCCTTTCGTCAGCTTTTGCCTTATGGTTACATCGAAACGAAGAATTAGCGTGGGTTTTTGAAGCAGCAAACTGGAGTTCGATTCCGACCAAGACTGGTTCGATACAACTGGGCAGCACCCTTGTGGAAAGATTTTCCTTTCGTCAGCTTTTGCCTTATGGTTACATCGAAACGAAGATGGAGAGAAAATATCATAAAAGGTCCAATGCCAAAAACTTGTCAATTCTGAACTCCATATCATAGGAACTTTTCTACATTGTAAATAATATCACATGTTTACTTTAAGTCTGTACATATGCCAAGAAGCGAAACATCATTGTAATTTTGCTCTCGAAATGTGTGAATTTCAGTTTTGTTTGTTTAGTTCTTGTTTTCTTCTTAGCTTTCATCGTTCAACTTTTACCATAAGCAACAACCAGCAAATTGTCAAAAGTGTAAAGAGAAATTTCCTTAACTTTTTAAAGATCTAACAAGCTATTTAGCTTTGATTCACAACACTCCAAGAATACGAAATGCCATCAAACAATGGAAGATGGATAACAAAAAACTTGTTTCAGAACAGCAAGGTATAAAATTTATATTCTGTCTGATTTATAACAGTTTTTGGAATCTAAAAATTGATTTGAAACAGGCAAGCGTTTTGAGACAAACTGAAGCTTCTTCTCGTATTACGCTCTTCAGAGTATAAAAATACACAGGAATATGTTATGCAGTTATATATAATTTTTTTAACGAAATTGACCAATAAAAAACGTGAGCACATGACTGTGAAAGTAAAGGAAGTGGGAAGGCTAGGGAAGGGAATAGGCAGGAGATAAAAAAGACAGGAAAGAAAAATGAAGGGTTGAAGAAGTAGGGATGTGGGAAAAGAAAGGAGAAAGAGGAAGAAGGGAGGAAAATGAGAACGAAGTTGATTGAAATAGAAACGGTGGAGGTGAGAGGAAGAATGAGAGAGTAAGAATGAGGGAGGAAGGAGAAAAGATAACGAAGTAGTCGGTAAAAGAGAGGGGCGGTGCGGGTAAATGGCTCGGCCTTGAGTAGTGGCTTGAAAGCACGACTCGATAGCTCAGCGGTAGAGCACTTGACGTACAAAGTCAGGGATCGTGAGTTGGTGCCTCGTTCGGTTCGGTTATTTTCCCGCACTCTCTAATGAGGGAGTAGGGCGAACAGAGTTTTAAAAAGGAGAGATTGGGAAAGGGAAGGTAGAAAAAGGAAAGCAGAAAGATAAAAGGAGAAAGAAGAAAGATGAAAAATAAAAGAAGAAAAAAGAAAGAAGAAAGAAGAAAGAGGAAAGAAGAAAGAGGAAAGAGGAAAGAAGAAAGAAGAAAGAAGAAAGAAGAAAGAAGGAAGAAAAAAGAGGAAAGAGGATGGATCAGTTCTTAGTATTTGATCTACAAGTACTAAGAACAACGACCTTATTTTCAAGGTTGGCAGGAAGAAATTGAGAATATAACTCTTGGTTATTATAGGGTAATGTTATCTCCATATGTAGGTTCGAAGACATATAAAAACGCTAGTTCAACTTCAAGAACCTTTTGATGCACACTCTATGGTTACACAGTTAAACTGCCACAATTATATATTTTAAAAAAATGTGTATAAAAGTCTTTGTAGCAGATCAATGTGTAATTAACAAACAAATCATTTTCCTACTACTTAGTGATTTATAACAAAAGAATCAAAGACGTTATGTTGTAGCATCATGTTTATTTTTAGCAGGGTTTGGCAACAATGAATTCAATGTACTACAAGGACACTTGTGTGTTGTTAAGTTTGTAATAGCTTGTGACAAAGAAATTAACAGACGGACCTCCTTTATAAGTTTCCGTGGAGGTTTGAACGAAGGGAATGATAACAAAAGATAAGAGCGGACTGAAGTCTTTATTGAAGTTAAGCAAAATAAGCATAGATTGATTGCTGTTTTATGATGTCCGAAAACCTCTGGGTTTCGCTCAATGTCCTTGCCAATATTTAATGGAAATTGTAACCCTAAAATAAACTCTTTATAATTGTTAGTTATCATTCGTATCCTTTTAAAAACTGTTCTTACGATTTGTTGTTGAATGAAAAGGAATTTATGATGCTCCATTGATGATATCTTATCATGTTTTAGAGACAATCATTTATATTTGACATGTTATTTTGAATCTCCTAATGCAATACACTTTATATAGAACATAATTAAAATGGAGATGAGACCTTGCTCCTTAAAAGTCGTCAAATAGCTGTCCTTTATCTGGTCAGACTAATGCAATTTACGCCAAAAATATAACTGGTTAAGAGCCAAAGTATGTTGGATTACAGATTGTTTCTCAAATCGTCAATAGCCATAGGTTCATAGTTTTGAGTGCTGCAAAAGTAAAAACACAATCATCTTCTAAGTTTTCAGCTTAATTACGCCAACTGAAAACTTACTCCTGGGCTGAAAACGACTGAAACCGACTGAAAACAACTGAAAACAACTGAAAACAACTGATAACGACCGAGAACAACTGAAAAAGACTGAAAACAACAAAATATTTTATTTTAATTTTACTTATTTACAGCAGAATATGAAAAAAGTTGAAAAAACTTCATTTATTGAACATCGAATGATTTTCAAATTTTATAAACTGCACTTCAAAGTTATTTAAGGGTTATAAGCTCGTTTGTTTTAACCGGTCTTGTCATTTGCAGGTTGCCATTAACATTTTTTACTGATAGCATCGATTGTATTAGTCTTATTTAAGTTAAAAAATAAACCTTTGTTGAGACATAATTAACAGATTATATGAAATATTGGAAACGTTGCCAATCAAACTGAAAATTGCAAGAAACAAAAAAAGAAACAATATTTATTAAAAGATTTTCTTTAAATAAAATTTCTATTATACTATTTTTTATGAATTACAAGTTTTGCAAATTTATGGTACACACCCGCTTCTATTCCTGCAATTGTTTTGACGTTATGCAAAACAACTAGACAGATGTGTTCCAGTGATTCGTTGATAAACTACTAAACGTTTATTAGATCCCTAACTTTGACATCTTGGTTAACCTTGCAAACCAAACATTTCAGCTCATTAACTCTAGTCCAATTGTACGGATTTTCAAAAACTTAATCATTATGTTTGTTTGAAAACCAAAATAAAAATGTTTGGCGTTTACCATAAGATAGAATCTTTACAGCAATGTCAGAATGGATAACACAAGCTTAAAGTTCGCTTGAGAAAACATTCGTACTAAAAGATCAATGCAACCGTTGATATTGATTTATTTGCTCAGACTTTTTATTTGTAAGTTAAGCGTTTGCTTTTTAAGTGCTAAAAAACAGATTTTTTAAGGGAGGCCACATTTGCTTTTTATTTAAATATTATTACCTGTCGTTCTAGAGCTCTCTGCAGCTTACTTCTTGTTGGCCGTGACGTGCAATCCAATATCAAGAGTAATGCCCGAATATGCTTTTGCGTGAAAGTTACTTGAAATGAATCTTTAAATCATTTCTAAATGGCTTTGAAAAAAACAAACATTTTATAACATATTGGCTATATGTTATAGCCAATATGTTATAAAATGTTTGCTTTTTTCAAAGTTATTTTCAAGTTCTGTACCGCCAATAAACGGTTGAATTATTTTTTGCGCTCTTCTGAAACGGTTTGCTTAGGTAAAAGAGAATTTCCACCTTCCTTGTTTGTTTCTAAATGGCAATGAATTGAATGAACATCGTAGCAAAGACTTTATGAAAGCATGACCTAAATATCATAAAATATTTATGATTATAATAGAACTCTAAGGTTTCATTACGTGAGCACTCGTTAAAACCTCATTGAATGTAAGATCAAATATAAACGACAGGTTTATGTTGATAGGAAAACCAGAAACCATGCCGGACGATAGTAGTTAGAATTAGTGTTGAGATAATGCATCAGTTTTGCGCCATCATAAGGCTCAGAACCCAGTTATGATCCCCAACCTTCTAACCTATGTACATTCTTTCCTAATATAGAACATCTTTACAAATCAATGCACGTTTTATTTCGTCTTTAGACAATGAACAGAGATGGAGATTCAAGCAACCCAAGAATTATTTCGGTTTTATGACTTTGTCAAAGATAAAAGCCCTTGGAATGGAAATGGGGAGGTTAGTGTCAAGTTTCAATACCTCAATTTTTTAGAAGAATAACATCATAATGATTTAAGTAAGAACTAATGATGTATATATGATACGTAATATAAATAGTATTATTCGTATTATTGTTTGCCATTTCTATTTTATGTTTTAAGTGATTTAATTGGAACTTGAAATGTTTTTACAGTTATATTAGGCCGTATTATCTTGTCTGGAAAGTGGCTGTATTATCATAAACCGATGTCTGTTGTCAAATTGGGTTTTGACAACTTGTTCTTGACATGCAGTCGGGTTGCTACTTGAAATGGAACAGACAACAGAAATGTCTCGATCTTTGTATCAAAACTCTATCGGTTGATTTGGTAGTTTATCTTTTTTCTGGATCTTCTGTCAGTTTAGTGCCCATTTAGTATTAAAGGAACTTTCGAGAACCCTTTAGCACTAACATCAACAACAAAAATTGAATAGACCTAGTGCAGAATCCTGAGCTTGGTTTCTTTGTCAAAGTATGTGTATTTTATGAGTACTTCGTCATATCATTGAACACGCTGAAGTTTCTATTGCTAGTTTCCACAAAGACCAAACATTTTGCACGAGAAACAATGTCCATTGTCTGTCAAGTTTTGATGGGCCCTCGTATGTTGACTGTGAAATGCTTAAGTGACACTTTGTTCAAATAGCAATAAACCACCCTGTAATTTTTTTCTTATTTAGAACCATACTTTCAAATTTTAAACATTGTTCCACATAATCTCAGATCCATCATCATCATACTTTCCTTTAAGCCTCTTTTAAGTCCACATTGACCAAAATGTAAACCAATAAATTTTTCTTGCATTCAAAATGACAAGTGTTAACTTCGCTATTTCGTAACATCTAAATTATCTCTCTTAAAGATTCACAGTAGATCTTCATTCCACCTGGACCTCTTTTGTAACCGGCTCGGATCCTGTTTTTCAAATCATCGGACGACAGACAAAAGTTTTTAATCAGATGACATTTTCATGACATTTATCTAGACATATATACTTCTATAGCCTAGTTTAGATATTGAGGGGTTTTCAGAATCGTAACTACGGGATGTAGGGCAGAGGGCCTACTCTTAGTTATACTCAATTTTATTGTCATCCGTGTTCATTTTTGATACTTGTACGTTAGCACAGAAATCAATTTGAGGGCAGTGTTATAGATATTTGGCATGATATAAGAGGCGTGATAGGAATAGTTTGACATGGTCAATCGAGAATATTTTGCGATGTTATCAATATTCTTTTAATTTTATCGTGTTTTCTTGTTACTGAAATTTGCAACGGTAATCTTCAAAATGCACCAGCTAAAATACAGCATTTTTCAGCTTTTTACAAAAAAACGCCGATTGAAATGAAAAGACCCTACACTGTGCGTTATTAGCCATGACGTCTAAAACATGTGGTCATCAGTAAATGCCCAGCAAGCCTCAGCATTGACTTAAAGGGCAGGAAGATTTTCAAGAACCATTTTAAATGGTAAACACACTTTTGTGGTCTTTTCAAACAATAGACGTTAAGTTTGTAGAGTATACAAGGATTTTTGCTTGGTTCTCAATTTACCCATTTGTTCGTAAGATTTCTCGAACCAATTTGGTTTGTCCTATTAAACAGATGTCAATAATGAAAGTTAATTTCAAAGGATAAAAAACCAACATGAAATATAGAGTTGTGATTTTTCTAAGGGGATAAGAGTCCATTAGCGCGCTGTATTGGTTCACGTGGATACGAATTCATTCTCCTGTCATTCAGTCAGACGGAAGATCCAGTGTAATTAAAAATCTTGCAGATCGAAGACAATCAATCAGGAATATCTGCGGCGGGCTTCTGAAATCTAATGCCTTTAGACATATGACTGTGTGTAGAAATGTCCTCAGAAGAATGGTGTGTAGCCCAGGGTGCATTCCATGTACTTAGGCCCGAAGATCTTCGGCGTACACCCAGGTTTTTTTCGGCGTTCGGCGTGGAAACCAATAAAAATTTTTTTTGGTGTACTTAAAATTTTCATTAGTTGGCATGCTAAACATGAAGCCATGTACATAGTTAACGTAAAATAAAGACTCATACACCACATTTTTCTCTAATAATCAATTTTCTTTGTCTTGCACAACAATATTTACAGTTTTACTAACTCAACTGCTTTTATATTTTTGGCGTACCTAAACAAATGCCCCGGCGGACCTTCGGCGTACAGTTGACATGGAATGCACCCTGGTGTGTAGCGTCCTCTTCTGGATTAAGTCATAGCGAAAAAGTTTGTCAAGATATATGGTAAATGCTTATAGTAGATGCTATACTGCGTTTACCGTTGTGCCTGTTATCTGACCGCTGATAACGCCCATGGTCACAACCAGATCAAAATCGGTTTGTTACAAGATAGGCTTCATTTCCAAACAGGTTTCTCTTGCTACGGCTTTGAGACTACTTTAGACGGTCTTGCAAACGGTTAGGCTTTTCTCCGCACTGACTCTGATTAATTTTGGAGTTTGCAGCAATTCTCGTGCACGAAATTGTCATTCCGTTCATAAATCTCTACGTAGGAAATGTATTTTACGTCCAAATTTTCTGCATGTAAAATATGAATTGTTTTTGAACCAACCTTTCCGTATAACTGATATTGGGGATCTTGTTCATATCTATGCCACCCGGTCATAGAGTACTCAGTATTTACTGGGTCATAAAATATCATAGAAATATCTAGTACTAATACTTGGATTGGATAATGACGCAATCAGCCAAACGTAGCCTGTGCTCCAGACCCCTAACTTGAAAGTAGAGCTCTACTTTGAAGTTAGGGGTCTGGAACACAGGCTAGCCAAACGCGGCATATCCTAATTAATAATTGACTTTTTCAAGGAGTTGTAAAAAATGAAGTTACATGTATGTCCTAATTATTTTGAATATATATTGTTCATACACCCAAACATAAAATGTGTTTTAAAATCACCCCCAAAAATATAGTGTTGAAGTGAAAGGCGAAGTCTTATTTTTAAGCACCAATGTGACATTTGATCCTGTCTATGAATGTTTCTTTCTATTAAAACAGAATAAAGGTAAATTTGATCCAAAAGCTAGAAGATAATGACCTGTCTGTCAAGCCAAGACACTCCAGATGCTTCGTCGTTTCAACTTCTGTCAACTTGTGACCTAACCCTTGTATCCTCTAATCACCATCTAATATTTTTGATAAAAGTTGGCTGGAAAAATGTCTTTGTGCGCATGAGAAACTGCTTTTTTGCAGGCCATTTGAGCTCATCGCTTTCTGTTTTCTTGTTGTCAGTTTCGTTCCGAGTCAGCGTGTCCTTACAATCTTAATCTTTCTTTCTATCATCAAGGATATGAAAAACATTTAAGCTCATCTTTGAATATTTGGTATATTACGCTATGCACTCTTTCCGCGGACACATTTTGTGTATGAGGGTTTATTCTCAGATTTGCGCATGTTTTAAAAACACTACGGGACAGGCATTAATTTAAGGAATTTTCATCACTGCACAAAACAGCGTAAATCGCCGATTTTCAGGGCCAAATAGGGTGTGGCTAGGGGTGGGGTAAGTTTTGACTGGACCTCTTTTGGGCGGAACAAAAACTTTTTACATTATTTTCAGGGACACTTTCAGTGTAATTCAGCCTAACTACAGCCTACGACCTCCAAAAAAATGTAGATATGTTGATCATTTTGTCCATTTGCAACGAAATTACAATGCGGGGTCGTACAACATCGTTTCACTTGATTAATCATTTGAATACATTTAATATATCAAGTAATACATTTGAAATTAAAAGTATTGTTGTATTCAGATATGTTATGTTGCTGTTGATCTTGATTATAAAGTCCGATGGCAATACATAAAGTAAATTTGTTTAGCTATTAAGGATTACCGAGTCTCAGCCTAATGAATTAAGCCTCTTGTTTAAAAGAGTTGTGTATTAGCTTTCCTTTTCATATTGTCAATGACAGTGCAACAAAATGTACCAAGTCTACATTTTGTTTGCTCTCTATTCGATTGACATGTACTTCAGGCTTTTTACTAGTTCTTTCTACCTACTTAACTCTTGTCGATCAGCATAGTTGACAACAATTCATACAGTGTATATCCTAATAGCTATGTTATAGAAGTGATTATTTATGGAGAATAAAGCCTGTTCTGTAAACTTTCCATTTTTTACTTGATACATGTGTTGTTGTTCCTAAAGGTGGTTTTTATGGTCCATTGATGTTCTTATTCGACGAACATGCATAGATCTTCACTCTAAATGAATTTTCATCTTTTATCAGATGATAAAAGTTCATTTTCTGCAAGAAGACATCTCAGCAGTATTGAAAAATTTTGATAAATAATGAATTCAATAATGGCCATTTAGTCATGAGGCGTTTACGTCTACTCTGTCAACTTAGGTTGGTCAGATAAAATTGATAATGAGTTTCAGGTTTTACTCCTTTTTGGGAAAATGTCTTCTGTGTGTTCTTAGTAAACGGAAAGTCAAAATTACATGTCATTCAGCAGTCAGAATTGAGGGATAAGTTTTAATTTTTTGCAGATGGCCCAGTTTTGAACATCTTCTCTTTTTAGTGCCATATCAGCTATTGTTGTAGCTGCATATGATTTAACCAAATCAACTTGATGCACCACATAGTTTATCTCTCCATGGCACTGCACACACGGATTTATTGCCACTTCTTGGAAACAGGATACCAATAATGACAGCCGTATATTTAAATCTTTAACACACTCGGAGTCAGCTTCTACTAATTTAACTTCCATAAAAATTGCTCCTAGAAGATCTGTAAGTCTGCCAAATTCACGAGCTCTGTCCCATAACCTACTCCCCCCCCCCCCCCCAAAAAATGCTTTTGAGCGTTTTAACATTGCACTCTCTTATTGCTTCTCATATCCTAATGAACTGTCTTATTTAAAAGCATTCATTAAACTTGATCCTACTCTCTGTCGTTTTTAGCCCCTCCTTTATTTTTCCCGGTGTGGGCTTAACTACATGCCCTTGCGGCCTATCACAAACATTCCAAGCTGAACAAATAAAACATCTAGACCAAATATTAATAAGGGTGATGCCCATCTGCATCGTGGAGGAGGGGAGGATGTCTTTATTCAATGGTTCGAAATGCTATTTAAAGATTGTTTGCTTTCATTGAGGGAAGGCGTGTTCATCTAAGTATTGGTTGTCCTCATTTTAGGGTGAGCGCTCATTTTGAAAAATAGTAGCATGCCCTTACAATGTTAAGATTAAGACTGGTAGTTGACTTCGTATAGATAGCCCAATTTGGAAATATGCCATAAAGATTAGACAAGTGATAAAAAGATAAACGACAAGTTATTGATTCTGTAATCCTTCTAGGTTTCATAAGTTCCTAAAAATGAATTCTAATTAATTTTTTTCTTAGCATGCCAAGTCTTGTTTAGCTAAGTCAATTATTTTGAGACACTTTGATCTATTTCAATCTATACTTTTTTTTCCAACTTTTTGTATATTACAATCCTTTAAGTTCAACAAATTGGCCTTGTCTCTAGTTCTTTCGGCCTGTCTTTGGCAGTAAAATTTGTAATTTTATTGATTATGATGTTGGAAAAAACTGGTTCCAATTCAATCCTCTTTGTTATTTTTGTAGCTGAATTTTGCAATTTTTTCTCGCCTCTTTCAAGTCATTTTCTCGACCAGATACTCTCGATTTTACAGCACAGCCTATTGTAATAAACATTGCCTAATACAATAAACTGAAATGATTTTGGCTTGGATTATATAAGTTTATGCCCCTATTTTGGAATATTTGGTTTGATTTTGAAACACTGTGCTCTATATTAAAGGGAGAAATTAATAGACAATAAATGAAATATTAATCGACAGTGAATATTCTTCTTGTTTTCTTCATCTTTCTGTACCCTTCCGATTGATAATTTTTGTCCTGTTTCGGTGCTCTTGGTACTTCCTTCTCATTTGGCTCACTTTTTTGGCACTCTTCTCTTTTCCTATTTAGTCTATTTATTTAGTTCTTCTCTGTTTGCAATTAAATTCTCGTATTCAAGCAGCAAAGAATTTATTGATGGTGAAGCGCTGTTTCATTGGAAAATATGGATTTGTTGAATTGAATTGTTTGTCTATGATCTGGCTTGCCCGCTAAAATTACCGTCTTTCTCAAGAACGTCATACACCCCTACAACGTGTGCAAAGGAACCTCTTTTGATTTTGATTTGTTTTTTTGCATTTTGTAGAAGAGCCAGAGCAAGAAAAGCACAGGAGGAACAAGAAAAACTAGCTGATTACATCACTGATTCATTCGCTGAGGGCGCTTCTACTCCCGAAATAGTTTGACAGAAAACGGTACAGTCAGCGATCTTTGTTGAAGCAACGTGTCTATTTTAATTTTGCAATGACTGACACAGATAAACATTAAGTATATGAAAACCATTATATTACGTCAGGTCACGGCACCATTTGGTTACCAAACGTGCCATTACATGTTTTGCTCTGTATTTGGTCTGTATTTTCATTTCGCACTTTAATTACATTTTTGTAACTTTTATATGAATATTTTCCTGATTAGGCCTACTCTTTATAAGATGGAGCAGCATTCCCATTCCGTTCTAACTCAGATAGAGATTCATCGAAACAGTACAGACAGACAAAAACTGTGCATAGTCAATATTTTTTCATGCCTCTAAGTAGTGCGAGTGAAAGAATACCCTGGCACATAGGAGATCAATTTTTCAACCTGAAGCAGAACTTTGCTATAATATATTTAGTACCGGGACTTTTTACGAAGGAATAGAAGGAATGCATTTTCATTTCCAATTTCTTTATTAACAAAACCCATTCCACATAGTAACTCAGAACTAGATAATAACCTTATACCCTAGTTATGATAAATACAGTTTGAGCTAAAGGTATAGAAAGCAACAAGTCTGGCATAGCAGGTACTCTTTCAGTGAGTCGTGTTTGAAGTTGTTTCTAACTTAAGAAGGCACTAAGTATAGGTCTAGGTCACTGATATAGATTTTGCAGGAATAAATTTCAACTAAAATGTCCGATTCTACGAAACACTAAAATTAAAGACTTGAAGACCTTTCAGTGCAACGATGTAATCTAGTATTTAAAACAAAATTCGAAAGCATTTCAGGTAAGGATTTTTTTAATAAAAAAATTTAGAAGTATTCTGAAAGCTTGAATAGATCTTGAAATCGCAAAGTGCGTCTCATCGGAATCAAGAGGATCAACTCACTCAATACTTTCGTAACTTCCTATGTCCAATGTAGGGCTTGAATTTGATTTGAGATTTATTTTAAATTAGTGTTTTTGAATGAAAATACTGTTTTTTTGGATAAAAAATATCACACCCAAAACAGTGCTGGGACAAACCAGGGGTGCTTGCGTAGTTTGTCACTTTTTATCTTTGATGCCACGACCTTGATGCCACATAAAAAAATGGGGAGGGAGCTCCAGCCCATCCAGATCCCTGGCTTTGGCATGCCTGGCAAGGGGGCAAAATCACCCGATTGTTGGCTTCATGAAGGGCCGTCGCGAGGCAAGCCTCGTTGGGGGGGGGGATGGGTGGACTACAAATTACCTGATTAAAAAATTATTGCCTGAACTTCTTTAGCTGCTGTCACAAACCTCTGCAATACATTTTGTCAATTTAACTCTGTATATAATTCGCTACTCTCATTTTTTTACGATAATAACGAACTTTCCTAATAGTTTTGTCAAATCTCTATATCGGGACAAGCAAAGGATATAGTTATTACCTGAGGCAGGTAATTTTCGAATTTTGATGCTTCTAGTTCCCTGGAAAATGCACTCTTTTAAGCAGATTTAACTAAAGCAATCCTCCTAATCCTATTGAAAATTATTATTTTTTTGCAAAAAATTTTAACAGCAGGTAAAAACACCATTTCGCCGTGGTCTTGAAAATACCAGGTTTTCAGTTACTTCTAATGCTAGGTAAGAAGCAGCACTGGTTGTCAATTTAGATTCCTCTTTCCATCTTAGCATGTTAAGAAAAATCTGAAGCTCATAGTGAATTGCAGTTGACGCCTCTTCTGAGAAACTTTAGGAGAAATGGACACAAGGTACAGTTTTACCTTAAGAAGGCCTGGATTTTTGGATTTATTGCAAACAAGCAATCTTCAAATCTTCAAATCATTAGTTTGTTTACCTTCATTCATATCAAGGAATATCATATTCAACCAACGGAGCAACTACCTTTGATTGATCCTTTATTGATTTTTTGACATGAAAGTCTCTGAAAAACCTGAAGCGTTTCTTCCACCAAGCGGATTTTACCTGAAATTTCCTATTGAGATACTATTGGGGGAATGTGACACCCCCGACACCCCTCCACGCCCCCCGGTCGCGACGCCCCTGGCTTCATGTCAGGAATCAAGTATAGCACCTTGTGTCTTCGCATTTATTCGTCATTGCTTGTTGGCTAACTAACACATGCTCTAAAGTAGTTCTAAACCATTTGCTAGTTCCGAACAACCGATCACAGTAAAACGTAATTTGGCTATTAAACAATCCATTAAATCCTTGGATTCAGCCCAAGTCCTTTGACCCAGATTGCAAAAGCTGTTAATAGTGGAAATATAAACCATGAAAGAAGGCCTTTGATAAGGTTTTTTAGAAGTGAAATTTTACAATATCGTAGGTCATAAGGTGTTAAAAAATAACTAAACAAGAGGGCGAATGTTTGCAGGTAGTCAGATGACCATCCGTGACTGTCAAACTTCTATTGGTTTACTTTACTCGTTCTAGCTCTGTGATCAACTATTTGCCAATGGTTAAAACATAAACCCCCTTTCAAATTTCCGAAACAGTTTTTAGGGTGGAAGGGGTTTCCAAACAGGGTTGTCCAGGTGTTACTTTCGGCAAAGTTGGCAAGTGATCCTTTGTCGCTGAGAAGTTTAAAAATTTTCCAACAAAGTTCTCTAAGATTGCAAAAACCTCCTCATTTTCCAACGGACCCTTGTGACACATGTGTCATACCCCTCTAAATACTTAAAGCCCTGAAGAAAACATCTGATATCTGTTGTTCCCCGTTTAATAATATGTTTGAAACGTTTTAAAACCTATTGTGCAATTTTAGGAAGCTACAGCTTTCGACGGTCATGAATTATTAATTTCAAACTTCAATCCATTTCATTTCATTTTTATTTCAAATTCTAATTTTTATTCGATCTCTTTGTTTGATGTCATATAAAACCTAACTTTATGTCTGAGTTGTAGTGAGGTCCAACTCTATATTAATTCCTTTGCGTTTCGTTTACTTCTTATAAGAACATATTACATAGAACTTATTCCCATAAATGGGGAAGAAACAGAAATAACAAAAAAGGGTCTGGGTCCTAAATCCGAAAAGGGCCTAACACAATAATGAAGGAATAAGCAGCAAATCCTCACTCAATTTTGAAGCTGGATACCTCATTTGATAGATGCGAATTTTACGGTACATATCTCTCAACTGACGACATAACATTCGGAGAATATGTTAAAGATCAAATAGAGAAATTCAAAGTCTATTTATCACGTTTGCCAGTGAGAGATTCGCGAAGGACAGTTTTGGTCTTTCCTCCATTTACACCAAGAGGCAGGTTTTTGATTCACAATTGGTTAAGTGGCTCGCTACAAAGATTTTCAACAGTTTCTATAGGAGGTAGTAATGAGAGACGAACTGCTGTTTACCAGAATCAAGACTGCTCGAGGTAAACAAACAATATCCCTTTTCACCATCTATGCATCATCTTGTTAGTAGGCCAGACTGCAGAGTATGGCAAATGCTACCCTGTGGGTACTGGTACTATCAGAGCTGCAAACATTATTTTGCCGACCTCATCTTGCTCTGTTCTGATGCAAAAACTATCAGCCATGTACATTTTCTTATCTTCGTTTGTTTTCGCTTCTAAATTGATATCCTCAAGCTCTAGAACAGTTGTTTGCCAGATTGGAATCTTTGAAAGATGCGCAGGGGATCTGTTTCATGTCCATGAAAAATTGCACATTTGCAAATAGTACAGATAAAATTTTTGTGTGGCTGAGACTAATTTCAATTAAAATACAGTATGTAACCTTTGGATATACGGTTCAGAGAAAAACAGCTGGATGAATCATCGCAGCTTGATGAATCATTTTAATAGAAATTGCGCGACTGCAACTGCCACTGATAGTTGATATGCGCTGGAGATTTATCCCCCGTGTAAGGCAAAAATTCCAATCTGGGACTTGTTTGCACTAATGTACACTAACTTGTTTATACCAAAGTGCACACTTGAAGGTTTGCTCGTGCACACCAAAGATTTTGTCAGAATCTGCCGTACAGTGTTCCAGCTGTTAGGGTATATGGAATTGAATTGTCCTTTTATGAAAGGTACATCCAAATAGATATATATATATATAGAAAAACAAAGTAAGAAAAGAATGATCAGTGAAGGAAACTCAAGGTCGTAATAACAAGCTGTAGCTAGAAATTACTGACTAAGGGTGAGCCTATTAATTAGATATACTGATTCACAAAATATAAAACAATATTTTGAACAATTACAGGCTACCAATAATAACAACGCAAAAAGTCAAGACCAGATAAGGAATTTGTAAAAAGGGGAAAACTCTGTTGAAAGTAAGTCTTAGGCAGTCAGAAAAAATTTAGAAATTTCAGTACTCTGAAAAATTAAGAAAGATTTCAATTTTGAAAATGGCAAGAGCTCGTGAATTTGTTGAAAGTCCACCAATATGACTAGCTGCTTGGCATAAAAAATTTAGAAAAAGAGAAAGAAAATAAACTTCCCTGGTCTAACTACTGGAATAAAAATAGAAATATTGACAATTGTCTTTGTTTACTGATGCAAGTACCCAGAAAATGATATAGAAAATGTGTAAGATTAAAAAAGCTGTAGAAGTTGTAGCTGTCATGTGTAGACTCTGCAAGCAAACAGTTAGGCCTTGTTCTCAGCAAAATGAAGGTGCTCCATAAAAGAAGCTCCTAAGGAACTCAAGGTGTGCACTGCCCAGTCTATTACGTTGCTCTAAATAAAATTTCCTTGAAAGCATGCTTGGGAGGAATGTTAAATAAGAAATTCAATGTGAAACCTAAAAGCACAAGATTATGAAAAAAAAACATTAACCCTTGAAAGATGTTTAGAATTTTCCATTTATCCAATTCATGTTTTTTTGGCCCTCATAATTTGAAACACTCTTTCATAATCATCTGAAATGGCTTTGTGGGCCAGGATAAGGAGGCTTTAATTAGACTTTTTCATCATTGTAAAACAAAAAGTAGCCTCCTTGTCAAATCGTATCCAAACATAAAGTGTTTTACACAGAACACAGCACTGTTGTCATTTCATATCCTAGCCATTAATGTTTCCATCTGAACAGAAGGCCTATATGATATGCTCAGGGATGTAGAGCTATGGTAAAAACAAAGAAGGCTATAGCAAAAAATGTTGTAAAAAGCAATAGCAAATATAGAAATTGGCTCTCTTTGCCATTAACAATGGGGTCTGAGCTTCCATGGCACAACACCTCTGGGTATAATATTTTATCATTTCTATTGTAATACAGTATCATTTGACCAGTTCTTAGGCCGTTTTTCTATAGGTTGCATTTTATATTTTCATGATAACAAATCACAACTTCTGTCATAAAGTGCTTCATACTTCATAGGCTGAGCTATACCCACTATTTGGTGTATAGAGCAGGTTGCTTCTAAGTTGGTACTCCAAGAAACGGATTTTGGTATAGCCTTTGGTGCTACTGTTTTGTTTTTTGTTAAGGTCAACAGATAGCCATGCCTATCATGCTCCCATTGGCATCGTCTAGTTTGTAATCTTGTTCTTGTAAAATTTACTTTTTAAGACTGTGTAAAAAAAAAAATCCAAGAAACTGGATAAAATCCAGTAGAAAATGTCATCAGAGGTTATTGGTTTGGTTTTAAATCAATAAATTGGTTTTAAATCTTGTGTGTAAGTCCTATAAAACATAATGTTGCAGTCATTTGAGAAGGTGATTTAAGTTTCATCAAAGTTATCTTGAATCATCGTTTGGCACCTCTTGACTACTTTGTGCATGCAATGGCTTGCCATGTGGACTGCTTTTTTATTGGTCGTTTATCATCCTGTTGTCAAGAACTATAGGGTGCTGGTTTCAAAAAGACCTTTTGTGTTACAAACAGAACAGAAACCAAGGAAATTGACAGAGAAACTGTTCTTATTCTTCTTTAAAGATGTTAAATTGAATTAGTTAATACATTTTTTAGGATGTGATAATATAATCTTTCTGTTATCATTTAAAGATATCTGGGTTGAAAAAATTTCAGTTGCTCATAGAAGTTACCATTCATTGTCAAGAAATGGCCATGCAGTATCACTGTTAACAAAGTGGAGATCATAACATATATTCTCAAAAAACTCTTTATACCATTTGATTGGTGTTTCTTTCATAACAATATGGAATTGAGCGAACAATCAAATTAGAAGCCATGGGTAGAAAATGACACAAAGGTTGAAATAAACACACTTTTTTTAACCCAAAAACAAGCTTTTACAGCTATTAATCTTGAAAATCATTTAATAACAGTTTGAAATAATTAAAAAACAGTACAGTCATCGTCTCTTCTTTCTAAGAGCTTTCTTCAGTTTCCCCCTCTTTCTCTAGCTTAGGTTTCCTCGACATACCAATGCCACTATCAAGCTTTCTGCTTTTCAAAAGATAGAGCACTGTTGCCCTTTTCAAGATATTTTATCTTTCTCCGTCAGTCCATATCCCGTATGGGAATACTTTAACAATACTTTGGAAAATGACAGAACTGCCTTTGAATTCTGCGACTTTGATTTACTTTAGAAATCCCACCATTATCTGCTTTAGAAATCTTCGAAACATAAATTATGTTTAATGGCAATTTCTTTGTTTTGCGTGTGGGATGGTTTGCACACCTTGGATAATCAGGGCGTGTTTGGAGGCATGCCTGTGCGATTGAACGCCTCATATTACAAAGACTGATTATTATGTTGTATTGTGATAATATGATTTTATGTTTTCAGATGCTAAATAAATTCCTCTCCATTCCTTTTATTTCAAAACAATATCAACAGCCTTTTTTATATTTACATTTTGAAACAATAAAATTGAATTTTATCTCTTAGTCATTTGAGCAGCATTTGTATTTGTATTTGAATTTGTTGCTACCTAGCATCCGCAGGTAGTTTTTAGGACACTGAGAAGCTATGCCTATCGAGCAGTGTCCTGGTCCTTCCTCTCAATGAGACCACACCTCGTGATTTCTACGCCTGGAATTACTGAGAGCTGGCAACTCTCCCCACTCTGGGTGAAAGTTTGGCAACACAGCCTTGTCTATCAGCTTTTAATTGCTCATTGTGAGAAGCCTTGTTTGTCTCCTGTTTAAAGGGAAAACAGCCAAGTACATCAGTCTTTCTTTTAGTGAGTCTGCATTTCACACATTGTGCCAAGCTTGCAATCCTTCTAGTCATTTAAGCATGCAAATTTGAGCCAGGTCAAAATGATGCAGATGCACATTGCTTTTCTTTGAGCCCCAAGTGAGTTGCTGGAGCTAAATTAAACACTTATGCAGTTAGTAGACCTTTGTTTCAGTCAAACGTTAGTCCTTTTGCTTATGCAAGGGATTCAAGCTAATACTTAAAAAAACCTAATAATAAGGAAAGCCATGGAAATTACATAATTTTAACTGTAGAAAGCTTTTTGTTTTGATTTAAAGATTTCACTTGTGCAGGAATGGTAGTTTGATGCTATGAGCTGAGCCAGCTCCAAGTGGCTCTCTTTAAGATGAAAAATCCTTTACTTGAAACGTTTTCATTCTTGTAGTATTTTTGCCCTGTATTTTTAGTAGCATGTCATTTCAGTCATGCATATGTCTTAACTTTGGTAATTTATATGGTGTAACATTTTTTTTAAACTCATATATATCAACTTTCATGTAATCTTGATAAAGACAAAAATTAATTTTGTCTGGCTGCTACCACAAGCATGAAATGTTCCTCATTTATTTGCTTTACCATAAAGACAGTCCATTTTAGACGTAATTTAAAATGCTGTAATAGTGTTTTTGCAGCTTTTTGTTGTAGTTTTAAAATTTTAGAATTATTGTAGGCAAAAAGTTTTAAAATATTTGTTTATTGTGATAACGTAGCTATCACATGGCAGAATTTGGTAGGTTGAAAATAATCGTTATGGCAATATACTAAACGTTATGATAAGAATAAGCGCAGTTTTGAGATAATATGAAAATTAAGTAACCATGTTGACATTTCCTTGCTCCATGATTGTAAAGTACCATCTAATGCCATTTACACTCGCGACTAAATGTGTCTTTTTCAGATGGGTACCCAGAGCAAGCATTTCATATACAACTACATTTTATAAAGATAGAACAAAGTGTTTTCTGAAGAGCTGCATGGATGAAGACAAGAAAACCAAACGGTAGTTGTCAAGTAAACAAAATGAATTACTTGAGAAATTTTAGTGCATCAAAATGCATCAAAGTGGGGGACACCCCATTGGTTATCTATTTCCAATACCCTTTATCCCCACATAAACATCATTGTTGATGTGACAGATAATACTTAATCAGTTAACATTTTTTATGATTCTCTCTTGCTATGTTACCTCTAGATACATCTAAATATGCCGCAAACAACTACACTTTTTCGTGATTTTTGTTAAAAGTTTGTTTCGTTTACCCTCCAAATTATAAGAAAAATCAAATATTGAAATACAGCTACCCTGTTTGTCATGCCAAAAGGCTTGTTATTTTTATAGGCCTGTTTGTATTTCTTGGGTTCTTCCATCAACACACATTTAATTCCACAGATTAATTCCAACACTTTTTATCCCAAAAGCCCACTGCACAAACATTATTCAGCACTTTGAATTTCTGTTTAGTTTATTAAAAAACTTAATAGCAAATAGAAGAGGTTCTTTGATTGATTTCGAATTTTGCAACCCACAAGATCTTTTGAAAATTCCTCAGTCTTTAATAGTTTTTGTCTCCGCAGAGTGACCCCAAGAAAACCAGACCAACAGCTTTACGTACCAAGACACAGAAAAACACCAACTACTCGTGGCTCTTCACCAAAAGTTTCTACTAAGAAAAGCAAATCGCTGTCTTTTAACCAAGCACACAATGAGGTTAATGCACAATATGACGTAGCACAAAGTGAAAATAAAGTATGCTCGTTAACAAAGACTTGCGCTGCGAAGTGCCCTGCGAATAGAGTGGATCTTGAATGTCATATGGTGGCGAAAAATGACGCTATCCTTGAAAATATAGACGAAGGAAGGAATTCAACCGCTAAACTTGAAACCTGCGCTCCAGATGCTGTTACTGTTTCTGATTTTCCGGCTTCTACGTTTGGCGATGAGATTTCAGAGAAAGAAGAGCGCCAGAAAGACCCTTGTGTCATAAAAAATTCAAATCAGTTGTTTGAGGGCCAGTGTAATGTAGATGCTAATCACCACCCATCACCTTCATTCGGTTCCAAGGTGGAACCAAACAGCTCGAAGACATTTGCTGTTAATAGATCTGAGGATGAGGAAAATTTCACTTGTAAAGATCCAAACAATTTCGGGACCACTTCCTTGAATAATTTCGGGACCACTTCGTGTATTGACAATGAAGTACTGGAAAAAGATCAAGATAATGTCTCCTGTGAATTGTTGGAAGAAAATACTGCAGAAGATGTTGCTTGCTTGAAAGACGGCTTCTCTGAACAGCTGTGTCGTGATATTCTGCGAAATGTCTTGGAAAACCTCGGTCCACGTTTGAGTAAATATACTCAAGACGTTTCTGAAGATAGAAACCCTTTGCCACCATTAATACCAGATGACAAGTCCATTGCTTTAATCGATAGTGCTAGATCTGTACACAAAAATGATGTTTTTCCTAAAATTGACAATTGCAAATCTGAAAGCGATAGTGCCGTCCTAGTACACGATGGTAATGCAACTGTTCCTTCTGGATCAACAAAATCAACTGGAGCTTCTGGAAATGGTGATGATGGCGAATGTGTCCAGAAAGATGTTATTGATAAGCACAAGGATTCAAAGGTCTCTGGAGATAGTTTTCAAAAAAGTAAATCGGGTGCTCGTAAAATGAAGGTAGCCAGGAAACCGAATAAAGTCAAGCAGAAAAAGGTTGAGACAAAGACTGAGAGTCCTTCAAAAGTGGAGCGAGAAAAGCCAGAGACAGAGGATCAAGTGAAGAAGACCGATGACGACATGGCAGGCAGTGATGACGACTGGGAGTTGAAATGGAGTGAAGAAGGTGACTGTTTAAAGGAAGACGCACTGGACGAGGTAAGTTTTAGCGTTTCCTCAACTATCCTTTAACCGGATTTCTTTTTCTCCGATAAGGTATACGCTTTATACCCAGTAATTTATCTATTAGTCTATAGATTTACTCAAGGTTTTTGACTGAATAGACAGTCAATTCCTGTCATTTCTTTTAGCCGAAAATCATATGGATGACGATAAGAAATGGCGAGTCACCTTAGCCATCGAGTGCTTACATTTCTTATGCTGATTGTTTTAATGTTCTTTTGTTATTCATAGCTTAAAAAGCTAACTGGAATCAGCGACCCAATAGTCCTGGTGGCAGAAAAACCAGAGATAGATTACTACAGCTTTGAGCCTCAGACTGTACAGTTAGACGCAAACGGTAAATAGCCATCAATACTTTCATTTGATTTAAGCTAATGTCTTGTCTCTTTCAATTTCTACGTCTGTTTTCATCATACCCTTCTAAAATTTCTGTATGATTGTGCCTTCTACAGAGGAGTGTTTTCCCATTTCCAATACTCTTCTTTTATCAGTCGACGTTACAAACACAAAGTACATTTCGTTTTGTTCGTTTCGTTTTGTTTTGTGATAAGGTGCAATTGTTGCCAAGTACCTTACGCAACTAAGATTCCGTAGTCGACCATAGCCCTCTCCCCCTGTAAAGAAAGTTGCATTGCTACAAAGGAAAATATGGTGTTTGATTGAGTGATTTGCATGTGCAGTAAAGCAAGTAAGTTACTGGAACTGCAAAGTTCAAAGTAGCACGGAAAATTAAAGCTTCAATTCCAAATGTATGTCTTATCTTTATACGTTGATAACTACACGAATGTGTGGAAAGTTGCAATAAGAAATCTTTCTAATCGTCAATCTGAAACTTGCCTGAAGACCGTTCAGCGAGATATTAAAGTGTCATTTTTGGCACTTTTTTCTTTGCATGTGTACCCTGCCACTTTTTCCAGCAACGTACTAGGAGGTTCATCTTATTTTTATATATAGCTTCTGCCTTAAACAGTGTTTTTTAAAATATCGGACTTGCGGATCCCCCTTCCCCCCCCCCTTTACAGTGCATGTTGTTTAACGTTCAATCAAATCAGCTTTTGATTCTATCGTAGATGCCGAGAAGCCATTATATTGAACTTTAGTATTTAGATACTCAAATTTCATTTGCCTTGCGTAAAAATGTATAAAAGATTTTTGTATCAGATGAAATTTGCTTTGCAAACTAATAGATTTGTCTGTCCACACACGTGGCTTCGGGATTCTATAAAATAAACGCTTATTCCATAAAATATCAATTAAGGAACTCTAAAGTCCAGTAATAAGACGAAAATTGTTGCCGAGTGACAAAAAATACAAATGCATCGAAGATTGTATACTGATCCAGTGTCGAGTAATTATCAGTGCCCTTAGTTAAGTTAAAAAATTTGTCTTTAGTTTCTCCACCATCTCACTTTTTTAAATGTTTTTTTACAATGTCTGTTTTCTTCTTAGACTACAGCCATCTCGTGGAGATATATGATTTCTCACCCAGTTTGAAAACCGTAGATATTTCTTTGGCTCTTCAAACAGCTGGGTAAGTGGCTTGTTTCCCATGCCTCTAAAGAAGTCCATCTTCTGGTTGTGTTACGATTAAAAAAATTACATTTGGATAAATTTATTTGTACGCATCTTTGATATCGGATCCTTAAGCCCAAATTTTTCGTTTTAGGCTTAAAGATTTTGACATTAAATGGGTTGATGACACGCATGCTATTGGGATATTCTCCAGCACATTTCAAGGTAAGTGCTAAATAACGTCATTATAGATTCGTCAAATAACCTCAATTTGTGATGGAAATCTAAACAGACGTTGTAGTTGCCGGCCTATTGCGTTTCTACGTCGTGTCATGTTATCCGTTGGTATCTCCTTAAGTTGTATGGCTTTCAGTTGGCTTTCCTATGTTGTTTTTCTCTTGTTAATTTACGTCATGTAATGTAATGTTTTATTTTGTCATGCTTTGCTATGTTATGCTATGCTATGCTATCGTATGCTATGCTTTGCTATCCTATCTTATCCTATCTTATCCTATCGTATCCTAATCCTATCCCATCCAGTGGCGGACACTTGGGGGGGCGAGGGGGGGCGACTGCCCTCCAATACTTTAGAGAACAATGGGAAATGTGACGTCATCTTATTAAAACAATAGGCTTGCCCCCCCCCCAATATTTGACCAAGTGTCCGCCACTAATGCCATCCCTTCTTATCCTATCCTATCCTATCCCATCCCATCCCATCCCATCCCATCCTATCCTATCCTAATCCTATCCCATCCGATCCTATCCTATCCTAATCCTATCCCATCCTATCCTAATCCTATCCTATCCTATCCCATCCCGTCCGATCCTATCCCATCCCATCCGATCCTATCCTTTCCTACTCTATCCTATCCTATCCTATCCGACCCTATCCTATCCTATCATATCCTATCCTATCCTATCCTATCCTATCCTATCCTATCCTATCCTATCCTATCCTATCCTATCCTATCCTATCCTATCCTATCCTATCCTATCCTATCCTATCCTATCCTATCCTATCCTATCGAATACCCATGAAAGATGGAAGCTGAATTTATCGATCTATCATTGTTGCTTGAATAGCCAAAGGCATAATGGGATGTCATATTGGTTTTTATAATCGCCAATGCAATGGAATTAGTGACATTCCTTTGTATTTTCAACTGAAAACTTAAACGAAATTCATTTTTACAAAGACGTTGCGCCCTCGCTTGGGGGAGGAGCGTAGCCTTTCTGGTCGTCGAGCAACAAAAATATGTGTTGCAATCCATAAATTTTGATGACAAATTGGGCATATAACGATGTTCTAGTGCCTTGGGTTGCCATTCATTCACATGTAATGTGATTATTTTACTTAATATGCTTCGTGCGGTCTCTCGCATATTGATTTTATGTTATTTGGCGTTATCTTTTAAATATAAACGTCCGGGGTCTTTTGTTGTAGATGTATTTGTGACAGTCTCACGGTAAACGAGCCTGTAGTCACAGACCATCTGTTATGCAGGACAATTTAGTATCAATTTGCGGCTAACACTCTTTGAAACTTACAGTGGCGATTAAATTAATATATTCTTATCCGAGATGACCAATCGCTTCTCTTTCTATTCTGAAATAAAGCTTTGATGTTTGTAGCCAACTTTAAAACATGCTTAAGCGGTGTGGCAATCGATCAATATCCTTAGAGAGAGGATAAACCATTTTTGACCATTTTTCATTTTATTTTTTGCGGATATTGAAATCAAACAAGGGACTTTCAAATAATGCAACTATGGTATTAATAAACCTTGTAGTCAATTGCATACAAGATGAATTGACACAAAGATATGTCTTGGGTTTGTTGGTTATTCATGGGCTGTTATACTACCATCCTCGACAGTTGTGTTGAAACAAACGTCTAAGCGAACGGCGGGTAGCATATATACCGAGTACCTGGTCTTAACCACAGCACCTCAATCCCAACCCCATTCAAGATTGGGCGTATGCATTTTTATAGCGGAGATACCAATATCGAGATTAATTAACACATAGCAAATCAACACATATCAGTCTACATTACCGTAGAAAGAAAAATCATTCGGGGGCACCATTGGGACGGCCCTCAGTTCACTCAGCTGAAAATTGGGCATCTAGTTGAAGCATACTAGGGAGGTAAAAAGCGACGTGAAAAGGAACTGGCCCCCCTACCACAAAGTAACACACAATGCCGGGGCTCAGGCTGATGCGCCCCCAACAATGCATTCCCCAACGTTTGATATCGAATACCGGACTAATCTTTACCTTTTGCAAAGGAATTAAAAAATATTTATGATTTTTGGAGGGTTACAAGCCCCCAATAACAGCAACAACAACAACAACAACAACAACAAGAGTAGTTACGGTCCTGTAGCTTCAAACAAATTAAACTTATTGTTTTTGATCTTATACAACAGAAATATTGTTTATCGTTATAACAGATGCTTGAATCGCTTCTCTCAGCCACCACTTTTACATATTTGTACGCACATTTAAGTAAAAAGGAAGCCTTTATCAGCGAGTTTTTGTTTCTAGCCCAGCAAGCCATGCAAATGAATTTTATTCAGATGAAAGTCCGGCAAATCGTTGAAGGAACGAAAGCCACAAAGCTGAAAGCCAGATCCTTTAAAGGTAACTAAAAACTTTTCTCAACATAAGCTATCAAGTTTTATAATCCAAAAGCTATCATGTTTTTCTTAGTGCTCGGTACTTTCAAGCTTATCGAATTTTAATTGCTGGTGAGGCTATCTATGTCAGTTTCTTTGAAAAAGATTGTGGTGTTTAATTTATATTCAAAGTACTAGTCATTGATCGAAAGGGACTAATTAGCAAGCGTAACAGGGGATAGGGGTTATAGCGTCTGGATTTTAGACCCCGTTTACACTAGAACGGATCCAAATGGGTACGGATCCATTTAGATCCGTGCTAGTGTAAACGGGGTCTTACACTAGACCTAAACGAGCACGGATCCAAATGAGTACACCTTGGAAAGCGATCCCAAATGGGTCCATATAGCAGACCCAAATGGGTACGGATCCACAGGTCTAGTGTAAACGGGAGGCCTATCTGTGCTAGTTTTGGTACGGATCCATTTGGATCCGTGCTAGTGTAAACGGGGTCTTAAACTTTGTTGGTGATGGAACATGAATTTTGAGAGATAAGCTCATCTACCTGAGTTAGTCAGTTCACTGATTCCAAGTACCCTTAGATTGACGGCCTTTTTAACGTCATAACCCTTCCGTGTGCATAAGTAAAGCCTTACCTAAATACAAATCGCCTCAATTGAAGCTTTGATTAATTGCGCCCAAAGGGTACTCAGATATGTCAGAGCTACTCACCTCTTTGTCAGAACTGAAGTTTGGACTGGCATTCCCCTTTCCTTTCGAAGCTGCAGTTCTTGCCAAAGTTGTTAGAAGACTTGCGCTTAGCTAAAGCTGTTTAACCCCTTCAACACCCTCCCCCCATAACAATGTTGTTCAGTCTCGCTATTTTGATGCTGAAGGTAAAATATTTTCAGTGAAAGCTGGACGAAGGTATTGAAAAAATTAACACTGAAGGGGGGAGGGAGTTGGGTCTACATTTTGCGAAGCAACCGTGATATTTTGTTTAGGTTGTTTTGTGAAGCATTAGTAAAATTTTGGTAAAGAACTTGCTTCGTCTGTTTGCATGCCATCAAGGGAAACAATCAAACTGTTTTGGCAAGGATTATAATTCTATGATGTCTTAGGTTGTATGAGTAAATGAGCACTACGGTATCAAAACCAGTTCACAGAGTATAATAATTTCAATATCTTTTTCTTTTTACTAGATATGCTGCTTCCGTACAAACCAAGACCAGAAACGACCGCCACTGTTGCTAGAAATTTAGTAACGTCGGCCCTGGGTGTCAAAAGCAATACTTCGAAGGCACAACGAGAAAAGGAAAGACAAAAACTCAAGGAGGCCAAAGGTAAGCTATGCATTAATTCTAATTTGATTCTTGTCATTAAGGTAAAAATCTAATAGCGATCCTATGACTGATACTGACGAAGATATGTAGATGCCGAATTTACCCAGTAATGTTGTCAACTCCAAACTACAAATCGAGCAAATCTCAAAATTTCTCATTATATTTGAATATTGCGATTGTAAATGCGTTGATACTTTTGTACGGTGCTTTAGTGGAAGAACTAATGGAACCACGATGAAAGCTGCATGTAGCTGGAGTACTCGTACGAGGAGTCCTTCCAACCCTTGGTGGATTAACTAACCAAGCACTTAATACGGTGTTGTAAATCGACCATTGTCATCGTGCTTGACACTGTGCAACTTGATGCTTTGAAGGATGCTTAATGACAAACTGAGTGGCTAACAGTAAATCCTCACTTTGCCACCCCACCTTCCTTTAAGCCCTCATTGGTGGCCTATTTTAGTGACTGTTCTCAATAAGGCTCCACCCTCGAACAAGCCCCGATTCCAACATGCCATTTTTTATATACATGAATTTATTACATTGTCTTTAACCGAAGTAAGATGTTCAACTGAAAAAGAAAACTGATATAACCGAAGAAATTTTTGTTTTCAATACTGTCTTGCAACAATAATTTCTTGATTCTCACACTGAATGCGAAAAATTAAAAATGCTTTTTAAAAGAGCTGTAGTGACTTTCAGATAATGTTTATTAGCTTTCACCCTCATTTAAGCCTCCCCTAGAATCCCCGTCCAGAAACATCTCCAAGTTAAAAAGTGGTTTAATTCAATTCCGTTTATTCAAAGGTTGCCAGTATACAACCTGAAATAATTGTTAAGTACAACAAAGCACCCATTTGCCAGCTTAAGATATTGGCTGCCTCTTTGCTTAAATTAATAACATTTTCCCTTGTTTCAATGGTTTTAGGACTTAAATCTTTGACCCATATCTCATCACCTTCTTTATTGATAACTGAAAGTACCACTGAGTCTAAGTTAGTCTTCCATTCTATTATATCAGATATTTTGTTTTAGTGCGAGAAATATGCTTGGGCTCTTCTACCATCCCAGGGATAGCTGTTGAGACATGTCTTAAAAATATGCCAGATAAAATGCATGTACAGTTTAAGATCTAACCCTCACCCTGCCTATTCAAACTTTGTTTTCTGTATTTTGATATCTCTGGGGAGTGGGATAAAATGGTCTCAACACCGTCTGTCCTGTATTTAGGCTTTGAATTCAATGTTCCGTTGTTCTTTAAACTGGAATGTTCCAAGATAAAGCCCATGTCATTTTGTTAGTAACAAAACATAATATAATCTACATCCAATCTTGCAGGTACTAAGATGCTATAATCTCATCTACATCCAGTCTTCACCCGTATCTGTATCCTATTTATATCCAAGCATAAGGTTACACCGAATGTCAATAGAATTGAAATGTTTTAACCATTTGTTTATAAACAGATCGTAAAAAGATGGAACAGAAGCAAAGAGCTGATGCCTGGGGAGATTAGCTTTACCGAAAGATAAAAAAGGTTTGCTCAACAAAGTAGAACTGGTTCCGATGATTTCTTATATGGGTTTCTGTGGCTGTTTTAATGACCCCTTCAAACTTTGGTACATCGATGTAAGAAGAACTATGTTGGGAACTCTCTTCTATCTAGACATTCTGCAGTAGCTTGGCTAAACTTCTTAATGTTTGCCCTATACCAAATGCATATTAAAGGTTACCTTATCTTACTACTCTGCACTGTTACATAAGCATTCTTGCTTCTTAAAAACAGAGTTACGTATTTCTTACATTCAAATGGTCTAATCAAATGGTCTGCTCAAATGTTGGCTAATTAACTAAAAGCATGAATAAAACAGGTTGAGAAATTCAAAACCCAAGGAATTTCTACAAAGAAATTGGGTTACATTTCACGTTAATGTCCCGTCCTGTGGCTTGTGAAGTGACTCAGTTAAGCTGGTGGATCATCTTTCTGGCGAGGTGGTACCTTGGTGGAGTGGTTAGATTCATGCTTCCTGGGCGGAAGATCGTCGAGCAAAATCCAAGGTCTTTTCGCCAGTCAAGAAGACTGCCTTTTTGCCTTTGGGATATGTCAGTTCTTCCAATTGGGTTTTATTAAAATGATACACGTTAGTTACATATTGATTCAAATTAAAATTTCGAAATCTAATCAATATGATTTTATAGAATTATGTTATCTCTTTTAACTTGAAGAGGAAAGGTTCTAGTAACAACTAAATAACATGATTTAGACAACAAAATGTAAAGTTTAAGCAACTGTGTGAACATATTGGAAACCTACTGCAAAATTTTTTGAAAGTATTAGCTGTATAAAAAAACTTTGCTTTGTTGTATCATTGGGATTTTTGTACCTAAGTGTCCTAGCGTGTTTCTTAAAGATCGCGCTCTGAGTGATGCGGAGACTCTTGAAATTCACTCCCCAAAATATTTCTATCTTCTAGTCTCATATATTTCCTGATCTCTGACAGATTTTTAACCTTGCCAATGCTGGATATTGGCAACCTTTAACGCTAGTATCTTTCACAGTGAAGTGCAGAGGCTTTAGTTTCACGTTCCTTTCAAGTGGAAACATCTTTGCAACAGACCTTATAAGTTATTCTACAAAAGCATTCTGGAGGAATGGATTTTTCATCCAGGTTTTTTAGATTTTTTTATGCTTGAATTGACACCAAGTTTTCAATGAATCGTGGACTAAAAACTATGCGTCAGTTTCTTTGAAGATCTTAACATTGGTTGTAAAATAAGTACAAAACGTTTTCAGCTTCGCTTTCCATCGTTTTAATTTCAGGTTTAAGATATTCATGTCCTTAGTTGTCGTCCTAAGGTTTGCGATTGGGTTTTTTAATTTTTTTCCAGTATTTACCTTTTTCTCAGAGCCCAACACTATCTGATTAAGTATCTGCAAATATGCTTAAATTAATATCATCCGTTTGGATCAATGCCAAACCGTTATTGTATTGAAACAGTTATAAAATTTAGACAGTGAAAATGCGCACTCTGTGTAACAAGTGGATCACTTTTAATCCTTTATTTATTGTAAAGGCGTTGAATTATAAACGAAGATCATCAATCTTTACATTTTTTTATAAAGAATATTTCTATTTTATGAAATTTTTCTGTCATCTGTACTTTAGCTTGGTTGAAAGTTTTTCCATGATCCTCCATCTAGGTGAACAAACAATGATTATATTTCTCATTTTTTCTATAACAGCAAAATTTAAGCAGCATTGAAGTGCACCTATATAGACAGACGAGGGGCGAATCACACGTACATCTCTTAATGAAAATCTCTTACAACTTTGGTGAAATCTTTTTGCTTTGTCAAAAAATCCCTCTAGGTCGTTTTGTTATTATGGAAATATCGTACGCCATTTTTTTTGGATTGTGAATTGCCCCTTGAGCTTAGGTCGGCTTGATTGCATGTCGGTTTAGTTCGGATCAGTTCGATTTAGTTCGGATCAGTTCGGTTTAGTTCGATTCTGTAACTCGTCTATTCCATGCCAAATTATTGAGTCTTTGCGTTTGGCCATACTTGGAAACAAAATTGGGAAAATAGAGACGTGGTCTTTTCACCAAGAAATATTATAATTTCCCCATGGAATTTTTCATTTCTTTTTCTCATCCAACTATTGTTCGCATCTTTCTCCTTAGTTTGAAATGTTTTGCTCGTTTTGACTCAGCTTTTTGTTGTTTTTATACATACCTTTCATTTACTCTCCAATTCCTCTTGTTGCCAATTCCTCTTGCTGCCATTACTTCTTCCTGCCCAATAAAAAGGTACCTTGATATAAATTGCTCGAAGAGTATGCGTCTGGTCAAGTTTGTATAAGTGGCAACTTTGGAGATTCATGACATACCAGGCAATTTTCTCACAGCTCACCAGGTCAATCCCCTTTTCACAGGGTCCACATCACGAATTTTAAGGTGGAGGGACCAAGTTCTATAAGTCGAGCTTGAATTTAGTGCTTCGAAACAAGGCCTCTTTGGAAATAAAGTTGCTTAACAAAAAAGTGGGGGGCCATGGCTCCTCTGCCCCCCCCCCCGGTGGCATGGCACCTGTTGTGTCGTCATCTAAGACTACAAAGAAGACAGACACCTTCCAATGGCAGACACCTTCCGATAGCGGAGAATTACAAAAATTTGTCCTACTGCATCTTTCCAGCGTTTAAAGTTTTTGAGAAACAAACTGCCAGAATGCGGCTATTTACCTTAAACAGGTAACAAACTGCCAACAGGTAACAAGTTTTTGAGAAACAAACTGCCAGAATGCGGCAAATATGAAAACAAAGCCCCTGATAGTTACGGTTGGTTCGAAACCGAAGACATGAATTCAACGAAACCTCTCTTAAATGGATTCAAAATTAATCTGACCTGCAGACATCAACCTCAGACTTGTCAATAATGCACTATCATTCTGAAGATTCCTGGTTAATTTCTACGCCTGCTAGTCCAGCCTCTGACAAAAAACTGACTTTAATAGACGTCCAGGAATAAAATCCCTCAAAATAACATCAAGTTTCTGAACCGAATTGTCCCAAATTATTTTATAAATGACATTTGAAGCAGTGTATTGCCCTGCATAAAATTCTTGAGCTATTTCTGTAAATATGACAAATTTTCTTTGTAAATCTTCAAGCTTGGCGAAAAATTCAATTAGAACTAAATACTTGATCTAAATCAATGCTTAATAATATAAGTAAAATTTGACAACTATGTGGAAGTAAAGAGATAACAAATAAAATCAACATCATTGTCAATGCAAAAACCTTTCATGTATTTTCCCATTTAAAAATTTACTACGCAATCCAAAATTCTATGTTTCTTTACGTTTTACAAAACTGGAAGTACATTAGAGTAAACTTGAACTAGCTTACAATTCTACACTGTTTAACGGCAAAGTTGCATACTTCTTACACGCAATACGTCAGCACAAATGCTGTATAATTCACATAAAAACGTGAATAAAACAGGTTCAGATATACAAAACTTAAGGAATATTCTAGAATGAGTGCGGCAGTCTGCTACACAATATATTGAGCCATTTTAACCTGTAAGCCGTAATGGGTCCAAGACGACCAACGAAAACTTGCACGGTTGAAAAAAAGCACGTATTAAAATTGTATGAAGCAAATTCATAGGTAAAACTCGAGAACCTTTTTGAAAAGCATCGAAACTGGTGGATTTAGCGGCTAATAGAGAATATGCTTGGGTGAAAACTGATCCCCTATTGCATATTAAGTTTTCTTGATAGAGGTTTCATTCAATCCCGACCTTGGAAAGAATTAGGTGTACCGGAAAACCATTGCGGCTTACAGATTTTGATACAACACCATATTCACAATGTGCTCATTAAATTCTCCAAACGCTTTGTTTCCCTGGGAAACAAAATATCCTATGGGAGCCTTCGTTAATGCTTTTGTATTGTAGGCCTTTGACTATGATATAAAAATTCAACCACAATATGTTACCCTTGCTTTGCTAACACTCCCTGGGTTTGAGAAATAATTTTTTCTGTAACAGATGTTAAAAATAGTCAGTATACAGTCTTCAATACCAATAAACAAATGTATGCGTACTTAGAGAGCTCAAATTGAAAAAGAACTCAAGTAGGCACATACACTGCATATATGAGGTTAACGGGAATGGCCTTCAAATTCAATTGACTATAAGTTTTAACTCCCTATTCAAAATTTATCAACCTATTAGGTTACTCTTGAATGGCTTAAAACCGATGTTAATCATAAATAAGCGTTTGCATTGTCAAATCGTTAAAAACTTTAAGTTTTTCATTAATAATTAAGACAGCGTCCAAATTTAAAACAAATGACACTGGTTTCAACTGTAATATAATTGGTATAGCCAGAAGAAATGTACTAGGGCATCCTGGGGAAATACATTTCCACATTGTCATAGGGTTGCATATCTTAAGAATAAGCATCTGTTTAAATTTATTATAATGAAGCATTTAATGTAGAAGCCCATGTTCTTTGAAACAAGATTACTTCCTAGGCCTTTTATTAGGAATACTGGTTCATTGAAGGCCTACTCTTCAATACGTTAGTTTCCAGGTTTCTTGAAAGAAAAGAACATATTTCATCAACAATAGAACAAATCTCAAGAGTATAGTCACGTGTTTTGACTAACTGGAGGTCATAACACGTGTAAAATTATGAAATGAGCACAGTGGATGGAAAACTAATGTTAGTTGGCCTAAAATGCGAAAATCGTCATTAAAAAACCATACCAAGTGTTTAAAAGACATACAGTGATAAAGGTAATTGTTTCTAAAGCAGTTTCATATACTTGAAATATCGCATTTCTTTTGACAGAATCGATAAAAAGCTTTTTTGATATCGATTAACTCAAGAGGCTGAAAACATCAGGAAGATGACTGAGCCTAAAATTGTCATTGATATTTGAAGCCCTTGAAAATGTTCGACGAAAAAACGAAAAATTTGCATCTTAGGTTATTTTGTAACAGAAACTTGAAATTGTTTTAGCTAAAAGGATAAAATTTGTACTGTGTTTCATTTCCCATATATATATTATAGGATATTGTTCAATGTTGATGAAATATACAGTTTTTAAAAAAGAATTTGCAGTAGCTTCTCATACGGAATTACAAAACAATAATTAGAATTGAAATGTATTAATAACTAAGCGACTTTATCTGATAACAGATATTTTTCATGACTTTTGCGCATGCTAGGATAATACACTGTGAAAAGTTAAACTTCAAAGCTTCGAATACGATTAGTCAAGACTAAAAATCTCAAGAGATCTATGTCAGCATTATTCTATCGTTCTCTATGAAGCAACCAAACCGTTTTATCGAGTGTCTCTCTTGTGTCCGGACCAGTTCTATAATGGCAAAACGGTATCTTAGCCTACCCCACCCCCAACGCTTCTGATGGGCCTGCTGGTAGCCGATGACTCAAATAACCATGTGAACAATTCGTGTGGTTTGAAGCAGTTAGATTTGTCATTTTTGTTCAGCAGATTCTTTTGCAACTTCCACATTGAAATCGAATTCAATATTTCATCTTGTAAGCTTGTTGTATTTTGCATAATCCAAGGATTAATTAATATCGCATTTTGCTGCATTTTTTTAAAAAAAATATAGAACAAAGGACAAAAAAACAAATAACTAGTGTAATTCATTTCCCTCTTTAGGCTTTTCTCGAGAAAACATGATGCAGTTTCTATAAGAATTAACTCATGTTCCTTTGTTTACATGAAGATGCAAAGCAGTTTTAAATTCTTGAGCATGGCTATAAAAGCATGGAGATTTATTTACAAATTTCATATTGCCAGATTTCTCTAAATAAGTGTCTTATACTCGACATAATTATAATCCACGCTAGTCGCGTTAACGCCAAGAAAATAAGCACTGGGTTTTCCCTGAAGAGGTTTACAGCGAAATTCAACCTAACCTAAAAGCTATACGGTCACACTAATAGCCGAACGCAGTAATGAGTGAAAAAATTTGAAAATCCCCGTGAAACGAGCTAGATATTTGAACCGTTTATTCATTGCAGGAAATCTGTGTCGATTAGCTCTTTTTCCTTATTTTTGGAGCACTGCTACTTACAATTGACGTTCCAGTTTGAGCTATTTCCTTGTCATAAATTGTCAGTAGTTCTGTCAAATACGATTGAAATGCATTTAAAGAAGCGTTGATTGCTGGTGAACCAAAGCCATGGGTCAGCAACCCAAATCTATTCAGTCCTCGCAGCACAGATTCTGGAAGGTCTGATGTCGCTTCGGAGGAGTATGTCGGGTAGGGATCTCTGACTAGCATGTCTTGGAGTTCTTTTGTCAGATGTCTGGAAAAAATAAACGTTACGATTACTGGAAATCAAGCCTTTAAATTGCCAAAAATCCACTTATGGGTGGTAATTGTCTTCAGGGAGGTACACAACAAATACAAGAAACCTCAGCTTACTCGAATAAAGGTTTTCAACAAACAATTGTGAATGAAATCACCATTTAAAATTGCATTTTGCAATTCTACCTTGGAACCTGTTTTTCAATATCATATGTTATCTCCATAGTTGCATTGCAGGCACAAATACATTTCATTTGCATTTCAATTTGAGATTCATTGGGTTTCTGAAGTTTTACTGGCTGGATTGAATTTCTTAAGGCGGGGTATTGAAGCACAGGGGCTTACGTGGGATTTACAGGAATATTTTTGTAGACATGAATCCTACTGCAAAACCTCAGATTGTGCATAGTAGCCACTCGCCAGATAGCATTTCGTGCCAAATAATTCCTCGCCAGTTATTTTGGAAAACACCAAACCAAACAAAGCATCTAATTGCTCTCAAATCGTACCACCTTATAGCAAACAATGGCAGTTATACTGATCCAAATGCAATTCAATGCTAATGAAAAATAGAAACCTGATCTTTCTCCAAAGCTCTGCGAATCATCAAGCTCAAATATACTGTTTGACGTGTTATTGGCAATATCCCAAAGTAAATTTCAAACCAGTGTTGATTAATCGTCAACTTCTCATTTACTAAGGGCTCATGAATTGATTTCGGAGCATGAATTGATGTTCGAGAGCAAATTTTCTTAGAACTTATCACCGAGCAATGAACTTTCTAACTCTATATTACAATCCAATACATATGTTTTCTTTAACTCTACCCTACCACTGAAAAAGGTGAATTTGTGTCTCACCGTACCGTACATCAAAATTTGTAGCCTAATGCTTAACAAAACTAGCTGAAAAAATACTGAGAGATGATTAGACTAACGTCATCCTCTTTTAGATGTCTAGTAGACAATTGCAATAATATCTCCCAACGCCCGCAGACAGAGATTTTAACTTCGACTATCTGTTATGCAAATTTTTCAAACATTTTCGAAACGCACGTCAATTAAATCTTAAAGGGCTTTAATTTAATGTAATTTAAACAAAAGAACATAGTGTTTCCTGGAAAGTATGATTGAACATGATGTGAAAGTATGATCTAAACAAAGAAGAGGAATGGTTTATAAATTGTTGTGTCAGCAAAAAATCATTCATTAAGTGTGCAATATATAATGACTGTTAGGCTTTTATCTCAGTCCGAACAACTGATTTAAGACAAGAAGGCCATGAAAAGGGCAAGGAAACTTACTTGGCTGCAATCACTGCGTTCTTTCTATTCTGAAGGTCTGTTGATTCTATGCTTTGTTTTGCAACGTGCTCAGCTAACTGTGCACCTGGGAATTCTGCTTCGCAAAGATAATCAAAATGAGCTGCCATTTGCTCAGCTTCTCCTTTAAAGATAAAATATAACATCATGCATTACGATACAGACGAGAAAACTAGACAAACAACTTTGGGAAACATTAATGGGAAGCTAAGAAGGTTTTTCTTTTAGTTACACTGATCTAAGTTATGCCAATGAAAAACTAGAACTCCTGGATAGTGATAAGTGACAAATAAAATGGAGAAAGTCGGTTATCAGTTGTTGTAAGAATTGTTAAGTTTTAAGAGAACTATAAATGAATTCAGCATGTTGAGATGTTTGAGTATTTGGGCAATATGATTATATCAGGTGACAGATGGGAAACTTGAATAAAAAATAAGTTATGGAGAAATAAAGTAACATTTATAAGACAAAGACAGGTAAAAGAAGCACCTTTTACCGTGAAGCGTCAGGGGAAAGAGCAATAGGAAGGCATGACCTGAATTAGGTATTGAAATTTAAGATTGGCAAAGATCTGGAGAAGGAAGCAGGAGACAGCAAGATATGTGGAGAAGAGAGTATGAAAGACCATATGAAAGTGAAATCGTGAGGACTAACGTATAGCAATTGCTGCCTCCCTTCAAGGAGAAGGTGAGAATTTAGATACTCTTTAGCACAACCTTGCTGTTGAAAATCGAATATCTCTATAATCAAGTTTAATGGAGGAAGTGAAGTGAAAACCAAAGTGTCTGTTTATTGAATAAGGAAATCTAAGGAGATTAATAGAAGTTATCTGTGACTGATCATAATCAGCCCACTAAAAAGAGGTTGACAATAAAACATCTACATCTACATTACAACTGGTTAACCTTAACAATAATATGAGTGAGACTTCTTTACGAAAGTTGGCAAGTAGTTGCTATACTAAAGAATTGCATTGCAAAATATAATCACTGCAATCATCGGATGACTGTAGACTCGATAAACCAAGCTTCAACAAAATGCCTTGCTATCACTTTTCTTAAAGACGTTATGTCCTGTCAATCAGCTGTTAACAATAGCCTTCGCAGTGCGTTTATGATAAAAAACACTGAGAAAAGCCGAGTGAATACGTAACAATATTGTATAGTACAATCAATGGGAAATTTAAATGGCCAGTGAAATGCGTCGGGACAAAGAGCCTTTAAGAGGCCCAGGTTCTATTTGACAATGAATAAAATAACAAAGATAGCATGAAATACCTAGCATACGTAAATGGCGTTCTATTATATATTTCACGAGTTAATCATAGGCATAGCTAACAAAAAACTTCGATTTTATCTTAAAAATGGAGGATTTAAACAATTAAAAGACTAAAATATTTGCTCGCCACAACTTCATGGATGATCTACCTAAGTGATAACTAAAAATTCACTTCAATGGCAGAGAAAAGTTGTCCAACGATGCAGTAGTTTTGGGGAAGGCCTTGACAAGATTATATAATTTGGGAGGACTTTGCTGCTGTGCTTGATATTTTTATTTTCCAAACCTCGTGATTTCATTAAATTCCATTTCTAGGAAACTTTCATATACAAGATACAAGCTAAAGGCCAATAGGGCAAAACTTAATCAAGGGCGTTTTCTGAACTCTGTCGCACGGTGCAGATACACAATAGATGGGTTAGTGGCCAGTATATGGTTTGAAGTACATACCTTCTACTAACGAAGTCATCAAAGTAACATTAGCTGCTTTTCTGCGACCAGCTGGTAACGACAGACCCATCCTCTGCAACTTCTCTCGTAATTTACGACCACCATCCTTTGACTTGGCCCTAGCAACAAACATTTTCTGAGTCATTACAAAAGATCGTACACTGGAATTTCTCGTGACGCATTTAATATGAGTCACAGTTCTTCTCACTATGAGTAGGATGGCAGAATGTTGTTTTGAAATGGTTTTTACTAATATTGCAAAAGCCTGTCGCTCAAGCAAGCCATCTCTGTTATGAGTCAATCTTATGGTCTTCAATCATATAGGTCAAATATCTAACAACCTAAACGATTAAAGGATTCAATTTCAACTATTCTACCACCGATGGGCGTACACAAAATATTTTGTCGGTGATTTTGCTCGCAAGAGACAAACAAAAGTGTTTTCTGGTTCTTATGGCAATACAAACCTATATATATAAATAACACACGTCAGCTGTAGCAATGTTACAGTCCAAAGTAGCAGGGTGCCTGTTGCAGGGCCCACGCCGGGAGGCCGTTCTCCGCCGGGAGGCCGTTCTCCGCCGGGAAGCCGTTCTCCGCCGGGAAGCCGTTCTCCGCCGGGAAGCCATTCTCCGCCGGGAGGCCGGGGTGGTCATGGCCCTCCACTTTTTTGCGCAGAAAGTAGTTTTAAAGCTGCAGTAGAAGGGGAAAGAAGCCTTGGCCTCCCACTTTTAAATTCGTTGCGTGGACCCTGTGTTGTTTGGAGCTTAAACATGTAAAAGATTTTCGAAGACAAAATTCTTTGTTCAATATTTCAAAATGTCTGCTGGTAATTTTGGAGGTGGTTTGAATGTATCGCCCCCGCCCCCTTTTTAAATAAAAAACAATTCATTTTTTTCATTCGAATAAGCGTAACAAAAATCATACACTTTAAACATTACAATAGAAATTGCATTATAGAGTTATAACGACTTCATCTTTGATCGTAACAGCGAATTTCACTAAACTGACCCGACCTCTGTTCCACAGAACTGAACCGAACTCGGAGTAAGGTTAGGAACAATGATTTAATTTTGCGTCATTAACCAAGAGAAGAGTTTAAACATATGATTGAGCTAATCAAATGATTGGATTTTCTCTAGCAAACGAAACCGATATGGTATTATTGTGGAAGGTCTTAGCTGTCACCGTCGTAATGAAGGCCAAGAAGAAGGGATAACCTTTGTGACATGAACCATTAAAACTTGAGGTAAAACGTTGCCAGTGGCTGTCGCGAGGTCTTGGTATTTTCAGATTATTTACAACTGACATTGAAATCTGAAAACGTAAAATTCAAAGATACTTTATAAAGATCTTTACCTTTGAAATATCGACGGATCAGGTATCTACTAACTTTATCATGTTTATGCCCCAGTTTGCTAAAATATGACGTGTTTCTTTGCTATTATATAGAGAGTGCTTGTACATCACCACTGCTGGTTAAATATGACGTAATGTATACAGTTTTAGCATTTTCAAATAGGACTAGAGTGCTAAGTAACATTCTCTGTAGCATAACTAACTAACAATCACACACCTTCTAAGTACTCCACCAAGTAACGATGCATTGAGACATTCCGGATGGTTGATTCTTCGCCGAATTTCTCCTACTGTTACCCTATACTTTGTATTTGAACTAAGCAATGACAGCCGGCCAGGAACAGAACAGAAAACCTCATTATCGCTGGCAGGGAAGGAAAAGGAGGCAGGGGTTTCCATGAATGCTGAGTCATCATCCGGCTCTCTTTTGATTTCTGTTGAGGAACGTAGTAAAGATGCAGTTTATTTATGTTGCAATGCCTTCTGTAATTATAAATGATGCAGTTTAATATATTGACGAACGAGCAGTGTAACTAAATCTAGGGGTTACATCCTGTATAATTAAGCAAACTCTATATACTTCAAATGGTTCTGGTAAAAAACAACAGTAACACTACAATCAACCTTATTGCTGAAAACATTACACCAAATTTTGATCAAACAATGCTAGGCTCTATGTCGCTTGAAGAAGGATTTAAAAACTCGGGTTGATGGGAACAGATTAATTGATAGCGAGACTGTAGATGATTTACAGAAATAGATTGGCGGGAAGTTTGATTTGAATAAAAATTGGAGTTTGGAGTTGAAGACAAAAACGTCTCATCTTTGAGAAGCTGAACCCGCCAGGCTTCACATCTTCTAGACACCTGTAAATTAGTGCCTGTTAGTGCTTCAGTACTCTTGATCTATTAGCATGCTAAGTACTTCGGTATAAGAAAATATCCGATAATATTTAGCATGCAGGGACTTGGCTGGTTAACTCTATCGTTTGAGTAGGAGTATTCGAAGTTACGTAAAGATGTAATGCCTTTACAGCAATAGATGTGAACATTTATGTGTAGTCTATGGAGGATTTTGAGCACTTACTTACCATGAAAACTGTAAGGATCATCAGACCTCAGGCTAAGTAACGTGTCATTTGACGTTATCTGTAAGAAAATGAATCAGGGTCAGACGAGAAGTGATATAAACTCGTAGCTGCTATGGGAAATTAAACGCTACAGATTCTACAATTTTGGTCCTTTTTGGCCATGAAGGATTAACGATGCCTTTTTATCCACATATGGAGACTAAGACAGTTTGTCACACCCTAAAATAACTTTGTGGAAACAGTTTAGTCCATATGGCACATCAATAGGGGTTGGTCAATTCGTAATTCTGTTTGTATCAAGCAAGCCACCTTGATACTACACAGTTTGAACTTTGAGAGCAATTGTCTAAGAAAAATGTTCCCAAAAAAGGTTGCTGCTGAAAATTTACACATGCTCTTTCACTTTCATAGGTCATGAAAACTCTGTTGATATGCTGTTAAAAATGTGAAGATTTGATCAAAACAATGCTCACTTTTCTGAAATTTATCTCGTTATTAACGCTTAAAAAATAAGAAATTATTTCAACAAGCTTAAAAAATACGCTATTGCTATCAAGTGATAAATCAACATTTTTTTTAATTCGAACACCATTAATTTTTCAAACTTTTAAATTCTAAATCGACTATGAGCCAGAAGTTGCCTTTAAGGATTTAAAGAATAGGTGCAGATGATCTCTGAGCGATAAAATTGATCGCTGTTGTTCAAAAATGACGTTTCGTTTTTCGTTTAATTTCGTTTCGTTTAATTTCATATATTTCTATATGCAGTCAATATATCTATCAGGAGGAAACAAGGCAAAGAACATAGTTGTTTCAGTCGTTTCAGGAGACACTGTAATGAGGTAAGTTCATTTATAACATAATTCAGTAGCTGTAGGCGCAGTAGTAACATGTATCACTCACATTGACGCCATGCACTTATGGCTAAAACACTTAAGCAATTGTTCAATAGCTTTTTAGGCTTAAACAAAAACCAACAGTCTTTTTGGTTTTCTCTTTTTTACCATGGAAAAAGAACCTGAAAGCAAATCCAAACGACACATTTCGAAAGATAAAATAAAAATCAATTTTTTTCGTATAGGTAAATTTGTGCGTCCTCTATGGCGCCTTTGTACTGGCAATGTTTTCCCTCTTCAAAGTGCGCGGATGGAGGTCCACAAACCACAAACATTTAGCTTAAATCCTCAAAGGATTGCTGGAAAACAGAATCTTGACAGGGCTAACTTTACCGATGGGCTCACGAAGTGGGTAGTTCATACACATGGACGTTCCAATTATCCCATTTCTTCAAAAACATGGAGGTCTGGTCTGTCTAGCATAGCTGAGGGGTTCATTAAAAATACTTTTGTATTACACATACACATTGCATAGACCTCAGGGAAAAATGTAACACACACTATTCCTTTGAAACAAATTCACTAAATATTTGAATTTCTAGCTTTTATCAAAAAATGTTTGATGAAACTATGGTTCAATTAAGACATGCTACTGTAGATGTGAAAAATGGGCTGGGATTATTAGAATAAATATATCACGAAAGAACAATAAGGCACTAAAGGGGAATAAGTCAGACAGGTTAAGAGGGCAGTCTAGAGTGTTCTTTTTAAAATGCCTTATCGATGGGCAGTGGTTGTATTAATTCTTGGGTTAACCATATCCAGAAGCTTTTATGTGGAAGTCTCCAGACTGACGAAATTCCTGCATTATACAATGCAAATAACAAGGCTTAATGTATAAACGTCACGGCTACAATTCTCTGCACAATTAATTGTGATGTGAATGCACAGTGGAATACAAATTTGCCATTAAGGTTTGCCGTAGTGGTTTTTTATGGCAATTAAACTTGGTATGGTCTGTCTGAATAGTAATTTGTTCATTCAGCTTGGGTTGTGAAAGTAAGCGTTATAGATACACATGTTGTTTCAGACAAAAATCTTTTGCAATGCCTCTGCAGCTCGCATATATAACTCGCATATATATTGCAAAACAATAAGATTTATTCTTGGCCAAAAAGCCAATAAGCCACCTAGCAGAAAGATAGCAAAAAATACTACGGATTTTCAACCTCAATTAACAAGACAGGAATTGCTACAGTTCGTGGCAAAGCATTGTCACAAGGCAGAGAGCTGGATGCTTGAATAACAAATATTAATAAATATCAAATATAATTTTCATTGCTTAAAACTTTTCAATGCCACATCAGATGTCAGAGAATAAACCCTCAAAAAATAATCTACCAAGTCTTTTTGCTTTTACACTTAAGATGTCGAGGATACACTAATATACTTTTAATCATCGCATGAAAGAGGCCTATTACCTTCAAAATATTCAAACTTTGTTTGATGTTGACTATGAAAACAGCTAATGCAAACTTACTGCAATTCAGTCTCAAATTCAAAGAAAGACTGGTACAGAAAAATTCCTATTATTGTCAGTAAGGCCAAAGGTAAGCTTCAAAGATCTGCCTGGGGTGCTGCAAGCCGGCTGTTTGAGTCCTCTGGTGTCTATGTTCTCTTTTCATACTGTTTCATACTGTTATATATATATAGTAATATTTAATATACATACACATACATACATACATGTATATATTGGCAGCTTGGTTGATATTTGTACTGCTCTAAAGGTCTTTGAAAGTGTTAATTCTTGCTTTTGTCACCGGTTTAGGCCACAGGTCACCAAACGTTAAAGGATCTCTTTTAGAGAACTTGCCAATTGAGCAGTAGGAAAGGAGCAGACATAATAGAGCTGCCATTTAACTTATAACACAGTTGTTACGTACTGTTCATGATGACGGATTCTATCTCAAATGAATAGAGTTAAAGATAGCAGTGGAGACCATTTATTCTTGAAATTCGAGAACTTTTTTTCTAAACTAGATAGGAATTGATAAAATGACGAAAGAAAGTTGCGAGAAGTTGCTAAGAGATGCATGTTGTTTTTTGCTACATCCAGAGTTACTAGTTGCTGTAACGTCAAATTTATGCTGCCCACACTGTTTGTGCATCAGCAATAAGTCTGCAAAAGCAAGTAAACATATCTAGCCCTTATGTTCTATGCCCTTCAGTTAAGGGTTTTCAATAAATTGGTTATAAGTGTAATTAACTTATGCATAATAATGAGATTTCAATTCGTAACCGAACATCTAATAAAAGTGCCAATCGCATATCTTCTCAGCAGCAGATCCAACGCTATTAACGCGAGCACGCAACTCCTGGATCAAACGATAGGCGATAGCTAGCGGTTTTGTCTAGCTAGAATTCTTCAGCAATAAATCTTGCGTGACATATCCACAGTTAACTATAGTGGGCTTTGTTTGGCTTATCGTCGAGTCGAGGCTCAATGCTGGTACATAATGAGGCCTTTGTGCAGTGCATACAGTATCTAGTTATTCAATGTTTCCTGTTCTATGTATTTTACTCCGTTTGATGGTAAATTCGCTAAATATTCAAAAGCCAAGATTTAATCCAGCATCATCCGAGAAGTTCTTACAATATTTATCGGACTTAAAAGGATTGTTATTATTATTACTGCGGGGCAGCTTGATGTCATCTATAAATAGCACAATGATGCCTAGCCAGCTAGGTATATTTCCAGACAGGCAGCCAAGCTAATCTTTGCGGTAAACAATTGAGTTTATGGCATTTTGCAAGCTTATTCATCAGACTGGATACCAGGTTTAACGCTGTTCTATGTTTATGCATGTTGCTTGGTATTTGAAACTCATAAGCGGGTTAGGAACCCAAACTCTTTTCGCGATAAGAGATGACATCGTAAAGGCCGATTTCCATTTGACACTTTGTGCGCGCGGGCGTAGCGCCCAAATCTGAGCATGCGTAGCTTAGTGCTGCTGTCAAGTGGCCGAGCGCACAAAAAAGTTGAGACCCTGTCAACTTTCTGGCGCTCACAGCGGACGCAAAATCGAGACCACTTGATTTTAATTACGCATGCTCAGAATTGGGCGCTACGCCCGCGCGCACAAAAAATGGCAAATGGAAATCGGCCGTAACTCCCAAAATGAATTTATTACTCTCGAGATCTAATCAAAGAAAGGCCTTGCCTCAGCTTTCATAGAAGGGGATGCATTTGATGAATCCAAGGGCTTGATAATTAAGTTATTGGCTTATATAGTCCAATGAACGGAAGGAATGACCTGACAGCTCGTAATAACGTTTTTATAGAAAGGACTCTTAAACAGTTTTACGCCGTTTGTACCACTAGGCTGTTTCATTTGGATTCCTTCAGAATAAAGAAGAGAGAGATCAACCGGTGACAATTAACCTTCGTGCAGCCGCTTCCTGGGTGAACACACACGTCTCACAAGGAGAGTTTGCTCTTCTTGCAAAACCACATTAAGTCTCCTAAAAACCACTAGGAAAGTTTTACCACAAAGCCAGAGAAAAATAAAACCGATATCTTTGTACCGGACACATGTTAAGATTTAATATCAAATTTATCGAAAGGCATTTTCCCCTATCAAATCATTGGTAACACCTCTTAAAATTTAACCGTTTATAAACTGCACATTATAAAACTTTGCAGAATGCTATAAGTTTATAGACTCGTAAGGTAAGTTGCCTAATGATGACATTGAGCTTAAAACCTGGAGTGCCAACTAGGAACCCTACTGTTCTCAAGACCAAATCATGTTTAGCTCTGCCTATACGACATAATATACTCTATGACAGACCAGTATAAAACCGTTGTAAATTAAATGAACACTTAAAATAAAATAGAATTTCGATTTGACAAAAATAGAATGAAATACAAGAGTTCGAAAACTTAGTTTTTGAGCAACTTTCATACCAATCTCATAAATTGGCACCGAAGACACGTTATGAGCCAATTCTTTCGTGGCTCATGTTGTAAGTCAGTGTAAGTCCCGCCCGTCAACCAGTCACATTTGCGGGAAAATATCGTTTTAAAAAGGATATTTTGCATAGGGGAGGTTGAAACCTTTGGCTATGTTTAAAAAGGCATGTTGAGTTAATTTCCCTACCTTAGTTATATAACCTCCCGCGTCAGTTCGACTTAATAAAGTTAACAGTTAAGCGTTTACACTCTTTTTTTATAAGAATACATTTTATAAGAACAATGAGGCTCGATTTGCCTAAAAAATATAAAAAAGGCTAGAACATGCTCAGCTTCAGATGAGGAATTTAAAAAAAACAATTCGCATTTTGAAATTCGCAAGCACTCAACTACTGTACCGACATTCTCTTGACAAAAAAAACTTTGATGAGTTTGTCTATAAACACTAGCAGTCATTGCTTTATTTTAAAACTTCACCCAGTAAAACGTCTTAGAAACTGAATACAGCATATAACTTCTCAAATATTTGCAAAAAAACAATCTTAAAAATAGGAAAATTTTAAGAACATTTGAGCCTAGAATTATCAAAAAGTTAAGAGCGTCGAGGGTCGGCAAAAATTATCTGGTTCTTATAAAAAATGAGTGTAAGGCAAAATGTCACGGTGCCACTTGGACCGGTTTTCTATCTGTTAACTTTGCGTGAATTACGTGATACATTAGCAAAATCTTTTGGCACGGTTGATCTTTTTCTTTAAGTTAACTTGAATTGTGTGACATCAAATCTTGATAACCCTCCTTAACCTTAGTCAAGTGGACGATACACAATAATACACCGTTAGAAAACGCAGAGCCGTGGAAACAATTCATTTAAAATTTTAAATTTTGCATACGCGTGTTGAAATTTTAATCTCTAAAAGTGGAAAAGCATTATTCTAACCCACTACTGGCTACACGTTTCATTTCATAAGGACCAATAAATTTAAGTTCAGGCTGATCGTTCTCAATTTTTACAAAAATCTGAGGCTGGATTGTTCTCGATTTTATAGGGTATAAGCAGTGCAATTGCTGTTCAAGCCTCATTTGCCAACAAAGTGCGCGAGACAACTTTCATTTGCCGCCATGTTTGAATATTTACCGAAGAAGCACCCACACATGGCTAATAATCCTCGTTTTAAAGATAAAACGTTGTTCAAAATTGCATTTTACAGTGGCTCAGCCTCAGCTTGTTCTCAATTTGTTCTAAACTTTTAACAAATTTGGAGTGTAGTTAAATTTTTTCTTATAAAAAAGAGTGTAGTTTCCTATTCAGAGGACAGGCGCATAGCAACACCCAGGTCGAACGAATAAACGCCAGACAGGTCTTCGCTAGTTTGGTACATACGCATTTTTAATAAGAAACAAATTTCATTTTGTGCTGATATTGGTGCTTAAAGTTTAATAAAAGGCTCTCAAATATCAAGTTTTAAAGAGCTTAATTTTACAAACATAAAAAGTATTACCACGGGGAAGAAATCTAGAGAGTCTCACGGATTCTATTTTCCAATTGTCAATTTAACAGGAAATAAGTCCCTCATTAACAAAGAATCAAGTCTAACTCAACTTTAAAATATTCGATTATGTAAGATTGAACGTGACCAGTAATAAAATTTTCTTAAGCTTTTTGGCCATCTTAAGGGGTTTGTTATAGACAGTTTGTTATAAAAAATGAGTATAGTCCCGCACCGTTAACTTTGCCTTTTAGCAAACTTCGTTAACACTGCAGTCACGATTCACAAGTATTTGCTAGCCGATCTGTAAAGTTTTCTCTCTCATCAAAATCGCTATATTTGATAGTCTGTTCATTCCCATTCTTTTGGAAATACCAGTGGTAGCTTAAGGTCGTGAATGTCTCTTTCTTCAAAGGAACCTCTTAGATATCGTTTTTATAAATATTTTGTAAACATGAGTTCCGAAAATGACGGTGCTATTAACTCAGCAAGAGAAATTTCCGTAAATTCTAAAATAACTTTTTCAACTTTTATGTCAATTTTCATAGCAGCTACATTTTGTTGTTAAATTTCCCTCGAAGATTATCTCTCGCGGACAAAATCTCAGGTAAAAAGATGGAAGTGGTATTTAGTATTAGTGAATAATGGGACGATTGATCGGTCTCGTGTTATCATGATTTGTACTTGATGTTAAGCATAATAGTGAGGTCGTCGCCTGCCTAGAAACAAACGTTTATTATAAGGGATATGGGAAATAATTTTGAACCAGACATAATCTTGCGGTGAAAGGGTCCGTGATCCGTAAAATGTCAAGTAAGGAGAAGTAGGGTTTTTAAGCATGATATCAAAATTTGCGCACTTTCACGAGCCTCAGGTTTTTGAATCATTTTTCCTTTCCGCTTTTGATAAGAAAATGCTTTATTCTCTTGCATTCATCTACCTTGATTAATACTTTGAATCAGAAAATAAATAACTATTTTGCAAGAAAAAAACATTTCCTATTTTGATAAGACGCAAAGTGTGCGCACCATAAGCAATTGTATTAGGGTATGCAATTACATCTCTTCTCCATGAATCAGCTGATACTTGTAAAAAGGCCGATTCATTCTTAAAACTTATCGATCAAAATAGTTTAAAAAGCTACGGAAGGACATTGCAACTTTAAAAAAAGATTTCCGGTGATTTAGGAAAATGTGGTAAAATGTGATGTAGTTTTTCTCCACGGACAAATTCATGCTTCAGATCAAAGCTTCAGAATGGTCGTCCAGTTACCCTAAATCATTCAGACGTTCTCTGCACCCAGGGTCCGACTGGCAGCAGGCCCAACAGCTATACGTAATTCAACTACTCAAATTTGAAGCCAACTGCAAACATTTACAGCTCTCGAGGAGTCCCAAAAATTGATCCCTAGATGTCCCGTTACTTGAGACACATCTCTTCGGTCAAGAGGTTACGAAACAAACCTTAGCTGATGTGCTATTTTGCAAAATAAATGTATAACAGACGAATTATGAGTGGTTAGCAACTATTGAAGATTATGCGGCGGTAGCTCATTTCGACCGCGATCTATTCACTTTCCATTAGACACAGGACTGAATAAACCATTTACTTCTAATATGCTGACTGTAGGCAAAGTGTCAAATTATTTTTTGTCGAAAAACGTAAGCTGCATTATCAAACCTTTCATGTGTCCATAAATCAAAGCTTTCACATGGCCTTAGCTTAAAAGAAATTGGTTGGATTACTGCATGTTTGAGTTGCGGCCGTTTTTACGAAATCTGGATAGTTTTGATGGCAACATGAGACCTTTTAAATGATTTTATGAGCAAAAATTGGGTGAAAACATTTAGGTGAAAACAAGGGACTTCCCAGGACTAGATTACTTTTTGGAGCTTTCAGTTTCAACTTGGTGACAATCCTGTTAAAGAGCTCTAAAATTTTTGAATTGTAAGTTTTTAAAGCGCTCTGGAAACATGGGTTTTCAAGTCAAAAATTAATCTTCTTTTCTTCAGTGTGAATGCTTTACTTGCTGTGATTGCGGGTTCTCGTTAATCTCTTGGCACAAAGGCATTCCCGTTTCTTGATTCTTTGTAACTAAGTTAGGCAGATAAGTAAGGAAAAGGTAAGAAATTCAATTACCTCTCGCGGTGTTGATAAACCTTCGGTCGAAATACTGTCCAAACTATCCCTGCTACCACTGGAACTTTTGTAAGAATCTGATCTGGTCACTTTAGGACTTGATTTAACGTTGGTAAGCATTGCAAATGCCGGGGAGTTTCCATCTCCTTTCGCCCTGCCTGAGTAGACATAACTTCCGAAAGAGTTAAGATCATCGAATTCTTGATTATTGGACGCAGATAACGTCTGCCCGTTTTGACTTTCGCTTGCTACCACCATACTGTTGTGAGGGAGTTGCCCGTGCGACGTCGCGTGATAGCTCTGAAAATTATTCTCACGGCCTGGCCAAGATTGGAATCGAATGTTAGGAGATGGTGGTAGGCTGGAACTGTGATAATGAACGGCACTGTATGTGCCTTGTGGATGATAGTCGACTAAATGAGGCGGCGATTGGTAGTGAGTACCAGGATAAACTGCGGGAACTTGGCTTGGTCCGAAGTGCTGCTGGACACTTGGTACTAGCATGTCACTCGCCATTTGACACTGATTCTGTGCTGCTCCAGGTAGATGCTGAGGGAACGAGCTGACACCACCACTGTTTGACGAATATGAAGATGGGTGATACCGTGCATGCACAGCTCTTGACTGGTAAACTGCTACCTGGTTGCTGTTTCCTGTTGAATTGTCCCTACTCCAGCTGTCTACCTACAGAAGGAAAGATAGATGAGAGGAGACCCGGTCTAGAAGGAGAGCACTGCAGACCGACGCGACTGCATGACAAGTCCAACTAATAACATCGAGACCTCTTGTGGTTTGACTATTATTTTCAGTGTCAGGGGTCACGTAAATAAGCCTGATGTAAAAAACGGTGTATTCATCAAAATGTTGTATTAAAATACGACTTGATTTGCCAGTCTAAATCAAAATAAGCCTTCTGTGAATTTTTATATCCATTCAGACAAAACAAAAGGCAGATAAGAGTGCGCTCCTTGGAAGAAATCTATTGTATAAACTTAGACTTGAAAAGAATTTTGGGCAGAGAGCAAAACCAAAACTGCAGATCTTTGACGAAGTTATATGAATCTGTAGCCACTTAGTACTTAAATTGAAGGCACAGTTTTGTTGAATTGTATTCTGCTCTTAAACTGTGCATACAATGGGTAGATATTTATTTTTCATTAGGTATATGAGGGCAGTTGAAACAATGATCGCTATAACAAAGCGGCAACGTGAGGTTACGGTCGTTGAGAAAAATATGTAGTTCGAGATTGGAACGTTGAATATCTTCTAACAGGGGTCTCGGTTTCAATGAACTATCAACTGGAAACGCAAAGGAGATGCACCCAATAACATGGGATGTGAGGACTCCGGGAATGGTCGCCACCATAACGTACCTATACCTAATCCAAATAAAAATGCAAAATTTCTTTAAAAAAGCTATTTAATGTGTATTTACATATTTTTTCTTGAAGGGGATTGGAGTTATCCGCTACAACCCCGCCATCCCTGGTCACGATGTTGTGGCAGAGAAATGGTCTTGGGATTCCTATAAACAGAGATGCTTTCATAGGGTTCAAGAGCGTCGCGGTGACAACTTTAAGGGTGATCAAAGATACAAATTTCCGATAAATTTTGCAAAAAAGATAGTAAAAATTCGGTGTAACCTATTGTTTTGAAACGTTCAATCTGTTTTTCCAAAAAAAATCAGACTAATTCAGGGGGCTATCGACCCCCTAACCACAACACCACTGCATAGGGTTTAAGGAAAATATTATTCCTTAGGCGCCTTAAAACGAATAAAGAAATTCATACATCAAATCTGGAGGCGACTGGAGGTTAGCGAGAAACATTGTAGTAAATGTTGTTAACTATTATTTTTATAAAATGAGGTTGGGGATGCCGTAAAAACGATTATCTCTGGGCACCAGCATCGAGTCAGTAGGTTTATGGCTACATTAACATTTCTGGCCGACTGAACATATTGATTTGAGAAATCTCCATGATGATATTCTTGGCCTAAAGTGTAGGTGTCCGTAATATCTCAAAAACGGCTACACGCGAAGTAATACAACTGTAAACAAATTTGGTCTTTTTTAACAAAAATGATTAATTAACAGTATCAAATCCTTTTTATCAATTCGATATGACTATTTTATCCTACCGGTATGACGTGAAATATGATCAAGAGAATTTAAGACGAATTCAAGCGAAGAAATTCAGCCTGAAATGCGGTTAGGCAGCCTAGGTTTTTGAACCTGTGATCGATATCAGGTTGGCTTGGGCGCGTCCACAGTGTGATCAGCTCATCTGTGGTTTTGCTGCAATGATCAAGAATAATGCATTTCTGTGCTTGGATTGCGCCACTGTTCTGTATGGATTGACAATGTCCCGGAATCAGTTACACGCTTTTTTAAAAGGACGAGTTAATTGAAGTTCAGGGTTCTCAATTCTCTAAAAAATCTGAGGTTGGACATAATTTGTTCTTAAATTATTAGATTGTGAGCAGTGCAATTGCAACCTCAGTTTGCTCTTAACTTTTCACCAATTTCGAGGCTGGTGTTCTCGGAAAATTGTTCTAATAAGAATTTATTGTTTACTAATTCATTTTATCTTTTATTAGAAGGTCATTGCCATTTTTGAATATCTGGCATTTTATGCGTACCACGAACAAAAACCAATAGCACTGATAGATAACCTGGAACCTACAATCCCGGACAAAAATGTTGAGACAAAATGCAATTTTTGTAATTTTCTACTTTACCTTGCCCCTGTAAATTCTTATCCCCCCTTTCCCCCCAAAGCAATGTTGGATTTGTAGTTCTATCATTTTTGCTTTAAGATTATGCATTCAACATTGAATTGGGGGAGGGGGAAAAGCTATTTTTCAAAGGAAAAAGAAAAGATACAGTTTTCTTGAAAAGTCCCAACTATTTTTGTCCGGGATTGCAGGTCTCAAATCAAACTGAAACGGGACTCGAGCTGGGTGGAATGCTAATTCTTAAAAAAATTTGCAATTAATAATCAATGGAGTATGTAGCATATAATAATACTATCTAACTGTAAAAAACCAATCATTTATCATGGAATCAGTTGATTATATAATTTTTTCTTGACGAAGCTTATATTTAAGCTGTAATTAAAAAGTTCGCTAAATTATCATGCTTGTCATAAATTCAACCTGCAAAACTGAGCTTTGGGATAAAGAGCCTTATCAAGCAGTTTGTCAAGTTATTCATAGCCAGGAACCATTTTGGTTTTTCTCTACGGAGTACAACAAAAGGGCAGGTATTCGACAAATGCCGGTCCTTTCTGTCTGCACGCAGACGGGTGCAACTAACAGGCCGTATTGTTTGTGAAGAGCCTGAACGCCAAACGAGTACCCCAAAGTCTACAATTATGATTAAAATCAGTCAAGCCAACCAGAAACATACGCTAAATAAATGCAAAATATAATTATTTGAATGAAAAGAGGCGTGTCTTGAACAAACCGTAGTCATTAGCATACTGCAGCACGGTTTGAACGGAAACCTGCTTGCTGGATTTGGCGGAAAAGGATCTCTCCTAAATAGCAGTATTATGGACAGTTTGTAGTAAATGCCGCGAGCAAACTATCTTGGAAAACTGAAATTGAGTTCTACTCAAGTTCTGCGGTCTTCTTGAACCGCAAGCGCTTCATTGCATCATTATTTTTCAAGAGCTATAATCTTCGAAAAATATCACAAATTTACAGGAGAAAAACAATTGAATCACATTCGTGTTAATACAAATGACTTGGCACCGATAAGAAAGCGTACAAAATCTCAGACAGTTGGTTTGAGTCTGACTGTTTTGTAAATAGCTGAAGGATTGGGTAGAGAAGAGCCCAAGTGCCCTAGAGAGAGAAACAAGTGTTTGTGGTGAACGTTTGGCAGAAAAACAGCAATGTGTTGTGAATCAAAAAAAAGAAGTGCTCATATAATGGATACTGAATGAATACTTGTAGAAGAACGAGAATGTATATCACTGATAAATGTATGAACAAAACTGGGGATGTAACAGAGCCCTGTGGAACACCAGAATTATTTATATAAGACAGAAGAAGAAGCCACAAAATCTAATGGCAATGGACATGTCACAAAGAAAGCTGTCAATCCACTTAATAAAGGTTTAGTTCAGTCTACACATGGGAATTTAAGAAAGAGGACGTTTGAGCTAGACACGATTACAGTCCTTACATTTACCGAGAGAGATCAATCTGCTCAAACCAAAGAATTCAAGAACAAAAGTCTAAGAGTAGCAGACGTTAACAGGTCACCATCAGATCTCGCTTGACGAGAATCATACAGAAAGGAATTTATTGGTTTCAAGGAGAGTTAGAGCTGTTTGGTTGGTGATTGTCTCAATGGTTTTATGAATAAGAGTTATGATTGCGATTGGAAGATGGTTGGCGGGGTCAGACTTCTGTGCCCCTTCCTTTCGGAATAGAAATGCGGTCCTGCTCCTGTCTCAAGAAGGATGTTAATATTCCAAGAAAGTTGGAGATGATTTGATAAGAATCACGACATGTCTGAGGCAAGGTATTGGAAAATAATGCTGTTATACCTCCAGGGCCTTTAAACGGTGTGAAAAATTCTATTAGTGACATTGATAAATTTGAGGGGGGGGGGGGGGAGGTGGCAAGATTGTTATCCTTGGTAATCAAGATATGGCATGGGAACTTTTCATTAGTCCAAAGTTGTATTTTCTAGTTTATGAAAAATATGTTTACAGGTCTGTCATAAAGGGCACGATACCCTATTGGCAGGTCTGTGCACGGAGTAGCGACGTAGAGCCGTTCTGTTCTATAGCGAATTTCACAAGAAAGTGTATTCCTCTAGTTATACATCCAGCAAAGTTCGGTCGGAGTAAAGAGCTGCCTGAACCTCATCAAGGCTCCTGGCTTCCTAAAAAAATTGATAGATCGTTTTTAGAAAAGCCACAAACTAGGAATACGAGTATTGCTTGATGGGGTCAAAACAAATATAGTTGGGCCTGCACGTATGAAAGCTGGGCCTAAAAGAAACGTGTAAAAAGAAGGCGGGTCATCCTACCTCAACTGTTTCAAATTTCAATACAACTAGTTGTTCCTGCATGGAGGATTCAATCAGAATTCTGACCATTCAAAAGGTTGGAGGAAAGAGAAGTCGCGACGTTTTGTGTGGGTACCGCCCAATTTTTCTGAATAGAATCTGTATTATTGATACTACAAAGGGTATCCTTCAGTCAAAGAGCATGAGTAATAACAACTCAGCTCAATGCGCATGCTCTTTGGCTGAAGGACAGGGGCTATCTGATTCCTATTGGTTGCCTTTACCGCAGCAGAGACACAAGTGGTCTCTTATCTAATAAATCAAATTCAACAATGCTCGCGTTAAATATTGCTGAGGTAAAGTACACACTGATTGGCTTACAAGACGTTTGTAGTGATTGGCTTTCGAATGACCAGCAAATATTGGATACAGAAAACACGGACCCGATTAGTGTAGTCAGGAAAATACATGCTCTGTCTTGCGCACTCTGTCTTGAGCAGTCCAGATAAGAGCATGCACGATCCTACTTTTTGTTCAGAGCATATGCAGCTACAACCCTGAACAAATTTGTCAAGCTAAAGAATTCTTGTGCAATTTCCTACTCTACGTTGCCCCTGTAATAACCCACCTTCCCCGCCACCATCGATGTTGGGTTTC